GCAGGCAAAAATTTTGAGAATTTTGGGGGATCCTTAAGCCAAAACTCGTCCATTTTCTGCGCCGCAGGCAAAAATTTTGAGAATTTTGGAGGATCCTTAAGCCACAAATCTTCTTTTTTCTGCGCCGCAGGCGAAAATTTTTTTAATTTATGATGGCCGATAAGCCAAAAATCCTCCATTTTGGCGCCAAAAATTCAAATTTTTTCAAAAATTCGAAAATCGGAAATCGAAAATATTGCTAAATTTCGAAAATCGTAAATCGAAAATCGAAAGAAAAAAACCCTCGAAAATCGAAATCGAAATTTCGAAACATCTCTATTAGAGATCGAGCTGGGTTCTGGTTTTTTTCTGTACCCAAAGTCCAGGCTTAAGCATTTTTTGACCTTCCTGGGTTTTTCCTGGGCTTGGGTTCTTCCTGGACTACAGGCCCAGGATCCGATCCAGGTCAACAAATTAAACCCAGGAACAGGCTCAGTCCTTTCAAAAAGCTCGATCTCTATATCCTAAATAGAGTATCGAGTCCTCCACCTATGGTCAATTGAGGGCATCCTATTAGGTTTTCTCGTATTAAAAAAATGTTCCCTTACATTGCAAGGCTCAGCAAGCAGTGACTGACCGCCTGGAGAGAAAGTATAGCACCACGGCTCACTGAACTGTGAGTGCCTTGAAGGGTTTCTGCAATAATTCTTTGCGTTTCTAAGCTCTGGATGTACTCCGGTATTAAATTCTCCATTGACTGAATTTGGCCAATCAATACAAGGCCTGTTGCTACGGGTAATTGCTGCTGTTCCTTGATATTTGGTACCAAAACCTTTGAAACACCAATGTGATGCGGGTGAAGGGTTATTTGGAGTTGAGGGAGACTGAAAAAATAAGAAATTCGGTTCACAAAAATTTTCTTTAAATAAACCTTAATTCCTTCAAAAATGTGTAGACAATTTTGTGCTGATAGAGAAAGTGATTCACAATTTGGAAGAAGCGCCTTTGGCCCGTCACCGATTAACTCGTGATGAGAAGCCATTGAAAATTCATTTGGACAGACAGAATTCTTTAAAAATAAATTTAAAAATATACACCCAATATAAGATACACCTCTATTTAAGAGACGCTCATTAAAAATTGGTTGGCCCCTGGAGGAAGCTGCCCAAGCGATACCCTCTATTTAAGAGACTATTTTCCCTCCAAAAAGGGTATCTTATAGTGAGATCCGACTAAATTCCAAACCTTTAAATTATCACAATCCTCACGACAAAGAGAAACAATATCAGATGCAGAAGGCAAACTTCCCAGTGAATTAATGGAAGGTTCACATATTTTGAACATGTGATAACAAGCTGTTTGATGCATATAATGTTTGCATTGTTCTGAAATGCCTGGAACAACACGGACCTGAAAAATAAAAATTTTTAAAAATTTTTTGAGATTTTTGGAAATTTTTTGAAAAAAATTTCTAAAATTTTTTTCAAATTTTCTGAATTAAAAAAAATAGAAAACAACAAACGGTCATTAACGCCGCCAGCAAGTCCTTTTCTGCATCATAAATACTTTCTCTATCGACCAAAACCTTCACATGTTTTCCTTCAAGAAAGGAAGAACAAGCCTCTCCTCTATAGACAATACAATCTCCTTTTCTAATTGTTTGTCCATCTAACCAACGTCCATCCGAATCTGTTCCTCTTCTTAAAGGGACATAACCTGGACCTGCTGCAGTGTTTGGGACTCGCCAGGAATTGTCTGGGTGTGAGTGATGGTCGTTATTGTTGTTGACATTCATCTAAAAATATTTTTTAAATAAAAAAAACGTCATTATAAGATACCCTCTAGGGCTGAAAATAGTCTCTTATAATGAGGTCTCTTATAATGAGGTGTCTATTAAATAGGGGGTATCGCTTAGGAAGCTTCCAATATCCAGCGGCTATCCAACTTTTAAAGAGCATCCATTAAAAAGAGGAGTATCTTATATTGGGTGATACCCTCAATTTAATATACACCTTATTAATAGACACATCAATGGGGTCTATTAAACAGGTATTGCCTAGGAGCTCCTCTCCCACACAATAAACAGCCTAAAAAACTGTCTTTTAAATAGAGGTATTAAATAAAAACAACCTCATCATCCGGATAATTATCGTAAAATCCTTCGTAATCGTTGTTTTCCTCGTCTTCACCCAAATCTTCTTCTAGTTGCTGTTTTTGTTTTAAATGGTGTCGATGATGACCACGTCGACCTCCTTCGTCAGTTGTTAATGCAGGTCTTTTTTTGTTTGAAGAAAAAGTTGAAATTGGTTGTTGGGAAACCTTTAAAAATTTCTTAAAATTTTTTAAAATTTTTTTTGAAATTTTCGGAAAAAATTTTTTTGAAAGACAAAGAAAAGGCTAAAAGGAAAAAAAAATATTGCAGAGGATAAAAATTAAGAAAAAAAAGAGAATTTTGTGAGTGCTAGAAAAGTGGCTCTACTACTAGATAGTATTTTTATTTTAATTTATTTGGAAGGGCATTGGTCATTGATTAATTGTTATTGTGTCCCAATGTTGGTGAGAATAAAAAATGTAGAAAAATGAGGAAAAAAAACATCGATTTTTGTTTGTTATAAAAAAGGTTGGGAAAAGCTGCAAGATTAAAATAAAATTATAGGAAAAAAAGTTCCGAACCAACGCGAGCTAACTCCGTCGCAGACCATAACTTGGGCTAAAGTTATGTATTGTTCGATTCAGCTCCTCGAGATGCGCTGAAACTAGCAGAGCCTCAGGGGTTTGGAAATTTTAACCCAGGTTATAGACCTGCGGCATATAGCGTTGCGCCAAAATGGTTCGCGGCGGAGTTGCTCTTCTAAAGGAAATTATTTTTAATTTTAGCCTAAAAGCAACGGAATTTTTTTGAATTATTTAAATCTTAATAGGTTATTAATGAAAAAAGAGGGAAGGGAAGATTTTTGACCAAATATCCATCCATCTGTTACTTTATTAAAAAATTATTTTTTTTTTGTATTTTCTTCATCGATTATGGGCACTACGAAAAGGAAAAAAATTGTAGAAAATACGAGGAACAGAAGGAGGAGGAGGAGAAGAAGGAAGATTGTTGAGTGGCGGTGAGTGATTTATATTTAATAAATTACTTTAAAAAAAGTGTTCGCCGATGATAAGATTTACTTTATTTCAGGGCTCCGATTCGTACTTTATTTGAAAGTACAGTACTTTAAAATCGACCTCCGTACTTACGAAATTGAATTTGTACTTTATTGAAAGTATGTACTTTAAAATCAACATTTTGAAAAAATGGATGAAATCTAGCTTAAGGACCTCTAAAATTCTCAAAATTTTTGCCTGCGGCGCAAATAATGGAAGAAATCTGGCTTAAGAACCTCCAAAATTCTCAAAATTTTCGCCTACGGCGCAAAAAATCAAAATTTTTGGCGCCTTCGGTGCCAAAAATTAGGCGCAGAAAAATTTTTACACCTTGCCCCCCCCCCCCCCCGAAAAATATCGTGGCTACGGGCCTGGCAGCAGTAGGTCTTCTCAATGGCAAGTATTCAATGGACGGAAGAAAGAAACTTGCTTGAGGTTAAGACTGTCAGGGCTTTACTTCTTAAGTCAGCGAATTTTGACATGTCATGCATTGAAATGCACGAAATGCTCAGTGGAAACAAGAAATTATTAGAAAAGATTGATCTAGGAGAGAAATATAAAAGATTTGAGCACGAATAAATATTTTCGAATTTAATTTGGAGTGTACTTTAAATTTGGAAATTTTGTCCCTATGTCCTTTAAAATCGAGATTTCTGTACTCTAAATTTGAATTTTGTCGATCGGAGCCCTGCTTTATTTAGAAATAAATATAAAAATAATTTTTTGAGAAAAAACGAAGAAAAAATAAGAAAAAACAGTCAAAAACCTCATTATAAGATACCCCCTCGAAACTGAAAAAATCGTAGCTTATAATGAGGTGTCTGTGAAATAGAGAGTATCGCTTAGGAAGCTCTTCCTTCCTAGTGGGGCTAACCTAATTTTAAAAGCGTCTCTTAAATAGAGTATACCCAATATTGGGGGTATCTTATAGTGAGGTTCCTTATAATGAGGTTTTATCTTAAATAGAGGTGTATGTTAAATAGAGGGTATTGCCTAGACAAACACCCCAAGAATTAGTCGATTTTAAATATCGTCTATTAAATAGAGGTTTAGGCATCTTAATGAGGTTTAGACTAGTTTTTTAATTAAATTTTAATCTTGTGGCTCTTGGAATGAGCCAAAATTCAATAAAAATAAGTGTCTCTCTCTCTATTTTCTATTAGAAAAAAAATTAAAAATGCTTTCAATAGATGCAAAAATGGCCAACAACAAAAAGAGGCTTCTGGTCATTTTTTAGCAATATTAAATTTATTGAAAAATTCCCTCAAAAATGCATTAAAAAGGGTTGAAAATTGAAAAAAAATATTTTACAGATGTGAATTTAAATAAAATTTAAATTAAAAAAAATAAACAAGCAAAAATAGAAAATATTCTATAATAAAAGGAGAAAGGCCGAAAACTAGTTTTTTAAAAATTAAAAAAATTCTTGTGTTAATTTATTAGAAATTTAATTTTTCCTTATCAATTTCAGAAAAAAAATAATAATAAATTTTATTTTTTAATTACCCCTACTATTTTTATTTTACTAGTCGTACATTCCCCTTTATTTAGCTTAATTTCCCATGAGAGATTTTTTTTGTCAACTTAATTGGAGGAATAAAAATTTAAATATTCTTTAGATAGAATAATTAAATTAATTTTTTATTGAAAATTTCATAGAACTTCATTACAAGATACCCCATTGTAATTAGAAATATCGTGCCTTATAATGAGGTGTCTCTTACATAGAGGGTTTTCTTAAGCAGCTCCCCCAATCTAATAGACAACCAACTCTTACGGAGCGTATCTTAAATGGAGGTGTATTTAATATTGGGAGTACTTTATAATGAGGTTTCCTAATATTGGGTGTATCTTATAACGAGGTTATTTTGTTTTTAAATAAAACTCCCCACCCTAAGCACAGCAGTACTATTAACACTTCCAGCAGCATTGCTAGCCGAGCACTGATAATACCCAGAATCTAATACATCAAGTTCCACAATAACCAACTTGCTAGTCATTTCTTTGTTTTTAAGGCGAAATCTTCTACTTTTCTCTAATGGGGCTAAATTCTTTAACCAACTGAAAAAATTGGAATTTTTTTAATTAAAGAAAATTTTATTCCCTACGTAAATTGAAGTGGAAGAGGAGAACCAGTTGCTTCACAACGCATCCTAACTTCACCTCCAATAGGTCTAGACATATTTCGAAGTCCTCCAGTTAGGCGAATATAAGGCCTTTTGCCTGTATTTGCGTCTGTCATTCTAGAAAAATAAAAATATAAGAGACTCTCGTTATAAGAGACCCTCTTGAAGCTACAGACAAACCTCCCTATAAGATACTCCCAATACTACTCAGACACTAGGGTTGTTCCCCGTGGGGGAGAGGGATGGGGGACGGAGAACAACCCTACTAGAAACACCCCCTATTTAAGAGAGGCTCGAAAATTTGGTGCTCTTGAAAATAGGGGAGCTGCCTAACTAGTTAAAATATCCCCAATATATGTCCGATTTTTCTCAGCTCCAAGGGAGTCCCTTATAGGGAGGTTTTTGACTGTATAATAGAATTGAATGAATATTCCTATTTGCGTTCCATTTTCCTATTTTTACTTTTTACTTTCTAGTCAGAAAAATGGGGGCAATTATGTATAACAAAACTATTTGGGATAATCCACAGACTAAAAACGAAAAATAAAAAAAATATTTTTTGAATAAAAAAAGGCAATTTTTGGACTTTTCTTTTTGCAAAAAATCTCAAAAATTTAAAAAAGAAAAAAGTAAAAGAAAGTTGCGGCATTTTTTTTTTACTTTTTATTTTGTTCGCGCCACCTATTTTCACTTAAAATTCATTAATCAATTGTAAAAAAATATAACACATATAAAATCCCTTATAGCTAACGTTATTTATGAGCTGATGACATGAAAGGAAGGAAAGGAAGGAGAGGGGGAAGGGTTTTTCTAGAGGACATAGACAAGAAAAACAATTTGCTTCCTCATAAATTTTCGGGAGTCCGGTCGATGAATGTTTGAAGAAAAAGGCACTTCGACATTTTGCCAATAACACGTTTTGCCAATAAGGCTAAAAATACACGTTTTGTCACTAAGCTTGTTGACAAAATGGGAATTTTTAGCCTTATTGGCAAAATGTGGAATTGGTGAAATATGGAAATAAGAAGAAAATAAGGAGGAAGAGTGGGGGGAAAAAGGAAGAGTAGTGGGGGAGGAAGTGGCCTATAAATTAGAGCAATGGGAAAGTAGGACGAAGAAGAATGGAAAAAAGAGGAAGGATTTGCCCAAGCCTTGTTGTCATCATTATTATAATAAATTTTCTCTGTTTTCTCTGCCGTCTCTCATTTTCCCCTTATCTCTCTCCAACTTTTCTCTAATTTTCTCTTCATCAATATTTGTCCATTTTAGACCATTGGCAATTTGACTGCCTCTAGAAAATTTTCGGCAAGTGAGAGGGCTATTGAGAGAGGGCTATTGAGTAAAAAGAGAAAACTGAAGTGGCCTTTAGAAAAATAAGTGGACATTGAAAGAAACAAAATATTTTTTCCTTTTTTTACTTCCTTCCTTCAAAATAAACATACTCTTCTCTTCAACAGAGGAAACTAGCTTATCGCTCCAGTGCATCATTCAATTTTCTATATAGATTTAAGGTTTTTCTCTACACTTCAACGAATGGGAAGAATGCGAAAAACTCAATGAAAAGGAAAAAAGTAGAGAAATATTGGGTCGAAAAATTCGAAAAGACTCGAAATTTTAACGAAAAAACCTCGAATCAGACAATCGATAGTGCCTATGGACATTTTGGCATCAAAAATGATTTTTTCTGTTTAAAACAATGAACGTATCGGTGCCTAGAAAAGGATTGGTGCCTAGAACTAGAGGTCGGCAAAATCACATTCACGTGATCCCGTAAATTGTACTCCCGATAATCCCGTTATTTGCTTAAAATACGGGATTTCGAGACAGGATTCCGTAAAATCCCGTACGGGATCCTGTCCCGTGCTGACCTCTACCTAGAACGTTTTGGCGTCTAGACAAACTAGGTGGGATGAGCCTTGAGCGCCAGCCGACTTTGATGGCTACAACTTTATTTAACCTGATTAAATCCGATTGAAACTTAAATTATTCGAAAGCCCTCGATTGCTCCTAGAAAATTGACATTTTGGTGGCTAGAAAAAATCGAGGGGATTTCTAGTCTTTTCATTTCTCTAACTACTCTACTTATTTCGTGCACTATTTCTCCTGGACGTTGAGAGAAAGAATTTTTAACGAGAAAATAAACTCACGTAGAATTGTAATCCCCATACACAACGTCATAATCTCCAGCAGGTTCAATAAAAAGCCCATCATCATAAGGCTTGGGACCCATTTTTTAATGTAGTCAATTAAATTTTGATTAAATTCATGTCGTTAGGTGTGGCATAATTAATAAAAGAAAATAAATTAAATTTAAAAAAATTTCTGAAAAAAAATATTTAGGGTGTGGTTATTTGTTGTTGTTAACCTTAAAAATAAATAAAAACGTAAAAGTAAGTCGTTCCACGTCTTGTTCAGTTTTTTGGGTAATAAAAAAAGAGCTGATTTTAAAGAATAAATTGAAAATAGAGTTAAAACCGAGTCGAGATCTCGAACAAAAATTAAGTTTATACAGACCAATATTTATTGACCAGTCCGGTCTCTAATTAAAGCAATTTTTAAAATTTCGCGCCGAAATGACTGCGCCGAAATTGAAACCTTACACAGGTGGAAATCGAGCGAGGTGACGATCAGTGGACTTGCTTGATTTGGACTTGCATAACTTGCCTGATTTTAGACTGATTAGAGTAAGTCATAGATACACCATTCGAAAGGTCGCACGAATTACTTTTTTAATTTAGGGATTCTTTTTCATAAGGCCGAGTTGATTCGGACGGTGTTGCGACAATTCCGGACGACGATTGACCGACAATCGCGTTTTCACCCTCTCGCTAGAGGTGTTAAAAATTTAATTGAGAAGGGATAATTATTGGAAGGAGGGAGTAATTAATCAAAGAAATACGATATTTAAATTTCCTGAGATGGTATAAAGCATAGTGCTTTTTTAATTTAAAAATCAGCAAATTAACGATTAGAAAAAATTCTCTTTTCTTGTGGTCATTTTGTCTAACAAACCAAAAAGGATTGCCAATTTTTCATGGATTTTGTGAACTAGTAAATGGAAGGTTTTGTGAAAATGATGGCAAAAGTACCACTTGAAAAATAAGTAAAAAGCAAGAACAAATGAGTGGTTGATGAGAAGACTAGAAAAAAAATTAGTGAAGAGAGAGGGTGCGCGAAAACAAGCAATTCTCGTTTATTAAAAATTATATTTATATTTTTTCAAGTGTTTTTAGCTGTAAATTTTGGTTATTAAAAAATAGGTTAAATAAATTTTAATATTACAAATAAACCGCATTATTAGAGTTGGAGGCCTGATCCGGTCCGAAAGATCGAGTCGAGCATCGAATGAAAAACCGTCCATTATAATGAATGTAATACTTAGACAGTTACTCTAACCAGTGGATCTACCGAATTTTAAAAAGCGTCTCTTAAATAGAGTTGTATCCAGTATTGGAGGTTATTTTATAAAGAGGTCTGCGATATGCGTACCAGGGATATGCACCAGAATTTTTTCATGGAGCGCCAAAACTAAAACGCCAATTTTTCAAATTATTAAATAACGCAAAAAACGCCAAACGCCATAATCGGCAAAATATGGACGCCAAAATACAACGCCAAAACGCCAAAAACGGTAGATCTTAAACAAACGGTAGATCCTGATCAGTAGATCTTAAACAAAAGGTATCGCTTAAGCAGCTACTCTACCCTGTGGATAACCGAACTTTAAAAGCATGTCTATTAAATAGAGGTTGGGAGGGGGCATCTTATAATGAGATCCAACTGTACTTATTTTCAATTGAGATTTGTTTTTCTTTGAAGAGAAAAATATTTATTATTTTTTTTTCATTTATTTTTAGCTGTTAAAAATTGTTTAGTTGCTAAGGCCAACAATTCAACTATGCTTTTGTCCATTTTACAGCTAAACACCTTTAAATGCCGAAGGGTAAAGATAAAAAAGCTTTTAAAGAAAAAAAGGGAAATTTTATTTTAACCTCCCTCCCCCCCCCCCTTATTTTTCTTAAAAGAATATTTTTAAAAAAATAAAAATGCAAATCCCTTCACTATCTCAAACAAAACAAGAAAAAAAATATTTAAAATTTTGAATAAAATGAAATTAAAAAAAAATAAAAAAATTTAAAACAAGAAAAAAATTAGGTAGAGAGTAGAGATGGACACAAACTGTTAACCGAACCAGACTCGACAATCGGAGGTCAAAAATCTAAGCTGACGAGATCGAGACCCCGATCATGATTCTCGTACGACCCCCCTCCTTCTCCTCCTCCTACAGTCAGATTCTAACTGGTTGTGCCCACGTTAAAATAAAATAAGCTAGAATGTGTTACGAAGTTTGCGGATTATTTATATTTTTAATAAAAAATATAAAATAAAAATAGTTTTCATTTTTATTTTATATATCCATCCATTAATGTCAAAATAAATTCAATTTTTAGTTTATTCGATTCTCTAATTGGATTATTTTATTTTTTGGTTATTTTAATGTGAATATATACTACATATATATAATAATTAGACATAACAAAAAAATAAAAAAAATACAACATAATGAAAGTTTATACCCCTTGGGGTTGAAAGGGTGAACGTAAAAAGGGGGGTAAGGTTTATAGATCAGAGGTGAATCGGAATTCCGATTTTCGACGTTTTTCCCTTCCAATTCCGGCACCTTCGTCATTTCCGATTCACCTCTGGTTTAGTCAATTTTTTCGATTTTTCCGCTGGCTGTTTAAAAAATGATATAAGGGTGGTTGGGTGAACTTAAATATTAGTTTAAAAAAAAAGAAGAAAAATTGTCTAGAAAAAATAATATGCGTCAAAAAATGTTTCAGAAAAAGCCACTAATTTATGCTAAGTAAAAACACGTTATGGGGCAAGGAAAAAATAAGTTTAAAAAAATTAGTGGGTGTAAAAAATAGCAACATTTTTCCGTTATTTTTGGGGTAAATTTTGGAGGCTTTTTTAACCAAAAATAAATTTTTTTTTCAAGAAAAAATCTCGGCAGGTGGCCATGTTTTTTTGTCAAGAATTAATGTAAAAAAGAAGAAAAGATTATTATTATTTAAACACAAAGAATAGGGGCAATTTTGGGTATACAAAATTTTGGCATTGAACAACAAAAATTGAGGGAAGGGAATGAATAAAAGGAGGGGGGGAGAGAGGGGGGATATAATTGCTAACAAGAGAGAGAATGAACAAAGATTTTTAGTAACTAAATTTATGAAAAATAAAAATAAAAATAAAATTTTTGTTTTGAATGGCGGGAGGTTAAAAAGCTCGCAATTTTATTTTCCCTTTTGTGCCAAGAGGAAGAAATTATTTTTACCCAGCTTTGGGGTAGAAACTTGGTCCTTTTAAAGGTTTTTGCTAAGAGAAGTTTATTGCCCGAAGAATTGTTGTGGTAAGTGATTTAAGGCCCCAAGCTTCTAGTGGTCCCTTAGACCTTCAATCTAGGGTAGAACCCCAGGCCTCCAGAAGCGGGAGTGTCGGGTTTCGTGGTTTGCCGGGGTAGATCCTTTGAGGTTAGGGCTGGGGTTCTGGACACGGGGTGCTACCCTACTTCAATTCTACACAAAACTCAGTTTAGTGTAAGGTCTTAAGTTGGTTGACTAGCAGAGGGAGGTACCTCCATTTTAATGTACAACTACTCATTTTAGTGTACGCTTATTCCTATTTCAACTAGAGACAGGAGAGGGGGTGTCGTACTAGAATCGAGCTCCCGAGAAAATTCTCAATCTCGATAACCGAGACTTTCGATTGAGATCACGTCTCGGTCCGGTCTCTAATTTCAACACTCAAGGGCGTACAATATAGTGAGAGTCTGAGCCAATATGATGGCTACAAGTATGTCCAACCTTCTAATTAGGGCCAACCACCATTAGAAAAAAGGCACACTAAACTAGGATTTATTAAGATTTTATATTTTTGTTCTCATCAAAAAATAAAGTTTAAAAGCTTTTAAATTATTCATAAAAATATGTTTTGAACAAAGAAAAATTTTAAAAATAAAAAAGAAAATGATCACTTTTTTCGTTTAGACTTGGGTTTAGGTTGTGCTAGCTACCTATTAAATACTAGCAATAATACACCTTTGTTCAATATATAAGAGGATTATGATGAAGGAAAATAATGTAAAGGGGAAATATTTTTGAAAAAAGTTTAGAGGGAATGTAAAGGATTTTAGAGAAATTTGAGAAGAAAAATATTAAAATAAGGTCGAAACCTCATTATAGGATACCCCCAGTACATCTCGTATCCTAAAATGAGTAGTAAACTAAAGTGGAGATATGGAATGGACACAAATCCTCGCTCCCCTAAGGATGGTCAACCAAATAAAACACAATATTTTACCCTCTATTTAAGATACCCTCACTATAAGGTACCCTCACTACTGGATACTTTCTCCCTATAAGATACACCTCTATTTAAGGGACGCTCATTAAAATTCAATTAGTCACTGGTTACCCTCTATTTAAGATACTCTCACTATAAGATACCCCCACTACTAGATACTCTCTCACTATAAGATACACCTCTATTTAAGAGACGCTCAATAAAATTCGATTAGCAACTGGATGGGCGAACCGTCTAGGCGATACCCTCTATGTAGAGACCCCATTATAGGATACCCCCACTACTAGATACTCTCACTATAAGTTGCACCTCTATTTAAGAGTCACTGGATGGGCGAACCGACTAGGCGATACACTCTATTTAAGAGACCCTATTATAAGATACACCTCTTTATAAGGTACGATTTATAGTCAAGATCTGGACAGTATTACATAAGAGTATATAAATTAAGGCTGGAAGGGAAGGGTCCCCCTTTGAAAAAAAATTTTTAACCCAAACATAAATCATTTTTCGAATGTTAATTAATTGTAAAAAATTCTTTTTCAAACAAATTAGTAGTTAAATGAAGATAAATTTGAAAGAAATAAATTCTTAAAAAGACACACAAAACTTTACGATGATTGAGTGAGTGCTGTAAATTATGAACTAAAAAATGAGGGGAGGAAAATAAATAATGATGATGATCTCCTTCCTTTTACTTCTCTCTTTTTCCTCTTCCCGGAAGCATTTGCTTTTTCCCTCTTTTAAAGTGTCATCCTTTAAAAGAAGCTGTCAGCTGTCTGTTTATTTTATTCACTTTTTAAAGTTCTCTCGAGAAGCTTTCCCATATTTCACCAATACGACACTTTGCCAATAAGGGGAAAAAACCTCATTTTGTCAATAAGGCTTGTTGGCAAAATGTGTGTTTTTGGCCTTATTGGCAAAACGTGGAATTGGTGAAATATGGTGCAGAAGAGGAAAAAGAGAGGGAAGAGAGAAACTTTTTGAAAATCCCCTCAGGATCTGTGTGAAGGGAAAAATATTTTTTTTATTATCCGCGGGGACAAAAAATTGCATTTGCAAGCCGCCGGGAGTTAAAAGCAAAATAAAAGCGGTGGCTTCTGGCAATGACATTTTGGGCATTTTTAGTTGACAAAAATAAATAAACAGTTTTTTTGGGGTGGTCAAAAGAGGAAAATGAAATTAGTTGAAAAGTTTGTATATGTAATATAAAAGAGATCAAAAATAAACTTTTTTAAAAACTTCGGCATTTTCTTTTAAATAAAAAAGAGACGACATTTGCGAACCGACATTTGCGCAAAAAGCTGGAATCTGTTGAAATTGGAACAAACGACCAATGGGTCTTGTCTGGTACCATAGACTATGCTTAAATTATTATTTTGGTGGTACAGTTTTGTGTTACAGTAATTTTCAGGGATGGGACATGTTGGGAAAATCCTATCTAAATCGGGTCAGATTTTCTTTTTCTTGTGATCAGTTTCGAGTGCGAATTAAAAAAAAAGGATTTCAGATAACGGGTAGTGGGGAAACCATCACATCCCTGATTTATACAAGCCGTAGAACAGAAAAGTCTATGAGTATTGGCAAATGTCGGTGTTCCCAAATGTCCTTCTCTAGAAAATAAATAAATTAAAAAAAGGGAGGAAGAGTTGCAAAAAAAAATAAGTAAATGAATAGGAAAAGAATAAAATATACATACTTCTCTCAATAATTTAGTAAAAACAAATTTTTAGGTAGAACAACAAAACAACACAAAAAGTCAAAATAATATATTAAGTAAAGTATTTGTTTGTGTTCATTGACAAAAGGTAGAAAAAAAAGAATGAAGAGGAATGGGGAATTTGTATAAAGTAATTATTGTTTGCCATCTCTTATAGGGGAAAAGAATGTTTTTAAAAGAGTAAAGAATGGAAGGAATTTTTAATGGAAATTTTTGTGTTATGGTGTGAATTAAAAAATAGATAAAGAAAATCTGAAAGATAAACATTAGATAGAGGGTCTGACCTCATTTTAAGATACCCCCATTAAGTCTTAAAAATAGTCTCTTATAATGAGGTGTATCTTAAATAGAGGGCATCGCTTGGGAAACTCAACCCCTGTGGTCAATTTAATTGTAAAGAGCGTACCTTAAATAGAGGTGATGTTCGAGAGTTGAAAAAGCCGAGAGACAGAGACCAAGAATAAACCCCGAGACCGAGACTCAGACCGAGAGTCGAGATAAGAGGGATATCACTTACAAATTGATGCCCTCCTAATCCCCCATAATCCCTTGAATCCTCAAATTCAATCTTACTCACCGTATATTGCATTGGGGGCCTCATTATAAGAGCCACTCAGCATAAAATACCCCCAATATTAGATACACCTCTATTTAATCAACGCCCCTTAAAATTTGGTTAGCTGCCTGGTGGAGGAGGTTAGAAGCGATATTCTCTATTTAATATACACCTCATTATAAGGTCGGATTTTTTCAACCTCTAGGAGGTATTTAAATTGAGGTTAGAGTGTATGAGGATTATTAAAATAAATATATAAAGGTATATTATTTTACCAATTTTTACAAAAAATCCAGCAGTTAAAAGCCTTAAAAAAGAGGAGAAAATCTTTTTTCGCCTGAAATTTGAGTAAAAAATATATATAAATCCTTTATTTTAAAATCGGTAGAGGATTTGTAAGGAAAGAAGGAAATTTGATCTTTTCCTTGGACTTTTAAGGGGTATTATTTAAAAAAATTTTTTTTTAATTTTTAAATAGCCCTGAAAAATTGAAAAAAATTTTTTTATTGGATGGTGAAAAAAAATAAAAATACTAAATGAGAAAAAATGTTAGTTAGTTTTTAAGCCAATTGTTCATTCTATTTTTAAAATTAATTATACATATATATTATTTATAGAGTATATGTATATTGAATAATAAATAAATAAAAAATAAACTTGAAATAAAATAGAACAAATAAAATTTAAAAATAAAATAAACTTAGAAAACAAATAAACTTTAAAATAAACCTAAAAAATAATAAACCTTAAAATAAACTTTGAAAATAAAAACTTGAAATAAAACCTAACAATAAGAAATAAAATAAACTTGAAATTAAAATAAACTTGTAAAAATAAACCTTAAAATAAACTTAGAAAACAAATAAACTTAAAAATAAAAACTTAAAATAGGTAAAACCTTAAAATAAAAAATAAACTTGGAATGAGAGAAAAAAATAAACCTAAAATTAAATAGTTTAAACTTAAATAAAAAATAAACTTGATATTAAAATACAAAGTTTTAACTAAAATCACTCCAAACTTTTTTATTTTTATAGTGTATGTTTGCACTAAAAAATTAAACTTATATACGTACTAGATACTAATTGAAAATGACATGTACTACCAAATATAAGAGAGTTTTTCAAGGACTTTAATAAAAAAGGTTATATATTTTTTCAATTAAATATATAATATTTTATGGATGATTGAACAAAAAATATTTTTTTTCTTAATAATAATTAATTTTTATTAATTCAACGAAAAATCAAAATTTAAATTTTTTATTTAAATAAAGCTCAAAAATAAATAACAATAAAATAATGGATATGTTGTACTTTTTATTTGTACGTTGAGCACTCGGTTGGAGAAAAAAAAGAAAAAAATTGGGCAAGCTAATTATATTAAAATTAAGTGATTTAATTAGGAATTTAAATATATAGAGTTGTTCTTTTTATGAAAAAATTTTTTTAATTATTTTAATATTATTTTAATACCCAAAACTTAAAGAAGAAACAACTCTAAATTTAAGTAAAATATTTTTGGGGAAAAAAGAAGAAAAATTTTTTTTAATTAATTAAAGGATGAATGCGACACTTGAGGGACACGACAAAATTTTGTAAAAAGTTTTACTATTAGAAAGTATTTAAAAAATTTTCTTTGGATTTTTGGTTTTTAAAAACAAAACAAAATTTTCGACAGCAAGAATTAAAAAAAAATTAAAAAAATTATTTTCCAAATCAGAAAATTCAAAAAAAATTTTAAATTTTTTATCTTTTTTCTGATTTTTCTAGCAAAATTTTTCCGAAAAATTTTTTAAAATTCAAAAATTTTTTTGAATTTTCCAAACACGAAAATTCAGAGAAAATTATTTTGTAATATTTTAATTTTCAACCTTTTGTTCACAAATGTCGTGCTCCCGCAAGTGTCCCACTCCAAATTAAGGCATATTTCAAGTACTAAACCCGAGTATTTTCAGAAATAATATTAACTTCCACAACACTATTACTACTCTTCTTACCAACATCCTTCTTCTTCATTTCTCTAGCAGAAAAAAAGAAATTTCTATGAAAAAATACAGATAAAATGGCGATAACTGCACCAACACAAAAACCAACAGCAACGTCGGATGCTGAAAAAATAAGATTTTTTTTTCGGAAATTGAAAAAAAAGACATTTCTAAAAATTTTCAAAGATTTTTTTTATTTAGAAAAAATTTCATACGATGATGTTTATGATCAAAAACTCGCGAAACAGCAACAAAACTTCCAAGAGAAATAATTATTGAATATAAAACAATTAAAAGAGGAAGAATTGGAGCAGCAAAAGAACCAAAACTTTTTGAGAAAACTCGAATGTGTGTATATAACTAGAAAATTAAAAAATATTAATGAAAATGAGAACATTCCCCGACCTATATCGAAAGAGCCCTTTTATTTGGAAAAATTCTTTTGGAAAAGAATCAAGGTTCCCTTCATTCATTTATAGGGCCGGGTACGTCACCCCTAGCAAGGGCGTATCCAGGGGGGGGGCTGGGGGGGGGCTAGAGCCCCCCCCCCCCCCCGAAATGGGGGAAAGGGAGAAAAAATTAGGAGAAGGATGGTCGAAAAAGTGAAATTTTTTCGCCTACAACCCTCAAATTTTAAAAAATTTTCGCCTGCGGCGCAAAAAATGGAAGAAATCTGGCTTCTTGAGCTCCAAAACCCTCAAAATTTTCGCCTGCGGCGCTAAAAAGTGAACTTTTTTGGCATACGGCCCTCCAAATTCAAAAAAATTTCGCCTGCGGCGCTGAATAAGTGAATTTTTTTGCCTACGGCCTTCTAAAATTAAAAAAATTTTCGCCTGCGGCGCTGAAGTGATGAAAATTTATGTACAAAAAAATTTGCATCTCTCTTACGCCACCCCTGGAATTACCTTAATTTTGCCGACGTAAGAGGGGAAGCTAGGTAGGATGAGAAGAAGTAATGGGATGACCATTGTACCCATTCCCAAATATCACAACTAGAAACCCAAACCACACAAAAACCCCCAAAAATTAAAAAAAAACAAACGATAATAAACACAGCAAAATAAATAGAAAGAGCAGAATGTCCAGAATAAAAACTACATCTCCCATCCACAATTCTTGGATTATTCATATCATTTGTTTTGTTACATTTAAATAAATCGCCAGGAAAAAAATAATTTGAATTATTAATTAAGCAATCCTTAGCATTGGTCACGTTGGTATATGGCTGACACATTGCAATAAAATTTGGACGGAGACGGCCAACAGAAATTTTGATAACATTAAATAACAGAAAATTGATTCCGGCACCTAACATCCAAACAGCTAAAAAGAAATTAAATTCAGATCAGGGATGCCACGGATTGTTAAAAAGTCGGGAAGGGTTCAGATCGAGTTCCGGTTCGAAAAAAATCAGGGGTCAAATTTCAGGTAACACATGACATCTCTGATTATACTCCATTATAAAGTGCACCTTTTAGACTGAAAATCATCATATCCTATAATGAGGTGTATCTTGAATAGAGGATATCAGCTAGACAGTTATCCTCCACTTATACACATGCCCCAAATTTTATGAGTACCTTAAATAGAGGTTCTAGCATCTTATCAACCTCAAATCATAAGGTAACACCTCAATTTAAGAAACGATTTTGATAATTTGGTTGACAAGGGAGGGGGAGTTGCCCAACCTATCCGTATTTAAGATAACCCTCCTTTTTTCACTCCCTACGGGATATCCTACAACGGGGTCCGATTAAAAGAATTATTTTAATTTTAAAAAATCAAACTTGTAAATCCTCCAAATTGTAACAATTTCCACAATAAAACGTCCAATTGCCAGAATTCAGGATTGGTCGGATCCCTCGGCTTATTAATAAAGAACTCGCCAACAAATACCTTTAAAGAACTTAAATTTAATTTAAAAAATATAAAAAATAACCAAAACAGCCAGAATTGCAATAGAAACATAAAAAATAGTATTGGTCTCAACAGTTGAATCGCGATAAGGAAATCGAATAGAAAAATCCTGGCAAAAGAATCCACGAAGAGTTATTGGAAAAAATCGTCTCAAGTGATAGCCAACAATACCTGAAGGGAAAAAATAAATGTTTAAAAAGGTGAGGAAGCCGGCATCCGGGGGGTTTTTCTTTTGAACTGGCCGGCCTGGTTTTACATACTAACAAAGAACTGTCGACAAATAGGATTTTATCGAAATACTCAAGTTCCGAGCTACAGCGACCGGATAACCAGGTCCCGGTCCGGGGTCGAACTTTAAACAGCAAGGTCGGAAAAAATCGAATCAGGATTTAGTGTTGAGTTTTCAAAGTTTCTTCGGATCGGGTTTAGAGACAAGAGAATTCTTGGTGAAGTCTTGGTTAGATAAAAGGGAAGCGAAGGGAAGAAAATGAAGGAATAGAGGAGAGATGGAAAAAAAGGCCCATAAATGTTAGCAATTAAAAAATAAATTTAAAAATTAAATAAAAATTAATTTCAGAGTGATTCATAAAAGGAAAACCTCTCTCGACTTGAAAATTTTTTCCTTATGACTCACCCCCTTTTTACACCAAATATTTCAATTAAAAATGCTTACCAACTAAAATAGAAACAATAAGCCTAATTAGAATATCAAACAAAGAAAATTCAGTTGCTGTTGGTTTAGCTACCGCCTCATCTTTGTTGTTTTCCATTTTAATTTTTGTAATTCCAGAACTATTTTCTTTTAAAGATATATCCATATTTTGAAGCTTTATGTACAATAAATAAATATCACAATAATTAAATATACCCTTAAATATTTAAATTAATTAAGAAAAAGAAAAGCACAAAAATCAGAAAAAATCCCAATCAAATTAATCAAATCACACCATTATAATAAAATGGCTCTATGACCTTTTGTCTTTGGACTTTTCGATTTATAGACGTTACGTCACTAAAATTTGCGTATTTTGCCAATAGACCATTCGCCAATAGACATTTTGCCAATAAACATTTTGTCAACGGACACTTCGTCAACAAGCTTTCGATACTCAATTAGCCGATCGGGGCATTAGAGTATAATGCCTTTTTTTCCATTGACGAAAAATCCGCTGTCGTAATGTCGCGACAAATTTGAATGTGACGAAATGTCCCAATTTACTCTAATTGGCAATATGAATATTCTTCCAAGTTGGCGAATCGTTTTAATTTTCGATGAAAATTTTCTCAAAAAATTTTTCGGAGGTTTTCTGGGTGTTTTTAGGGTTAATTTAAATTTTCTTTTTTGAGGAATAATCTGTGTCAAATATACAAAGAACCGTGTTATTTAACAAATTTAAACAACAAAATGAGTAAAACCGAAAGTGTAGCAGTCGCCTTTTCTCCTGAAGACAGTGTATTTTTTAAATTAAAAATTCAAATTTTGTTTGTATTTTTTAGAAAACTCAAATAATCCTTCCTCTTAATGCTGCCATAAAAATCTTTACATATTTAACGCGAGACGAAATCGAAATTTGCAAACAAGTCTGCAGTGGCTGGAAACAACTTGTCGAGTTTGCTGATAAACAACTGCCTAAAAGACCGATTGATGCTGTTGTTCTAAGTTCAAATCATGAATATACAATCTCAATTTACTATAAAGACGTCAGACGTGTCTATTGTTTTCGAAAATATTTTTATGACAGGTTTATTTTAGTATTTTACTTTGTTGGTCCTTAGAAGAAATGTGGGACACGCCCGAAATGTCGCGCGGCCATAATGTCGCCGAGCCATAACTTGCTTTAAGATTTCCGAATCTTTCCAAATTTAGCATTAAACGATTCCTCTCATCGAGCTAAAGAGATTGGTACCAAAAATTGATAAGGGCCAGAAATTTTTTTAGCAAGTTATGGCTTGGCGAAATTATGACCGCGCGGCATTTTGGGCTGTACTTAAGAAATGAGCAAGAACTACTCGATGCGGAGAGACATACCATAGTAGCCCTATTTCTAACTCTGTTTCGCCTTGGTCGAATTTTAATCCGGGGTAGGAGGCAAATGAATTTGAACTCATTTTCGGACTCGGCACGCTGACTACCCACTAGCAGACCTTAAAATAATAAAAGAGCACTTCTTGCTCTTTTTTAGAGAGCAATAAGGAAGAAGATTACTTTAAATTTTAAAATGTCTAATTTAGAGATATTGATGAAATTGAACTTAAAAGAGTTACTAAACTGCCGCAGTTATTCGATGAACACAACTACAGGTTTCCTTGTGGAGAATCTTTTCCTTGTGTTTATGATCATTTTAACTTTGGACTGTTCGATCATATGCACGATTTGGAGTGTAGAAGTAAGTCATATTTTCAGTAGAATTGGGGGTTTTAGATCCTTTTTTCTCGGTCAAAGAGCTCCAGAAGAAGCATTGTTCAAGAGATCGAAGAAGAATAATGATTCTAGACCGGATTTGAGGGAGTCGTGAAAAAGCCGATCTAGAACCCTTAGTCTTCTTCGACTTCTTAAAGGATGCTTCTTCTAGAGCTCTTTGACCGAGAAAAATGGATCTAGAACACTCATCTCTCTTCTAATTTTTCAATAACCTCTTCTAATTTTTCAATAATCTTCTCGAGCTCTTTCCTCTCTCAAAGCCTATCTAGACCACTCATCTCTCTTCGATTTCTTGAAGAGCTCGGGGAAAGAATTCGAGAAAGAGCTTCAAGAACTCGAAGAAAACGACTTATTCTAGATCCATTTCTCTCGGTCGAAGACCTAGAGAAGATTTAAAAAATTTTTTGGGGAGCTGCTTAGGCGTCATCTTCTATTTTATATACACCTCATTATAAGGATAGGATGAGAATGGAAGGAAAAAATGACTGACCATTTCGTACTTCAACTGCGGGGAAGGGAAGGGAATAAGTACCATAAATATAACCTACCTTATAATGACAAACTATTTTTTTATATTTTTTAGAAAGGATAAATTTCATGATGTACCATCGCAGAAATAATTATTCTCGAAAATTGTTTACTCCTCCTCTTGGCTTTTACGAGCGTCTCAAAGCAATGTTACACAATGGATATGTCAAACGACTTGTTTTTCAATCATTTACTTTTACCGATTTATTCGTTGAAAAATTTTTTGAATATGTAAAAGGGCCTTTTAAACATTTGGATGTTGTCTATCTTCACTGTAATTTTTTCGATTTTTTAATAGTAAAGAGGGGATCATCCCGTCAACACCCAAATGGTCACTCTCTATGACCAAATTAGAGACCGGCGCGGGACGGGATCCCGCGCGGGATTTTGCGGGGTCCCGCTCCCGCAAACACGATTTTGCCGGTCTCTAGATCAAATGACTTAAATGTCAAATTACCCTGAAGATCAACTCCAAATATTTAGACGGATTAAGATGGATTTTTGGATCAAGTTGGACTAACAATAAGTGACATGAGAAAGGAATTCTAAATGGTCAGAAGGCAAAAATATTTTCTCTTGAGTCCCTTTATCCGCCCAAATATTTGGAGTTGACTTTAAGGGTAATTGTCCGTTAGGGTCATTTGATCAAAGGGAGTTGACCATCTTGGTGTAGACTCTCTGTGGTGGACCCTAAAAAATATAAATTTTAGTTTGTAGTTTGCGACGGATAAATTCTGATTCTTTCCACAATCTTTTGGATCAGCTTTCACCAAAAAAATATTTTATTGATAAATTAACAAATTGCCTGCCCGTGCATGTTAGCAAACCACTTTTGGATAAACACTCAATTAAAATGTATTTTTTTTTAATTTTATAATTAACTTTCATATTTTCAGGGCTGAAGTTTTTTCTTTTGGAAGCGCTTTTGCACGTAACCATCAATTGCAAGATAATTTTTTTCTTATTGATGATGATACTTTTTTGAATTTTGTAAATACGTTGTCAGCCTATCCAAATGTATCGAGAAAATTTTTTGGTATTTCACAATGTAGAATTACTCAAGAATTTATTCAAAAATATGCAAAGGTTTGTATTTTTTTATTAAAGGAGGCATCACTATTACACCCTTTTGACTGAAAAAATATTTTTGTTCATTATGTGGTGAGATCCCACGCAATTATCACCAAATGAAAGACATATTAACTGTTGGACCTGGCTCTTTATTTAATCTATACTTAGGGGTAAGGTCCGTTCTTGGGAAATCTTCTGATCTCTGGATCCGAACCGAAAATCGGCTGTTTTTCTGTTCGGTTCTGAACTGTCACCTTTGTCGTAGAGGTATCAAATTCAATTGTTAACCAAGCTTTATTCTAGTAATACGGATATATTATAGGTGGACTGTTGGACTTGGCTCACTATTTAACTTATAGTTAGGGGTAAGGTCCGTTCTTGGGAAATCTTCGGATCTCCAGATCCGAACAGAAAATCAACTATTTTTCAGTTCGGTTCTAAACCGTCAACCCCTGTCTTAAAGGTATCCAATCTAATTGTCAACCAAGCTTTATCTAGTAATACGGATATATTATAGCGGGCTCGACTGTTTTTTTATAAAATATTACACTAAAAATATATTTTATAATTTTAGCTTGTTGCACAAATCAAAAGAAATAATTTGGTTGATAATCAACTTGTACATGAAAATAAAAATTTTTGGTTGTTTAAACATGTAGTTTTTGGAAATTTAAATTATAAAGTTGATTTTTAAAATTTTTTTGGCTTCTTTATTTTGTTACCAATCTCAATTTATTTTTTTAAACTTTTATAATTTTAATTTTGTTTATAGAAAATTTATTTTGAAAAATGGATGAGTATGGAATTGTAAGTTTATTTTTAATTTATTTCTTCAAAAAAAATTTTTTTAAGGAAGAGTTGTATAATGGAGTTATAAATGATGTTATCAATCAAGTACGTCCAGCATTTTCTGATGATGGCGTTGATATTGAAATTTTGCGACATTTGAAGAAGGCGTGGGAAGAGAGGCTTCAAACTGCTAATGGTTTTTAAATAAATTTTTTTCGTTATAATAAAATTTTTATAGAATGGTCAGGATGTAGTGCGTCAGAGTCTAAGGTAAAAAAATAAAAATTGGGGATCAAAACGCTGAAATACCAAACTGGAACTTGGACTCGTAAGTTTTTTCCAATAACGGGTAAAGGTGTTCCAAAGGATGAGCAAGGTTAGATGATTAATAGGACGTATTATCCGAAACTCTGACTTTTTCCTTAACTCTTCCCATCCCTGTTGCACACCAGAAAAACCAAGATTGGGGTTTTGCTGGTATTTCGGTGGCTTTATTGAGTTTGGTATTTCGGCGTTTTGGTAGTACGACGGACTACTGATTGACTTTATAATTTTTTTCTTGTGTCAGAGTCATACCGGAACTGAAATTTCACAGTTGGATGGTGGAGGTCCAACTATGGATGACAGGTTTTTTTAAGTACGTCGATCCTATAAATATTTTTCTTAAATTTTTCAGCTCTTCTGAAGAAGAGGAAGTGGTTGAATCAACCGAAACTAAAGAGCATTTGAAAGAAACTGATGCAAACAAAAGTTCTGGCGATGAAGAAGAACCGCCTCTAAATTCGGATGATGATGGAGAAGATGAAAATGCTGAAACAATTTTTGAGACGGACAATGTATTTGCTTGCATTTTTAATGTTAAAATTTAAAAATTTTTTTTAGATTGTCCTTTGTCAATTTGATAAGGTAAAAAATTTTTTTTGTTGTTCCGGTTTTCAAGAATCCAAAGTTTTGGATTTCCGGTTATTCCAATCTGTTGGGGATCCGTTTTTGGACATTTCCAAATTTGGACGTTTTCACTTGTCCGGTTTCTTTCATTCCCAGGATTTTAACGATTTTTCTTAAAAGAGTCTCGAAATTAGGACACCAAGGATGGGACGTATTACCCGAAACCTAGACTTTTTTTCAACTCTCCCCACTTCTGTTGGGCACCAGAAAGAAATTAAAAAATTTTTTTTTATTTTTTTAGATAGTTCGAACTCGAAAGATGTGGAAGTTTCATTTGAAAGAAGGGGTAAAATTTAATTTTTAATTAGTTTTAAATTTAAAAAATCCTTTTAAATTTTAAGATTATGACTATTCGAGGAAAAGAATTTTGCTTTCGACGATGTAATGGAGATGCTGAATGGTAGAGAAAATTTTGAGAGAAAAAATTTGTTTAAAAGCGCTTTTAATTTTATGTAAGATCTCTTTTATGTTAAAAAGGTTTGGGATTTTTTTGATTTATAAATTTTCTTTTTTTCTTTTTCTGCTGATTTGACTTTTGATTCGTCATATATATACCGGACAGCGCCTTAATGCCAAAAAGCTGTAATGCCAAACTCCAGAAAGCTGACGAAATGTCACACTGGAAATGGCTCTGAGTAGGGTTGTCGGTTCTGGACCGAACCGAAGAACCGATGATTTTTCGGTTCGGTTCCGGATATTCGAAGATCTTCCAAGAACCGACCTTAGCTCTGAGCCATCTGTCGAAATGTTGCTCTAACAAAGGTGAGGGGAGTTCGTTCCAAATTTGGGTTTTTTGGCATTGAAGGTTCATACCGTCATATACTTAATAATTATTTTAACAAAATCTTTTTTTTTAATTAATAAATAGTTAAGGATGCATGAATCAGAAATAATTATTTTGGAAGGTTCTAATTTTTTTAGACAATATTTGGTTTATTCGATTTTAAGTGGAAGAAGGATATCTATAAGAAATATTAGGCCATATGATGATTCTCCTGGAATTAAAGGTTTTTTAAACTTAACTGGAGTAAATTGATAACAAAATTTAGATTTTGAATATAAATTGTTGTCGTTGTTGGATCTAATAACAAATGGTTCAGAAATTGATATAAACAAAACAGGCAAGTATTTGGAATTAAATTTACCTTCGATCTGGTTCTTACATGTCAAAAGGATTGTTAAGGGTTTACTTATGTTTTTTAGTAAGCAAGATATTGGTCTGTGAGGGTTGAAAGCGTATCGGGACCAAGAAATCTTTAAAAAAATCGAGGATCTTGAGATTTTTTATCGGTCCGATCTCCATTAATTCAATAGATTGGTTTCAGGGTTTGCAAATAAGCCAGGGCCAGGAAACTTGTTTGGCTCCTCCCGTGGCGTGTCACTTAGTGGCTTTACTAAGAATAGGCTTCACAAAGATTTAAGAATTTTAATATTTTGCATTTTTAGGCACACAAGTTGACCTCTCGCCTGGAACTTTGCAAGGAGGGAGTTTTGAATTTCAATGTGGAACTGAACGTTGTATCAGTTATTTTCTTGAGCCACTCATTTTTCTTGCGCCATTTTGTAAGATTGCAATAAATGGAAGCCTTAAAGGATTAACAAATGTGCCTGACGAAATAAGCGTAGATGCTATTAATAGTACATGGTTACCCGTTTTTTCGCGTTTTGTACCAACAGATGATGATTTATACTTAAAGGTTTGTTTTGATTTTCAGACTAAAAAATTTGTTACGATTGTTGAAATTCCGGAAATGTCAAATCCACAAAAGTCGTTGAAATGTCAAACGGTGAATTTTCGAATAACAACGGTTTTTGGAGGTTTGTCATTTCAACGTTTTGACATTGTGACATGCTTCGAAAAATTTTTTATTTTTTTTAATTTTAAGATTAATGCCAGAGGTTTTTTGCCAGATGCAGGTGGATCAGTAACCTTTTGCAGTCCAATAAAAAAGAATTTGAGACCTGTTCAATTTGTAAAACCTGGAAAAATATGCAAAATTCGAGGTCTTGCTTATGTTTGTAAAGTTTCCCCTTCAATTGCTTCGAGAATGGTATTCAAAATTTTCTGGAAATTTTTTTTTTGAAAAAAAATTTTTTATTAAAATAATTTTTTGTAGATTGAAGCAGCAAAGAAGATGTTGCATGGATATATTTCTGATGTTTACATAACTATTGACCAACGAAAAGGTCCCCAAGGAGGATTGTAACGTTTTTGTGTTTTACTAAAATTAAAAGAAAATTTAAACTTTTAGGTCCCCAGGTTTTGGAATTTTTATAACCGCTTCGACTACAGAAGGTGTCAGTTATTTTGGTGAAGCAATGTCTAATCCAAAAGATTCTCAAAAAGTTCAATTGATTCCTGAAGAAATTGGAGCAGAAGCGGCAAAGCGTTTATTAAACGAAATTTATAAGGTTTTTTTGAAGATTTTATTATAGTTGGACCCTTTGAACTGAAAAATTTTATTTTTAATGGTGTGTGTTAATATGGTTGAGGGATCGTTTTGGGCCGCCTCCACCGCATGAATGGGACATTTTTGCCTTTCACTGATTTTTGTTTTTTTTTGAAACTTTTAAATTGACTTTCTGCACATCTCTGCTCATTCACTTAGTGGCTAACCAAATTTAAGAACTCTTAAGTTATCCAGTATTATGGAGTACTACCAAAACGCCGTAATGTCAAACATTTCCACAGTTTGGCATTTCGACGGTTTTTAGCTGATTTGTTATTATTTATAATAAATAAAAATATATTTTTAAGGGTGGATGTACTGATTCTTCAGCCCAAGCTTTAGCTACAACATTTATGACGCTTTGTGATAAAGACGTTTCAAAATTTTTGTTTGGTCCTTTGTCGTTTTATTGGTTTTTTTATTTTTTAGACTTTTTTTTAAATTAAAAAAATTTTTTCTAAGTGTTCACACAATGAGAAATTTACGTTTATTTTTTAATCATACATTTAAATTGGATGAATTATGGAAATTGGAAAAAAAGGAATTTGATGAAGAAAAGAAGAGGAGATGTACTGGAAGTGAAGATAAATGTTTGTTAACTTGTGTTGGTACTGGTTATTATAATATAAACAAAATATTAATTTAAAAAAGGTTTTTTTAGAATTTGTTAAATTTGTTATGTCTTTGATTTTAAAAATATTTATTAAAAATAAAGTAGAACCTCGTTATAGGATACCCCTAATGCAAGATAAACCTTTATTTAAGAGACGCTTTTTTAAAATTTGGTTGGCCTTTGGGTGAGGGAGAGCTGTCTAAGATACCCCCCCCCTCCAACATTTAGGAGACACCTCGTAATAAGATCTAGGCGATACTCTCTATGTAAAATACACCTTAAGGTCAATTTTTCAGCTGGAAAAGGTAGGGGGTATCCTATAGTGAGGCTCTTGTCTAATATTTGTTATTATATTCCAAGAAATATTTTTAAATATTTTCTTATATTTTTTTCAATTAATCGTAAACAAATATTTTTTAAAATATTTTAGAAAAATGGAAAATAAAAAATTAACAGATTCATTATACGCAACAATTTCAAACACAGAATTAACAATTTCAAATGAATTAAAAAAAGAAGGAACTTTGCAAGATTCTCAAGATTGTTTAGAAGAAGAAAATTTGCTTCATTCACTTCCCTGTCATATTGAATTTACTGGACCTGCCCCAGTTTCTGTTTACTTCAATAAAGAAAATTTACATCATGAGAATGTGAGGGCAGCTTCATTTCGAGGGCATATGCTTTTGAATAAACTTGTGAAGGTTCCGGAAGGTTATGAAATTTATACAATGAGTGAGTCGGTTGCAGAAACTAAAGGTTTTTTTATTTATTTTTTAAGTAAGAGAGAAGTAAAAAAAGGTTGGACCTGGGCGGACATCGAACCTTGGACCCCCCCCCCCGGCTGTTATTGCTACTAGGAAATTTTTGCTTAGAATTAGGATGAGTCGTGTTGAGGAAAAACTAAAAAAATCAGGGTATTGGGTAATCCGATTTGTCATTGATACAGGTGAATTACTGCTGAATGAGCTACCGGCCTTTCTCTTCTGCCTTAGCTAATAGATCTTAAATCCCTGCCTATTGAGAGTTTCGAAGTCTAGCTAGTTGGGTTTTCCTTATATTTGCAATTGATTTTTTAAGATCGACGTGTTAATTGATTATGTCGAATAGGGTCGGACTCTAATTGTTAAATAAGATTGTTAGATGAAAATAAAAATATTTTTTAGATGATTATGAAATTAAAACGTTTCAACTAAAAGGGTCTTGCAAATCAATGAATTTTTGGGAGAAGGATGAAATGCCTGAAGGTCCAAATAAAATTGAAGATGCTCTAACTTGTATTTTTATTGCTGAAAATCTTTCAAATTAATTTTTTTTAATTTTATAAATTTTTTCAGTTAATTTTCTTTAATTTAAAGATGGGTATCATTTGCTGTTATATCAGACGCCGAAATGCCAACCTCCTAAAAAGACGCTAAAATACCAAAATGTTGTTTGTTAACTATCTTCCACGTTTGTAGCGCCTTCAGCTTAGGTTTGCGTATTTTCTAGAGAGCGAGCTGGATTTGGATCCAGACCTTGATTTTTCCTGGATCCAGGTTCAGATCAAAACATTATTCAGATTCTTGGATTTTTCTTTGACTCAAGTTCCAGAATCTGGTCAAGATTTTTCGATAATCTCGCTCTCTAGTATTTTTCCACATTTTGGTATTTTGACAGTTTTGTGGGTGGATATTTCGGTGTTTGGTATTACGACGCGCTCCCACGATGAAAATATTTTTTGATCTTATTTTTTTAAATATTTTATTAAATTTTATTTATTTTTTAGAAATGTCAAGAAGACGCACAGCTTTATTTTTAATTTTATTTTTATATACTGCTCAACTAATTTTTGTTTTTGGAGAAGTTGTAACGCTAGCAGTTGGTGCTGGGGCAGTGAGTGCTCTTGGAATGTTTATTGGAGATTTTGCTGGAATTTATTCTTTTGCTAAATGCAAATGTATTTTGTTTAATTTGTATAATCTTTAAAATTATTTTTTTTAATTCTCAGTTTTTGAATGTTGCAATTCTCCATGGATTAATAAAGATGTTGCTCGAAGTAAGTAAATTTTGGATATTACTATAAAACCTAAAAATGTTGGATACCTCTTAGAGATTTAGGATACGTTTTTGGAGATGCCCTCTATTTAAGATACCTTATGAAATATTCCCAATACTAGATACACTTCTATTTATGAGATGCTTTAGTCAAAAATAAGTTAAAAATTGGTGGGGAGCTGTATAACAATTAACGATACTTTCTGCGTATTTAAGATACATTTCTTTGTAAGAGACCCTCGATACCAGATACACCTCTAATAAGGGGACGTTTTTTAAAAGTTTAGTTGATCACTGATGTGATCGGGAGGAGCTGCCTCGGATATTATTTAAGATACCTTCTATTTATGAGACCCTTTTATTAGTGAAATCTAGCTATTACTTTGAGAAAATAATTGTTTTTTATTATTAAAGGATTGCAAGAAGAAGTTGAAGAAAGGCTTTATGGTCAACACATTGCGCAAAAAATTGTAATTAATGCTGTTCGTGCACATATTTCTAAACAGTTGGGAAAATTGTATTTTTGAAATTTTTAAAAAATTTTTAGAAACCCAAACAAAGCATTAGTTTTATCATTTCATGGTTGGACAGGTTCAGGAAAAAATTATTTGACACAAATGATTGCAAAAGCTGTTTATAAAAAAGGATTTAAAAGTCAATTTGTACATTTTTCTGTGGCAACTTTACATTTTCCGTATCCTGAAGAAATTAATAATTACAAGGTTTTGTTTGATTTTTTAAATTTAAAGATTCTTTTGGGGGTCTCCGTTACTTACTCCATTATTTTTCTTTTTCTAAAAAATACGAATGGTCAAAGGTTTATAATTGTCAACCAAATTAAAGCTAATTCTTTACCATTATATACCCTGACAATTTATAATTTTTTGAGAACGCCTTGTAATACCAAGAACTTGCAATACCAAGCCCTATTTGTTTTTGGGGGCTTGGTATTTCAAGTCTTGGTGTTTCAAGATCCTACCTAATTTTTGGAGAAAGCTCTAACAATAAGAACAGGGAAGGGTTATAACAGGCCTTTGGCTTTGCTTCGTTTCGACGTTGATTGTATAAACAAAAAACTAAAAATTTGCTAATTGAAATTTTTACGCCATTTTCAATTTGGCATTTTGGGTGTACGTTATTATACCGAGAAAAGAAATTTTTAAAAAAATTTTTTCAGAGGCAATTGAGAAGTTGGATTTCCGGAAATTTAACACAATGTGAACGGTCGCTATTCATATTTGACGAAGCAGATAAATTGCCTTTACAGTTACTTGATGCTATTGTCCCTTTTGTTGATTTTTATGATAATGTTAATGGTATTGATGCAAGAAAAAGTATTTTTATATTTTTGAGGTTTTCTTTTCGAATTTTTGAGAAAATTAAAGAAAATTTTTGTTTCAAGTAATGGAGGTTCCAATTTAATTGCTCAACATGCATTAGAATATTACAAAAGAGGACTACCTAGAGAACAAATGACGTTTAAGGAATTGGAAGAATTAATGCAATTAAGTGCTTATAATGAAGGTTTCTTATGAGAAATTTTAATAGTTGAGAGGCTCAAACGCTAACCAGTCTAGTCACATTCTTGAGGAGTTAAAATTTCCGAGTCTTGGTTTTAATTTTGAAAATGTGTTTGGAATAGCCCCCCTCTAGTTGGATAAAATTTCCTGTTGAACTAAAAATCGGTTGATAAATTTCGAAATAAAAAAATCCCCAAAAAGTCGAAATCGATTTCGACTTTTTAGTGATTTGTTCGTTCTCAAAAATTAAAAAAAAAATTTTTTTACCTACCTCCCTTCCATTTTTTGACCTTTTTTGACCTTTTTTTTTGGCTTTTGGAGCAATAGCCCCCCCCCCTTGAAATCGACCTTTGCTACGCCTTCAATCCCTTCAATTAATTTGATATTTCTGTCTGGTCGTTGTGTTTTATCCAGCTGGTATTTCAACCTTCACTCTTATTAATTAAATTTTTAAACAAATTTTTTTCAGGAGAAGGTGGATTAAAAATGAGTAGAATAATAAGTAAACATTTAATTGATTATTTTGTTCCATTTCTTCCATTGGAAAGAAGGCATATTATTATGTGTTTTAGAGATTATTTACATTCAAAAAATATTGTTTATACACAAGAACAATTGGAAAATTTGGCTGATCAACTTTCGGTTTTTTTAAATTTTTTGAAAATTTTCTGAAAATTTTTGATAATTTTTTCTAAAATTTTTCTAATTAAAAAATTTTCTTTTCAAGTATTTCCCAAAAGACACCCCAATATTTTCAACTTCTGGATGTAAACAAATTGAAAGAAGAGCAGATTTTATGTATGCTGAAGTTATTAGAGAACAACATTTTTTAGCGAGTCAATATAATGATGAAATTTGAAGAAATTTTTTTGGAGGTTTCGAATTTGTAAAAAATTTTTGAGGTTATTTTTTGTAAAAGATTCGAGACTAATCCCACACACAAACTCATTTTCACGGGTTTTATTTTATATTTTTTAAAAGATATTTTTGATAGCCTTGAGAGTATGATTAGACTTAAATTAACTTTGTTTCACGGTTTTTGTTTCACGCTGGGTCCAAAATTTTTGAGAATTTTCTGGAAACCAGAGCTTTTTGAAATTTCAATTTTCGTGAGTTTTTCGACTTCTTGGTATTTTTTTTTATTTTCGAATTTTTTTCCGAAACATTTCTTTGCCTGAAAACACTGACAAATTCATTATTTTAAAAACTTCTCTTATCTCAAAGTCTCAAGGGATTTTAAAATTACTGATTTTTTACTTTGTGTATATTTTTCAATGTTTTTTTTAATTTTTACTGTTTTATAATTTAAAAATCGAAACATTTTTAAAATATTTTCTTTCAAAAAATTTCGACAAAGTTGATGACTTTGGATAATATTTTAATTTTGTTTTAATTTAATTTTTAGTCAATTTTAATAATTTTTTTTGTCTGTCAATGTCAACAACATTTACTTTAATTGGTTTACTTTAAAAAATTTTTTTAAATTTATTTTTAATTTTTAAAGGTATCTCAGCAATAGCAGTTTCCTTGCTTGGTTATTATTTTCAAAAGTATGGCCCTCCTCCACCGCCAAAAATTGCTGGAATTGATTTGGGTACAACTTATTCTTCTATAGCTGTTTTTCTACCGGCTAGTGGTCAAACTATTGTTATTGAAGATAAATTGGGGAAGAAGTCTATTCCGAGTGTTGTTGGATTTTTGTAAGGGTTTTCTAAAAATTTTATACCTCGTTAATAGATACTCTCAATGGTTTGACCTTATTATAGGATATTCCTAATATAACATACACCTCGATTTAAGAGACGATTTTCAAAATTTTTGTCAATTTCTTGACTCGGAGAGCTGTTTAAGCTATACTCTCTATTTAAGAGACGGTTCATTATAAGGAACTTCACTATAAGACATCCCACTATTAGGTACACCTCGATTTAATAGACGCTCTCTTAAAATCTGGTTAGCTACGGGATTGGGGGAGCAACCTAAGCAATACCCTCTATTTAGGATACACCTCATTATAAGAGACTATTTTTTCAAGCTAAAAGATATACCTTATAGTGGGGTTTATTTTTAAATCTCCAACAAAAATTTTCAGAGGCAATGGCGAAATTGTAGTTGGAACAAAAGCTGTAGAACAACAAGAAACGAATCCTTCCAATACCATTTATGATGCCAAAAGATTTATTGGAAAACGTTTTGAGGAAAATGATCCACAATTTCAGGTTAATTTTAAAAATAAATTTTTATAAAATTAATTTTATTTTAAATTAGCTATAGATGGATCGTAATCGTTACCCATTTACTATAAAATTGGATAATGATGGATTTGCATTGTTTGAAATTGAAGAGAAGGGCGTTAAACGGTTTGAAATTTTTTCTAGTTTCTTTAATGAGCAATAGGGAATAGGTAGGGTTAACCGAAATCTATTACTCTCGACCAGGATTTTTTGTCTTGAAGCCAGATCCGGAAAAAAGTTTTGTAAAGGCCGACCCGAAGCCCTTTTTTCAATTCAACCTGACCCATCCTGATGAAAATTAGGGAATCTTAGAGAGAGAGAGACAACAGGAGTTGAACCCGACATGACTTTTTTGTCTTAACAGCGGCTCATCCTTAATTATGTAACAGTAAAGAAGATGGGAAATGTGGGGGAGAGATACGGGGAAAAAAGTGGAAGGAGAGATGGGGGGTAAACTACACTGGACCAAAAAATTTTTAATTAAAATTTTTTAAAGTTTAATCCGGCCAGAAGAAATTGGTTCAATTATAATTTCTTATCTTCAAAAAATGGTACTAGAATTTTATGGTGCAAATATTAAAGAAGTTGTAATTTCTGTGCCTACAGAATTTGATCAAATGCAACGAACATATACAAACAAAACTGTCGATTTAGCTGGAATGAATGTTAGAAGAATTATAAGTGAACCAACAGCCGCAGCATTAGCTTATGGATTACATGAAAAAAAGGGTGTGGAATATATTGTTGTTGTTGATATCGGTATTATTTTTTTGTTTAATTTTTTAAGTCATTTTGTGGTTAAGTGGGTTAAGTTTGATTAATTTTGTAAGGATGATTTATCTGACACCGTTTAAAAAGTTTTATGGCGTGAGTTGAGTAAATGTAAGAGGAAAGGAGAATGAATTTAGACAGAGATTCGGTAGTTAAGTGGTAGAGCAGTTACATAGTTTTCAGAATGGTCGCAGGTTCGAATCCTGCCGGAGGCTTCTTACTATAAATTTCCACTGATCTGAGCCTAAAGTTTTCTGATTTTATATTCTTTGGGTTTAATAATGTGGATAAATTAAAAAGTTTATCTAATTTTACTAAATTCATTGAATAACGATGAATTTAGATCGCTAGATAATACATTAATGAAAATTTTTTCGGATCTTGCTTTTCAAGTTGCACCTTTGGGTCAAAAAATCTTTTATTTTATATTGAGGACAGGCACACCCCCTACCAATTTTTTAAGAGTTCCCTTTATTTTGATGGTATCTTATTTAATAAATAGTGTGTAAGTTGTTAGGCTTCGATAAGCATTCTATTAACAGAATTAAATTTTAGTTAAGTGGGTTATGTTTGAGTTTCCACTGTCCAAACCTAAAGTTTTCTGTTTATATTCTTTGGGTATTTATTGTGGATAAAATTAAAAAGTTTATCTATTTAATCAAGTAAATTCATTGTAGAAGGATGGATTTATTAATATTAGATAAAACATTCTTTTTTGTTGACACATCGAAACCTCATTATAAGGTACACCTTTGGGTCTGGAAAATAGTATTTTATAATGAGGTGTCTTTTAAATAGAAGGTATCGCTCGGGCGGCTCTCCAACCCAATGACCTATCAAATTCTAAAGAGCGTCGCTTAAATAGAGGTGTATCTAATATTAGGAGTATCTAAGAAAGAGGTTTTATTAATTTTCTATTTTAGGTGGTGGAACCATGGATGTTTCTGTTCTTTGGTTAAATAATGCGGTTTTTTTTAAATTTCTAAATTAAAATAATTAATTCTTTTAAGGTATTTGTTACTCAAGCAATGGCCGGAAATAACCGTTTGGGTGGTCAAGATTTTAATGAACGAATTTATAGATTACTTTTGAAGGTTTTTTTTATTTTTTCTATAATTTTAAATTTTTTTTTAATATTTTTTAGAAAATAAAAGAACAGACAAAAAAAGATTTAAATAACAGAGAAGATTTACAACAATTGAGGTTATATTTTTTTAAAAATATTGACGAAAGGGGGATGATAGCTTACTAGGGTGACTAGATTTGTCTCAGATACTGGGAAATTTGTGGGTATCCTTCCTGTACATCTCAGATTTTTTGGTTTTTGTGATCCCTACCTCTAGTCAATGGTTGAAAAATTTATTGAGATTTGGTTGGTTCCACATGAGGTAGTTGTAATATTAAAGCCGCAAATGGGTTTTTACCCGAACTCCGACTCAAAAAATTTTTTTGAGAACCCGATCCAAACCTAACTTTGCCTTTTTCTAATCCACTCATGAATATTCTAAATATTTCAAAAAATTTTCTTTTTTCTCAAGACTTGCCGTTGAAGAAGCAAAATTGCAACTTACAAATTTGCCTGAAACTTTAATTAATTTAAATTTTCGATCAATTGGAAATTTTGAATATTTGGTTTTTTATTTAAAAATATCAAAAAATTTCCTTTTTAAAGTTAACTCGCCAAGAATTTGAACAAGTCAACAAAGATTTATTTTGGAGTATTGTTGAGCCTATTAAAGCTGCTTTGGCAGATTGTCAACTTGGACCAGAGGATATTGATGAAATTGTTTTGGTTGGAGGTTCTACGAGAATTCCAAAAATTAGAAATATTGTTGGACAGTTTTTTAGGTTTATTTTTTTCAATTTTTAATTTTAATTGTTAATACACCCATTTATAAGTACATCCTTAGGATTGAAAAGTTGTCTATTATAATGAGTTGTATGTTAAATAGAGGATTTCACACGTAGGCAGACTCCTACCTAGGGAACAACCAAATTTTAGAAGAGCGTCTCTTGAATAGAAGTATATCAAATATTGAGGTATATTATACGAGGTAGTCCTTACTAGATACCCTCTAATACTAGATACATCTCTATTTAAGATACCCTCGTTATAAGGGACTTTTTTACATTAAGGGTGCATCTTAAAGTCAGGGTGTTTTATAATTTAAAAAATTTTTTTCAATTTAAGCAAAGTTCCAAATTATGGTGTATTTCCTGAATTGGCAGTCGTTATTGGTGTTGCAATTCAAGCTGGTGTTGTAATTAATGGTTGGCCTTTACAGGTTTTTTTATTAAATATTTTTTTGAATAAAAATTTTTTTCTTTTTTTTTAGGTTGCTGCAATGGAACTTCCATTTGCCAAACAAAAGAGGCATGTTTATAGACCTATTGAAGAACAACAACCAAAGATTTAAATTTATTCCTTTTTTAATTTTATTATTTATTGGAAATTGGGGTTTGTTTTCTTTTTTTAAAAAAATTTTTTGTTATTGTTGAATCTAATGGGTATGGAGAAATTTTTTTAATTTATTTTGTAAAAATATTTTTCAGAAATTTCAAAAAATTTCCTTTTTCTAAATTCCTTTTCCTTAGAATTCTTTTTTTTTCTATCGTGCTCTCACTTACAAAAACATGGTTTTGGATTTTTAAGAATTCCGTTAAATTTTTTTATCCTTCCGCTTTCTCGTTTTGTTTTCTGCTTTCTTTTTTGTATTTTCTCTTTAATTTATTGTCCTATTTTAACTAAAGGTTGGACCCCAACTCTTGGCGGAGTCAAAGATTTTGGAATCGAAGTTTTAGCTAAAGAAAAAGGTCGGGGTGTGTTCAGTGTCTGGGTTCAACCCCCTCCCCTATTTTATCATAAATTGAATTTTAACTTTCTCTTTCCTTTAATTTATTGTTCTCTTTAACTATGGGTTGGACCCTTGGCGGAGTCTAAAAGTTCGAAATAGAAGTTTTAAGGTCGGGGTGTTCAGGGTCTGGGTTCAACCCCCCCCCCTATTTTATCATAAATTGGATTTTAACTTTTGTTTTTAAATCTATCTTTCTTTCTGATTCTGTCTTGAATTTTTTTTTAAATTTTTATTAAAGGAAGTAAAAATTTTTTGTTGAATTTTAAATAATCTCTTAGTAATTTTTAAAAGGGGTTTAGGAGGGAAGGAGTTTCTGATTGATTCTGAGTCATTTTTCTGTTCCCTCTTTAAGGGTGTTTTTTAGTTAAGTTTAGTTGTTAGTTAGTCTTTCTTCCTCTCTTAAAAATGTTTAAAATTTTTATTAAATTAATTTTATTATTTCAATTGTTTGAATGGACATTGGTAAAATTTTTAAAAAAATTTTTAACGAAAAAAATTTTTTCTTTTAGGGTTATCAACAAAATATTGCTTTGTATTATAAATTATTAAATGAACATTATGATACGTTCAAAACTATGGTTTAAATTTAAATTAAATTTTAATAAACAAATTTATTTAAAAGCAAGATGTTGATAGCTATGTTCAGGGAATGAATGAATTGTGTTCTATTCACAGAAAAATTATGGCTTATAAACGGGATGATGTAAAGAATATTTTTGTTTAATAGATAATGGAACCTCATTATAAGATAACCTTTAGGGATGAAAATAGTCTCATAATGGAGTCTTGTAACGAGGCGTATCTTAAATAGAGGGGAAGTCTCACAAGATACTCCCTTGGGGCTGAAATTGGTCCCTTATAATGAAGTTTTTAATAACGAGGCGTATCTTAAATAGAGAGGAAAATCTCATTATAAGATACTGATTCGTATCTTGTATTGGGATTACCTTAAATAGGGGGTATGTAATATTGAAAGTATCAAATTGAGGCGTATCTTAGATAGGGGGTGTTGCTTGAATAGCCCTCCCCACCGAAGACCTCATTGTACCCTTAGGGCTTATTAATCCTTATAATGGGGTGTATCTTAAATTGAGGTTTTATTTGGGGAGTGCGGGGGGTATCTTATAAAGAGGTTTTAAATTTTAATTTTTTCTCAGTTGCCCAGTGAGGATAGTTTAAATGATTGGCAATTTTCTACATCCCTTGGAAATCCAGAACATTTACCTTACCTTCTCGAAGGAGATATGGTATTGAGTGCAGAACAAATTCAATTAATTGTCGCTGACTTTCGTTCACAATTATCCAAAATAGAGTATTGTCAAGCAAATAATTGTAATGAAAGGAGGAAGCGAATTTTAACGTCAGATTTAAGCCGTCGCTGGAAGGAGTTCCCAATTCCTTTTATTATCCAACCAGACGTTAATCGACAAGCTATACTCGAAGGAATTGCAAATTGGGAAAGAACTACTTGCATTACTTTTGAAGAGAAAGAAGAATTGCCTTCTGATTCGTCTGGTTTAAATTTTGTTTTTGGAGAGGGGTAAATTTTTGGGTTATTTAAAGAATATTTTTATATTTTTTTCTTAGTTGTTTTTCAAATGTTGGAATGGTTAAAGGACGTAATCAAAGAATTGGGATTGGAAGGAATTGTGATAATCCGTTTGTGGTTAGCCATGAAATAGGTTGAAAAGAATTTTATACGACCTAGCCTAGTTTTAGGATGACACCCTTGGGGCGGGCTATGAAATTATGCTTTATAAATCGTCTAAATAGAAGGTAACTTCCAATGATGTGTACCTTAGAATGATGTGTGCCTTATAATGAGTTGTATTGTTTAGAAAATAGTCTCCTATAATGAGGTGTCTCTTAGATCGAGGGTATTGCTTAGGCAGCTCCCATCCACTATCAATATTAAGGATATCTTATAATGAGGTCTGGCCTATTAAATTTAAAAAATTTAATTTTCAGCACACGCCCTCGGCTTCTTCCACGAACAGTCCCGGTGGGATCGAGATGATTATGTTGAAATTCAATTTAACAACATTCTCCCCGGCTTTTTAAACCAATTCCTCAAATTTTCTTTTTCCTTAACCACAACATTTGGAATTAAATATGATTTGGGTTCTGTTATGCATTACGATGCTTTTGTAAGGAAGAAAAAAATTTTTTTTAATTAAAAAAAATATTTTTTGAGGGATATGCTAAAGAGGGGATGGCTACTATTCTTACTAATGATGTAAATTATCAGGAGACTATAGGCCAACGATTTCGTTTGTCATTTGATGATGTTAAGAAGATGAATTTTGCTTATTGCAATGGTTAGAGAATTTAATGAAAAGCTTTAAAAAATGATAAAACCTTGATTATGAGAAACCCACTATTTGGATATAATGTCTTGGGGCCATATTTTCGACTTTAACTTTTTCGGTTCTTAACCGATTTAAATAATTATCATATCAATCGAAAGCTATCGATGTGTGGATTATTCTATCTCAAACGAAAATTTGATTAGATTATCCTACAAAAAGTTACAGACGAATAAGTGAAGTCAATCATGATTTTTGATGTTTCTTTGACTATACCTTTTGTAGAATGGTCTGATCGTATCAATCTTGTTAGATAAAATAATTCTCACATTTAGAGCTTTCGATTGATATAATATTTATTTAAATCGGTCAAGAATCAAAAAAGTTATGGCACAATATATAGCTTCGAGACTGAAACAGCGACCAATTTTCATCCCCTAAGGGGTGTGTATATTTGACAAAAAATTATTAAAGAAAAATTATTTTCAGCAAGCTGCCCCTTTCAACTTCCTTGTCTTCATTCTGGTTATACAGACCCCAAAAATTGTTCAAAATGTCGTTGCCCTGACGGCCTAACAGGTCTTTTATGCAGCAAAGTTGCAAGGACAAAAACTTTATGTGGAGATCAACTAATTTTTAAAAGCGAAGAAAAATATAAAAAATTACAATTTAAAGGTGTTGGGGAATGCAATTATTTAATTAAGGTAAAGATATGTACAATATTCATAGAGCCCCAAGGGTTTTTTCAACATCTAACAAGGGGGGGGGGGGATAGTAAGAGAGGATTAAAAGTTTAGCCCCGAGTAGGTTTAGCCCCCTCCCTGAATTGTTGATAGGCGTCTTTGTTGAATACAGGAGATCTTCCGACCGCTTTCGGGACGCTGTTTTCCGTTTCTTTTAATAGATCTCAAACTCCCGCCAAGTAAGCGTTTTAGCTGCTTAGAATACAGATGGGGGAGGGGGTCAGTATTAAGAAGGGGAACTAATTTGAAGGGCTCTAAGCAGGATATACTTTAATTAAAATTTTTATACAAAATTTCCTCAAAAAAATTTTTTAAGGCACCTAGTGATTCGCGTATTTGTCTTTCAATGGATATTATTCATTTTAGAGACCATTGCCAACAAAATTCTTTTGTAAATTTTTAATTTTAATTCTAACTGAATAGCTATTTCTAGGTAGAAATTCACTACCAAACTTCTTTGGGGAGAACTGGAGCATTGTAAGTTTCATTGCAATTGTGACCTCACCATAAGAGACCCTCTTAAATAGGGGGGGCTCGCTTAGACAGCACCCCAACTCGATTGTACCCATATTTATGAACCCCATAAGCCATTGGGGTCTCCTAGAACTTCACTACATAGAAGCCTTTAACTTTTTCTTTTTCCGGTTCTGCATGGATACTCAACGGAGAACTTTTACAAGCGAAGGAAGCCAAGTACTTATTCTCTATCGTTCTGATTTTTCTAAAAATCAGTTTTCATTGCGTTACAAAACTTGTTAATCAAATGGGGAGAGGCGGGAGATTAAATAAAGTTCCAAAACACTAATTTATTTTACTTTATTCTACAACAAAAAAATTTCACAACAATATATATATTTACATAACAATAGGGTCACACAATTATATTTACATATCACACACACAAATCACCTAACATTTTTATATACTTTTACAATTCTTGTTTAGTTGACGTCATCCACAGATTCGCCACCTTTACGCGGGAACGGGTTCATATCGTCTTCGAATTTCGCGTGGATGTCGTGGAAGGTGATTAGCTGGCTAAGCGTTCGGAATTTGGGCTATCCTTCAATATCAATCTTTATGAGGTCCTTCCCGCAGCACACAATTCGGACATGACTGAAAAAATTTAAAGTTTAGAAATTAGTGTGAAGTTAACACATCTATTTAAGAGACCCCTCATTATGATACCCTCTAATTAACATACCGCTCATTAAAGGAGACTTTTTAATCCCAAGGACATATCCTATAGAAAGGCCGGACCTCCTCAATCCCCCCTTTTACCAGTATTTCCCTTCAGATTTTTGTAGACAATGAACAGCGGCAGAACACTTTGCAGCTGATCCTCATCGACAACCACAATTCGATGGTAGAGACGGAACATGCCAGCAGCTTTACATTGACGCTCAGCTTCACTCGGTGTGCACGGTCCTGCATAGAACTCAGTCAGCTTCTCCTTAGGGTTGACAAGGTCTCTGCTTTTGGTCATGTCCACTTTCGCCGCGTATTTGACATCAGCAGTTGACCTTTAAGTGAAAGGAATTTTTTAAAAGAAAAAAATTTTTCTTGAGAAACTCACATTGGAACAGCGACACCCGCAGCAAAAGGAGGAACCGGCCTAGCGAGCGATCTAAAACAAAAAATTATTAGAGAATAAAATTCAGTTATGTTTTTACTTTTCGCTCGATTTGGGAACGACATATGATTTGTCGAAATTGGGTGGGCCAACAAAAACACCCTACAAGAAAAAAACACTCTACACTCAAGGGAAGCAAATGAACGGAGATTTAAACATTGATAACGGGGATTTTTTAATTTAGTAGGTTTTAAAAAGGGGTAAAACTTGAATTAACAAACGAAAAATTTTGTGGAAACCAAATAACAATAATTAATTTCCAAACCTGGTCTTCCCGCAACAATTCACAGGCCTAAAAAATAATCTTGAAACAAGTAAATAATTAAAAATAACCTCAAAAATTTTTGAGGCTTCTGGCTACTTTGTCAAAGCTGAAAATTAAGTAATTAAAAATCCTTTAGACATAAAAACAACTTATAAAAAGATCAACCATTCAAAACAAACAAATCAGTACATCTAACCAATGGAACATCTGCTGTACGTCTTCTCATTTGACAAGAACTTGGCCACCATCCAATTGGCTTTAACATTGAGTAAGGGATAAACTTATTTAAGGGAGAAACATTGCGGACAAGACTTGCGAATTTAATAAAGTAAAAAAGCTAACCATGTTGACGAAAGCATTGGAGTTTAATGAAGCGAAGTCATCGCCCATATTTCGCCGAAGCTAACATGGGGCTTTTGCCCATATTTCGCCGAAGCTAACATGGGACTTTTGCCCATATTTCGCCGAAGCTAACATGGGGCTTTTGCCCATATTTCGCCGAAGCTAACATGGGGCTTTTGCCCATATTTCGCCGAAGCTAACATGGGGCTTTTGCCCATATTTCGCCGAAGCTAACATGGGGCTTTTGCCCATATTTCGCCGAAGCTAACATGGGGCTTTTAATGTTGCTGCTGCTGTTGTTGTTGCTGCTGCTGCTGAAGTTGTTGCTGCTGCTGAAGTTGTTGTTGCTGCTGCTGCTGAAGTTGTTGCTGATGCTGTTGTTGCTGCTGCTGCTAAAAATCAGATACGTTTTTCAAAAATTGAAAAAAGCAAGTCTTGTCCGCAAGTCATACTCCTCCCCACCGCTCAAAAAGGTTACCCCCAAAAAAAGGAAAAGCCATTCCTTCTGTTGTAGAACATCTTTGCTATAAATGGACAACAGAGGACTCCAAAAGAAGCATCAAAAATCGATTATTGATTTTTGGGATGAAGTGTCATTTAATCTTAATGTTTTGCATTATGCCAAATAGCGCAGATTTTTGAATTCTGAAAGAAATATTTGTTAAATGGTAAAGATATAACGGTTTTGAAACCGATTTATGGATTTCTAGTTTTTAATTGGATATTGGGAACACGAAATAACAACACAAAAAACAGTGAAGTGGTCAGAGAAAAACATTTTCACTACTCTGCCGAGGAAAAATTAATTCTTTTTCTCTAACCAGTTCAAGTTTTTACATGTCTAAACAATAAAATCAATAAATATAAAAAGAGTGTGAGAAATATAGAGACATTAAACAGTTAGAGAGTTGAGGTCAGTTCAGTACGAGCGAAATGGCCAGTTCAGTGCGACAGACCGGCTGTTCTGAAAATACTAAAAGATTCTCCCTTCTAGCGTCAAATTTTTACTTTTAAAGTAAAATATATTTTTGTTGTCCTAAAGAGATTGTTGTTGATTTTCTTCAAAATTTGTAGGATGAAAAATGTAAAGCCCATTTTGGCACTTTGAGAAATTTTGGGAAAATTTTTGCAAAAGTAACCCATCCCAGAAATTCAAGTGCTGAACGAACACTGCGAAAATTGGATGGAGTAACGCCTAAAAGAAATTTAATGTTTCAAGTTTAATCGGACCAAATATAAGATACCCCTTTGAGATTGGAAAATAGTCCCTTATAATGAGGGGTATATTAAATAGAAGGTGGTGCTTTAGGCAGCCCCCATGCTTTGACCAAACAAATTTTTAAAAAGTTTCTAAAATAGAGGGTTCTTATACTGGGTGTTACCCTCTATTTAAAATACATCTCATTCTTGGATACCTCCAAGTGTAAATTAAATAGACGAAATCACTTGGGCAGCTCCCCCATCCTTTGGCCAACCAAATTTTAAAAAGTATCTTAAACAGAGGTGTATCTAGTATTGGAGGGTATCTTATAGTGAGGTTTTATAAAAATCTTTAAGTTCACCATTTTTGTCAGTAAATCCATATTCTGTTGCCAAATCTTCAGTAATGTGTATTCTTCCAGTCTTTTTAATCTTCTTTGGATCACTTGCCAATCCCACAACTGCTTTTCCAACAAATTCAGTTGTTTCTGCGGTCGCCAAAGAATTTTTAAATGCTTCCTTAAAATTGAAATTTTATAAAAATTTAAAAAAAACAAAACTGTGGTCATTCCAGCTGCTTTAGAAAATTGCACTTCATTAGCCTCCAATGTCGCCAATTCGGTTCTGACAAAACTTGGCCATAGCGATACACAAGTAACACCAAATGGTTTAAGCTCTGAAAATTTTTTGAAAAATTTTGTTAAGTTAAAAAACATTCTCACTGGGTAAAGGCTATTCAAAAGGATTAATGAAATTACAGATTCTCTCCCAATCCGAAATAAAAAGATGTTAAGGGGGGGCAATAAAAAGGAGAAATCCTATTTTGTCATTAGGCACTAAACTAAAAAAATACCACGAAGCGACATTTACTCACGAATGTCGCACATTTATTTTTCTCACCCATGCCCCAGGAACACAATCCTATGTCACTGTCGCGATTGACATTGTGATTTTGATATTTTGAAGTCTAAGGAAAGCTATAAATCACCCGAATATATTTAAAAATAAAAAATACCAAATCCCATGTCTGCAGTCATTCTATCTATTGCAGTTTTCCCAACTCCATATGGCACAGAAAATAAATATTGTAAACTTCCAGCCGAACTTATATTTACTATTAAACCATCTCCTTGAAATTTTTTTTATTTTTTTAAATTTTGTTTAAAATAAAAACCTTTTGGAACCATTAAACGTGCTGCAAATGTAGAGCAAAAATAAGCATTTCTAAGGCCTACTTCATTTATATCATCCCAAAATTCAGGTTCGCATTCCCAAAACTTTTTGCCGGCATTTTTCATTAAACTCTAAAAAAATGGAAAAATTTATAAAATAAAATGCGGGTTCAACATTCGTCCTCAAGGATGGTAATTCACTTGGAACGGCAGGAGATTCCCACCCAGACGGCTTCATAGCAAAAATCACCCGTTAAACCGCCACCCATCCTTAAATGTTGAGCCCAAATTAAAATACAGCCGGATTTTACTCATGTCTACTTCCCTCCCTTTGGAGCAGAAAAAGATGTATAAATGGAAGCACGTCTCTCCTCCTAAACGAGAGGAGAACTCTAATTAAAAAAAAAATAAAATTTACTGGAGCTCCAGAATAAGCATTATTGACGAGAATATTTAAACGTCCTCCTTGTTCCTGTTCAATACGTTTAAAGAGTGAACGGACTTCTTCAGTTTTTGAATGGTCACAATATATTGGATGTGAATTGCCTCCATTGTCTTTAATTTCTGAAAATGGGGAATTTTGAAGTTTAAAGACCCGATAGACGCCACATGAAAAACTTAACCGGTCGTCAACAATCCTAGACCCCATCTTCATTTCTTTCCTTTCAAGGGGCTACATGAAAAATGAATTCTTCCATGGATATGGAAAATGAACAAATATGGCCGTGGTAAAGAGAAATACGGAAAAATAGGAAATGAATAAAAACAATGTCCCGAAAATTCCCTGGAAAATTAAAAACAAACAAAACCTTTTGCAGTCTGTTCAAGAGAAGGCAATTCATTTTGTGAAAAAGAATTCGAAGGGGCTCTTCCAGTCAAATAAACAATTGCCCCAGCTTGTCCCAATTGCAAGGCTATTCCTCTACCAATTCCACGAGATGCCCCAGTCACCAACGCAACTTTATTTTCTAACGGACGAATAATGTTTTTTGATGCCATTAATAAATTTTTAAAAAATAAAATTGATAAAATGATAAAAATTAAAAAAGATAAAAAATGGAGTTAAAACAATATTAAACAGACATTTTAAGTCATTTATATATTTTATACAGAAAATAAAAGTGCACATTTAAGGGATAATTTAAATTAGAAAATATAGGGCACGAAGGAAAAAGTTAAAAATAATATGCCTTTGGTTTAAGATTATGACCGCAATGTTATTTATAAGAGAGATCGAGCCTGGACGTGGACAAGTGAGGGTTGATTCGTTGACCTGGGCAGGTAATTCAAGAAAGATCCAGAAAAAGACCAAGAAAATCAGGAATCCCTGGGGTTTTCCCTTGGGCCCAGAAATTCTGGAATAAATATTTAATGTCCAGAAAACCCCCCAAGAAAATCCAGGAAGGCTCAGAAAAAAGCACAAGCATGGAAAAGGCACGGAAAACCCCAGGAAGCTCAAAAATGCAGGGTCGGGCCTTCCCTCCAACCATAGACCTTGTCCTAGACCCAGCTCGATCCCCTATCTAACAAAAAAATTTACAAAATCACCATGTTTTTCCATTCAAATATAAGGAGCAGTATTGTTCGGACCTCCCGGTCCTGGCAAATTTCTCGACGTTACTTGATTCCCTTCAATAATCATCGAAAAAAGATATCGGTATTGTCCATTTGGAATTGCCCGGTAAATTAGAATGACGAAGTAAGCAAAAGCGAAGAATGCCAACAAACAGAGAACCTAGAAAAAATTTTTTTTACATTTAAAAAATTAAAAATTAACCGTAGCAAAAATATAAGCAAAAATGACACCGCCACTATAACGAAATGAACTTAAGACAGCTATAGCGCCTATAATTGAACCAATTCCGTAGGCTACAGTGCCAATGCATGCGACGATAGTATCCTGAAATTTTTTAATCGTTAGAAAATTTTTAAATAAAAAATTTGGCAAAGGAGTGGAGTGTTGCTTTATTGGGCTTTTTGTAGGTAACTTTATTTCCTTTTTTGGTTCACTTATGGCAGTCAATAAGGCTTACGTTAAAATAAAAAAAGTCAGAAAAAAAGCTGCAAGAAAATTTCGCAAAAGGGGAATCCGCAAGAAAAGTTCGCAAAAGGGGAATCCGCAAGAAAAGTCCGCAAAAGAGAATCCGCAAAAAAGAAGGGTCCCCAACAACGCCCAACTCTTCCCAAATGCCAACAAAAACTCACAATAAGAGCAAAAGGAATAAATGCAAATCCACCCCCAAAGTGCACATCAATCTTTTGAAGGCCAAAAAGATAACAAAACCAACTTATGAGACAAATAGGAAGCAAATTCCAGCTTATGTAAATAATAAATGCAATTGTGTTGTAGAAGTAATCGGCATAGAAAGTAAATATCACAATGATTAAAGGAATCAACTTAAAAAATTGAAAAAAATATTAAAATTAACCAGTGAAATGATCCCAAGGTTTAGGAAACGTTGAAAAACAAAAATCAAGAAACAATCGATTTTCCTGAGGACCTATATGATTTAATCAAAACGGAAAAACACTAAGGCAATGATTTATGGTTCCAGCAAAATCCCAAATATTCGAACCTTAAAAACTATTCAAATGAAGAAAGAAAATGCTACGAGATTCCAATGGCTCCGGTAAGACACCACAACATTCACCTAACCCAAACTTATTCTACAATAATTTTGCTAAATTACCGAGCGGTTTCACAATTTAGGGATTTGGAAACCCCAGGAGAGAACCCATCACTCACCCTAACAAAAAATTCAAAAACAATTATTAAAAAACTCAAACCCAATGCATAGTTTTCAGAATACCAAAAGGCCAAGCACAGACAAAACTCTTGTCAATTGAGACCATCCTTGCAAAATAAAATTTGAATCGAATGTTTGCTTAAAAACTTTTTTAGTAAAAATAAATTAATCGACAAAAAATAAATAGATTAAGCATTTAAAAAGCTTAAAAATAAATAAATCAGTCAACATTTAATAAATATTTTTCTAAAATAAATTAAATTTTTTTTAAATAAATTAAAGAGATCGAGTGAAGAAAATAAATATACACAAAACACAAAGATAGGGACACGCCCAAGTAGGCGCGCGGTCATAAAGGCGCAAAGCAATAACTTGCTTCTAAATTTTTAGCTCTTATCAACTTTGGTACCAATCTCTTTAGCTCAATTAGAGGAATTGTTTAATGCTAAATTAGGTAAGATTCAGAAATCCTGAAGCAAATTATGGCTTTGCGCCGTTATGGCCGTGCGCCTGTACCCCAAAAATAAATTTTATTTTAATCTTGTTGTTGACCAGCAATATAAAGTGTTAAATGACATTCAAGTTCAGTAGCCGAAAATATTGCTCCTTTTCCATTTACAATTTCTAAAAAAAAAATTTTTATTTATAAATTAAATTTAAAAAAAAACAAAACTAATTCCAAGCCTAGCAATATATGGCGATAAGCTGCTCACAAAAGGATATAATGCTCTTATATCCAAAATAGCTGAAGAAAATTCATCGATAGACCTTCTTGGGGTTACTAGAAATGTAAATTTTTAAGACTAAAAAAATTAAAAATAAACCAGGAGTTGTAGTTGATGAACCAGTTAATGACAAATTTGTCAAATCACCAGCATAAATATCAACTTTTGCCATATCTGTTATAGCACAAACACTAAATTCTCCAGAATTGTTTACTCTAAAGGCCTGAAATAAAATAAGCTAAATTTCGACCCATGTGGTGTAGTGGTCAACAGCCCTGACTTGGAGTAAAAGGGGTCGAAGGTTCGATGGCTAATGGGGGATGATTTATTTTATTTCTGTATGCCTGTTAGACAGCTAGCAGGGTTCATGAGGAAGAATCATCTCCTCCCATATGGGTAAGCTTCGACCTCTTATTAACTATGAAAATTGGGACTGAAGACCACTACAAATGGCGTTACCATTACGCTGCCGTGGTGTAATGGTTAAAAGCCTTAACTCTGATTAAAAGGAAAGGCCTAGGTTCTGGAAGATAATGGTGGAAGATAGTGGCATGACCTAATATGGGGAAATAAACAGGTCTCTAGCTCATGCCGTCAAAACCCTTAAGACAAGATCAAGTCACTGACCTAGCTAATAAGCGAAGAAAAATCCTTAAAAATCCCCCTTCTAAAAGTGCCTAAAAACCCTACATAATTAAATTAAATAAAAAATTTAAAAAAATTCCAAACCCTTACAGCATTCTTTGCTCCAATATTTTTAACAGCTGATAAAATTTTAGACAAATTTTTGACTGGAGGCAAAGTAACAGCAACAGAAGGAGTTCCCATATTTGGAGGATTATAATCATTCCAATTTCTAACCAGAATAAAATTTATTGGAATTTCATTAACCAATCCATTTGCACTCAATTCAATTCTCAAATGTGGAATATTATCTTTCTTTACCAATTTAAATTTTGCTTGATTTTCACGAGATTGTATTGAACCAATTAAATCATCAGTGGAAAGTTCAAAGAATATTGCGTTGTTTTCCACAGAAATTCCTTCAAATACCCAGGAACAGAAAAGTTGGTCCTATTTAAATTTTTAAACTTTTATTAGAGACAGACTCCATTATAAAATACACTCTAAACTAGATATAAGGGAAACTACCAGCAAAAAATTCCCAATCTCGAGATTCCATAACTAAAAATGCATTAATTCATGATAGGATCTCTGACTTGATACACATCTAAAAAACCTTTCTTAAATTAGGGTGGCCACTGGGTGTGGGAGCTTGTGTTCCCCTTCCAGATACAACTCAATATAAAGTCTCTCTATAAGACACTCCCAATACTGGATACACCTCTAGTTAAAAGACGCTCTTAAAAATTAGGTTGGCTACTGGATGGAGCTTCCAAAGCGATACTCTCTATTTAGACTACACCTCATTACAAAGTCGATTTTTGATCCCAAGGGTGTCTTATATTTAGTCTGGCTATATTAAAATTAAAAAACCTTTAACAAACGAAAATCCAAACAAATTCCTTCTCTGATGCTGTAAACATTAACAAAACTAAATTCATTTGGTGTAATCCTCACAACAATTCTTTTTCTACATATTTTAGACGCAATTCCTAACACTTCTAAATATCAAAGATTTTTATTTAGACCGAAAAAACAAACTTGAAAAAATTTCAACTGATTTAGAATCTCCAAGTACAGCAGTAAAACGCATCTAGACTTGAAAAAAATAATTTAAAGTTTAAAAACAGTTAAAGGTATGTTGGGTAATTAAAATACAAACACAAAAATATTTTTAGAACAACAAACTTTATTTTATTCTAATTTACGTCAAAAATGACGCTAAAAGCCAAGATATAATTTTTTTAATATTTTGTAAGATATAAGATAAGATCTGGAATTTTGGTCACTGACAAGAAACATCGTCTACTGACAGTGCAAATTCGATATGTTTGCGTTTACTTCTAAAAATGACCTTGGGAGATGATGACTTTGGGGAATGAAAGTTGAATCGCTAGGATGAGAATTATAAGGGTACAGAAGATTTGGTCAGTTAGTAATCCAGGTGTTCATTCTACGTATAAAACTTACACTGTCTTGTGTGTGTTCCGTGTAAGAATATAAAAAAACTCGACTATTAACCTCGAAATTCCGCCAATGCTCAAAATTCCAAATACTCCAAAATAAGTTAAATTTCTATCACACTTTAAACTTTTTAAGAGGCACGCTTCTGTATAATCAAAGGCCCAAGATTGTCACCGGTTTCCTTATTATGTGCCATGTGACTTCCATCGCAAAATGGAAACTAAAAATAAAATGGAATCGAACTTTAAATTAAAAAAAAACCTTTTTTGATTGCCAACAACGACAAAAAACTTTTTTATCCCCAATATCCTCCAAATCCACTTTATCAGCAATTTTGTCTTTTTCCAACGAGATACGCTTGTTATGACGAACAGCAAAAGCAAGTCCAGTACGACGTCCAATGATATAACCAATAGTTAAGCCACCAGCGAGGAATGTTATAGCAAGTGCAATTTGTGCTTTACCTTTAAAAGAAGTTTTGGACTAATAAGTTTAAAATGAACAAAAAAATTATTGTTCATTTTAAAAGAATGGGAATAGTCCTGGACACTACGATGTCAGTCAACTCTAGCTACACCCCTGTTAAGTCCTAAAGTCAAAGGAAAACTGAAACCATGGTCCCCCTTCAACTCGATTGCTTTCAAAAACTTAAAAAAAAATTTTAAAATACCTAATGCATCAGTTGAAAAAGTTGAGTTTGTCATCTTCTTCCAAACGTAACTGAAAGTCTTTAGGTTAAGAAAAAAAATTTAAATTAAAAAAATAAAGAGAATAAAAAACTCATAAAAAATACAATAAAAACGTATAAAATATATTTATTTTTGTATTTAAAATATCAACACAAAGAACAACCTGAAATTATCAAAAAAACAAATGAAAGTTAATTCCGAGATGTTCCACAAACAAAAAATAAAAAGCAAAACCTTCGTTTGATCTCAAATATTTTATGGAGGTAAAATATATAAAAAAATATGCACATTTTACTATGCTCTTAAATGTCAACAACTATTTGAGGATAACAATCCATTTTTGCTATAAATATCAACACAAGTCCTTTCTCCAAGCAAATATTTAAATAATTCATAAGCACTCCAACTTAGAGCTGTTGCCGGCATTTGATATAAAACTCTTGCTTGAATACCAGAAAAGAAACCGAGAAATCCGCGATTTGAATAAATTGACCAAATGGCATCGAAAACACCTTTGAATTTTTTAAATTAAAATTCCTCGAAAAATAATTTATAAAAAAAACCTCTATAAGAACCTCCAAAATATAGAATAGACCCTCTTTGGTCTAACAATGGTTGTGGAGACTGTTGAGTGTTTAGCACCTTAAAGGTTACTTTTTAACAAAAGATTTGAAAAAATACCGTTTTAATGCAATCTAGAGGAGTCGTTAATGCTGCTGCGAGACCTCCAGAAAGTCCACCGGAGAGTAAATGACTTTTTGGATCATAACGATGGCTTGGATTTATTAACTAAAATATTTTTAATTTATTTTTATAAATATAATGCCGTATGCCAAAAGCCACGCTGAAATACTAGAGCTAAAAAATGACAAATACTAAAGCTGGAATATGGGTTGGGGTCTTCGAATCGGACCTACGTTCGAGTACCTTTTTCGGGCCTCATGTTTATCGAATTGGACCGTCCGAGCCTTTTCGGGCAAAAATTCAATGCCCTATTTGATCTTATGAACCGAACCGGATCCCCAAGACTAGTCTGGCACTACGACATGTAAGTAACTTTAGAATTAAAAAAAACCTGTTGCCAAAATTCATAGCTCATAAAATGGACTGCTTGGAAAGGTATGTTCATCAAAAGTTGTGTTGAATATGACCGGTAAAATGCAGAAATACCCTCAGTTTTGTAAATACAACGTACACATTCCAAAGACCCTCCATAAGGACTATAATGCATTTGCATTCGTTGTTTGATAACTTCGGCTGGATTCATTATTAAATCGTGTACAACTGTTGCAGCAACTCCAGCCATAGCATACGACACCGTATTAGAATGGCCATAAGTATTTCCAGTTAGCATGCCCTTTAACAAAAATAATTAGTCGGAACTCGGTATTAGATAAAGTTTTGAGACTTAAAAATCTTCCTGGAGATGAGTTGTATATACGAAACAACGTCCAGACAAACTCCTATCCAGAAATCGTATAAAAAATCCTAAATAGAGAAAGACACACCTCTGATTGAGAAAAAGTCATTGTCCGGGTCGAATTTTCAAAACTTTCCCAGATATCTGATGTAAGATTTGGGTATACCTGACACACTTGGTAGGCCCGAGTCAAACCACTTAAAACAAAATATAAGTAAAACCAAACCTTGACTTTTTCATAAAAGGTAAAATACAAGGCATGTGCCGGAATCGATCCAAAAGCAACCGCATTAATTCCACGAAGCGTCCGTCTAAACCCCTCTCTTTTCGCAATTGAAGCAACTCCATGAAAAGGTGTTGGACATTCCCACTCAGGGCAAGGACAAAGAGATTGAATCCGAGTCTTCACACTATCCAAAGGGAACATAACACAATGCTCTGCCATCCCAGCTACGGCACCAGCAGCCATGTGAACAGGCACAGAATAAGAAAGACCTAAAGATTCATAATCCCACTCAACATTTCCGCTGCTTTGTTCTGACATAATTAACTTTAAAAAGAATTATGAAAATTACATGGGGAGAAAAAAATACATAAGTAGTAATGTAATAAAAACAATCAAACTTCGACAAAGAATTTTAACAATCAATTTATTAAAAAAAATAAATCTAAAAAAGATACTTTTTGGTATCCCGTCCCCTATATTACCTCTTCCAGACAACGGTGGATCCTATAGATATCCAAATTAAAAGTCAAAGAAAATTTTATTAATTTTTTAAAGGTTTTAATTTATAACCCCTTCCAGGCAACGTTGGATCAAGTTGAAGAAATAGATCCTAACACTGAAAAAATAATTCTCAACGCGGCCTGTTGTTATATCATCCTTCTGCACCTACAAACTTGGCCATAGCGAAATACCACTCCATAGTGTCCTTTGTGTACTGAAAAGTTAAAATTGAATTTAAAAATCGTTTTTAGAAACAAAACCTTCTGAAGACTAGCAAGCGATTTTTTGTAACTAGCTCCACTAATTAGTTCTTTTAATTTTGTTCCACAAAGGCGTTTGAGAAGCTGTTTAAGAAACCAATTTGGAGAGAACACATGATAATATAGAAGTCCTTTAATAAGAGGTAATTCCTCGTGTTTTGAGTTTAATTCTTGTAATTTGTCCATTGTTTCCTGAGAAAGTTAAAAATTTAATTCTTTAAAAAACAATAAAATTACCTTCACTTCAATCACCTTCTGAACACTATCGTAACTGAGACCATTGCACATAATTATGTGACCTAACACTCGACATCTTAATTTTTTTACATTATGTTTTAAAGATTTTTAGCTTTGAAATGAGCATTCGCTGGGCGTACTTTACTCAGGCACTTAATACCAAAAAAGAAACATAATGTAAAATTTTTTATTTAAAATGTCGAGTGTTGGGCCATCTTATAATGTGCAATGGTCTCAGTTACGATAGTGTTCAGAAGGCGATTGAAGTGAAGGTAATTTTATTGTTTTTAAAGAATTAAATTTTTAACTTTCCCAGGAAACAATGGACAAATTACAAGAATTAAACTCAAAACACGAGGAATTACCTCTTATTAAAGGACTTCTATATTATCATGTGTCCTCTCCAAATTGGTTTCTTAAACAGCTTCTCAAACGCCTTTGTGGAACAAAATTAAAAGAACTAATTAGTGGAGCTAGTTACAAAAAATCGCTTGCTAGTCTTCAGAAGGTTTTGTTTCTAAAAACGATTTTTAAATTCAATTTTAACTTTTCAGTACACAAAGGACACTATGGAGTGGAATTTCGCTATGGCCAAGTTTGTAGGTGCAGAAGGATGATATAACAACAGGCCGCGTTGAGAATTAATTTTTCAGTGTTAGGATCTATTTCTTCAACTTGATCCAACGTTGCCTGGAAGGGGTTATAAATTAAAACCTTTAAAAGAATTAATAAAATTTTCTTTGACTTTTATTTTGGATATCTATAGGACATTTTTCAAATCGATCACCCCCCCCCCCTCCCTCCCCGAAAATTTTTCCTGAATATGTAATCAGGAAAGGAGATATCCAAAAAGTACTCTAAAAATACAAAAAAAAAACTATGGATTTTCAAGTCGCCGAAACAACGCCAACCACTTCTGGCCTGCATTTCTAGTAACTTTTTGTCCTTCTTCAGTGCTATCATAAAGTAAAGGCACAATCTCATCTTTTTCTTCTTCTTCCCTCTCCAAACGTTTAAAAAGTGGGTGCTGTCCAACTTGATCAACCATCCATTTGTGTACTTCCTCTACATCAGTTATTGTATAGATTCTACCTGAATAGAATAGATAAAGTAGGAAATCAAAATCAAAACTAGCTATATGATACACCCCAATAAGTAAGGTAGTACGCCGTAATTCAAAACGCCGAATTCCAAACTGTAGAAATGGTGCCGAAATACCAACCCAACACCAGACTGATAGAAAATGTGAAAATACCAAATTCCCTAACTAAAGCCTATGAAGAGCGGGTGTTGTGTCAAGTAATAAGATGTATAAAAACACGCCTCAAGATGACTTAAGAGTGTAATTTATAGTAAGGATTTTATCTTTCAACCAATTTTAAACAAAAAACAAACCTCCAGGTTTCAAAACATAAGCATATTCTGAGAGTAAATTTGTTGAAATTATCCTCCACTTGTGCTTTGTCTTCTTAAAATGTGGATCTGGGAAGAGAAAAAACATTTTGTCAAGTTGTCCTTTGAAGAAAAAGTTTGTAATGTTCTTCATTGCATTGCTTCTAACACAACATATGTTTCCATATTTTGAAGGGTTTTGCTCCCGTAAAGCTTTAATTCTGTCTTGAACAAAATCTGAGACCTGAATGGAAAATTTTTATTAAATTGATTGGGCAATCAGACCTCCCTATAGGATGCACCATTGGGCTTCCCTTATAATGAGGTTCTTTATAAAGAGGTGTCCCTTAAATATAGGGTATCGTTTAGGCAGAGGATATGTCCCCCGCCCCGCATCCAATCAATTTTTATGAGCATCCGTCCCTTAAATAGAGGTTTATCTAATATTGGGGGTATCTTGTAAAGAGGTCCGTCAATATAATCTTCACGTTACCTTGACTCTAATCTCCATTCCAACCATCATAATGTCAGGAAACATGGGCGAAAGTCTAACCAACAGACCACCATATCCACAACCAATGTCAGCAAATTGAGGCAAACAATTACTTGAAGAAAGTTGAGACCAATCCATTCTTAAAAAGAATTTTTTAAAAGTTTCTTTAAAAGAAAAAATACTTTTCTGGAGAAAGAGGGTAGACTAGGTCGTGATCAGACATTGGATTGCTATGTGCTCTTTGACGATAGAAACGTTTTTGAGGGTAGTGGATTGACTGGTTCTTACTTGCATTGTTGAGTTGGGAACAGTTTGGAATGTTTTCGTCCATCGAACTAAAAATTTTTTAATTAAAAAAATAATTCACGACAAAAAAAAACAGAATTGCCAATTCTTTCCTATTTTCTTATTGTCCAATTGTCGTACAACAAAATGACATTTACTGAAAATGGCCGTTTAATCGCCAATGTAATTACGACGTTTCATCGCAATAAAATTATGTTAACGGAATATACAGTCGGGCCCTGATTCCGAATCCCCCTAATTTTACCTCGCTTTTAGAAGATTCTTAGAAATCTGTATGAATACTTTCTAGAGATTAAATGTTTTGCCGAAAAATCGAAAAACAATTAGCAAAGTTTTAAAAATAGATAACTTTTGGCACACTTTGTGGCCAGTTTTTTTGCCCCATTCCACTACGATAAGTAACTAAAGTGATACTCAAAATTAGAGAGTGGGACTTGTACGATAATTTGAGATATAAAAGCCGAAAATCTTTAGTAATAATTAATAATCTACCAAATCCCCAATCCTTATTTTCTTCAACTTTATTCTATACACAACCTTTGTTAAAATGAGCAGTCAACGTATACGCCAAATTGTTAGTGGATTCCTTTATTCATTTATACAGTTTTTCATTTCAGTTAAACCAGGTCCGTGGCATGTCTTCCGACGAAGCCGAAGAAGTTTTAATTACGACAATTGAGGAGAGCAGCCGAGAAGTAGCAGAGTTACAAACTCAACTTGCAAAAGTTTACCTGGATAAAGCATTGAATAGCAAAAAGGAAAGGAGGATGTATTTGAATAAAGCTCTTGAAGCGGTGAACAATTCGCTCCGGATTGATAAAACGACAGAGGCGTTGGCTATTAAGTAAGGCTTGAAATCTTAAAGGCCTCTTTTGTGACCTTAAAAATTGGGGTAGAAAACAGAATATTCTCATAGGAATATTAATTCTTAATACCTTTGATAAGCTAAGAGTAAGCAAAATAGGTCGTTAAAGGGAAGTCCCCCCCCCCCCCCCCCCCCCCAACGAGATCCGATTTCCAAGCTAAAAATCTTTAAAACATAGTGTAAAAAATTTATTTAAGATGCCGAGTGTTGGGCCATATTATAATGTGCAACGGAGTTAGCTATGACAGTGTTGTAAAGGCGATAGAAGTGAAGGTAATTTTATTGTTTTTTTAAAAGAACTTAATTTTAACTCTTCCAGGAAACGATGGACAAACTGGAACAATTAAATCCGAAGCACGAGGAATTACCTTTAATTAAAGGACTCCTATATTATCATGTTTCTGCTCCAAATTGGTTCCTCAAACAGCTTCTTAAACGCTTATGTGGAACGAAATTGAAAGAACTGATAAGCGGCGCCAGTTATAAAAAATCACTTGCTAACCTTACCAAGGTTTTGTTTTTAAAAAGGATTTCTAAATTCATTTTTAACTTTTCAGTACACAAAGGACAGTATGGAGTGGAGTTATGCTATGGCCAAGTCTCATTTAAAATTTATACCTTAAAAAATTAATACCTTTTAGTTGCCAACGAAAACTGAAAAACTTCGATAGGGCTGCTTTTTTTTATGAAAAGATGCTACAAATGGCAGTAAACAATGTATTTGAGGAGGTTTATTTTTGTTAAAATAAAGTTTTGTTGTTTTCTCCTTTGCGGAGAAAAAAGACGAGAATATTTATTTTCCTCGAGCAATTACTGGTATAGAAACGTAACAGAGTATTACTTTTTTCTGGGGTGGGGTCAAAAATTGATGATCACAATAGATTAATTTTTTATTTTTAAACTCAAAATTTTAGGAACTTGTTGGAAAAGCTCGTGACAAGTTGGGTGACCGTAGGAAGTGGTAAATTCAATAACAAAGGGTATAATATATTCATATGTATTGTGATTGTGAGTGTGAGTGTGTGTTCATAATGAAATGTGTGTTCATATATAATTTCATAATATAATTTCATAAAAATTTTCGTAAAAAAATTTCTTATTCTTATTTTTCTTAAAGATTTTCCTTATTATTAAAATTAGTTTTCTTATAAAAACCTAGTAGCCCCCTAACTCGCTAGTCCATAAAAATCAAAGGAACACAATAGAAGTTATCAAGCACAAAAAGGAAAACTGGCATGTTGGCTAAAATTAACAAGTGGTGAACTTGGCCTGAAATAAATTGTGGTAACGGTTAATTAACAGTATTCGTATTGTTCGTCTGTTCTTATTAAAAAGTGTGTTAGTGTTCATATACCTAATTTATTATAATAAAAAAATTTCTTATTTTTTATTAAAAAACCTCTTCTTAAAAATTTTTTCTTAAAACTTTCTTATTTTTTATTAACGTTTTCTTATTATTAAACTTACAATTAGTTTTTTAAATAAAAACCTAGAGCCTTTCCCCTAACCCACTAGTCCATAAAAATCAAAGGAATACAATAGAAGCACGAAAAGGAAAACTTTGGAGAGAAGAAAAAAGAAATGTACTCTACAACAATTTTATCTAAAATTTTATTTCTTAATTTTTCAATTCAAAAAAACCTTCAATCTTAAATCTATATCCCTTCATTTTCTCAAACAATCTTCTTATTGCTGCCTTATCAACAAATTCATCGGAACAGGTTGTCGATTAGGTTGTCGAAAATATTTGCAACAATTTGAAGAGCTTCTCTTACCCAAACATCACTGACCTAAAAAATTTTTTTCAAAAAAATCTAAAAAATTTTAAAAAACCGGATTAGAGCCTTGATAGACTGGCCGAACATTTGGACTTGACGGAAGTGGAGAACGTTTATTGTAAGGTTTAGCTGTATAAGATTCCAAAGCGTGACAGAGGACATCAAAACCAGAATAAATTGCAACATTTTTAGGCATTGACATAACATTTAGAGGATCAATTATTGCCAAATTTGGTTTGATACATCGAAGTCTGATGCCTGTTTTGCATTGTTTTTCAGGTATGTCAATAATTGAAACGCCAGTTGTTTCACTTCCAGTACCGGCAGTTGTTGGGACCTTCGAAAAAAAAATTAAGTTTTTCAATAGTGGGGGCAATTAAGAATTATTGAGAAATTTCCTGTTGAGAAACACCCCGCAACCTTGAGAAACTCCGATGGGCCCTTCAGATGTTGTCGAAAACGGAAGGCGTAAGAAAAAATAAAAAACGTAAACGAAAACTATGCTTCGAAGCATCCTCCCTCGGATAATATAAAATGACTGCCCTCCCTCAAAAAAATATTAAAAAAATAAATACAACAAACAGCAATCAGTGGAAGCATTGTTTTATCAGGAATAAGCCCAAGGCCAAATGGTTTTTGTACAAAATCAAAAAATTCAGCGTTTAGGTTGTTTGCATACAAAGCTGCTGCCTTAAAGTTTACAAAAATTTTTTTAAAAATAAAAAAAAATACTTTTGCAGTATCAATAACAGAACCACCACCAACAGCCAAAAAACAATCAAAAGGTTTTTTTCGAGCAAAATTGATAGCTGATTGCATACCCAAAAATAACAAAAATATTTTTATAAAATAGCCTTGGTAAATGACACCAAGGATGGACTGGAATGAAAAAGTTGATTGTGCCCTTGATAAGCCTTGCCCGAGGGCAAAGAGTAGAAAAGGTTCGAAGAGCTTACAGTTCGAAACCAAAGAACCGAAGATTTCTAGCTCTTCGGCTCGCTTCTGGAAAGAAGATTTCCCGGTAACCAACAAACCTAGGATCCATAACCTATACAAGACCCCAAAATAATTTTCAAAACAAACTTTGTTGTGAAGGTTCACATTTAATCTCATCAAAAACTTCAAAAGCAATTCTCAATTTAGTTAATGAATTTGCAACATTTCTTTAAAAAAAAGATTCTTAATTAATTAAAAAAATTAAATTAATACTCAAAAGCAACAGTTTTAGCCACATTTTTGTCAGTTACAATTAACGGATTTTTAGCTCCAAATGTGACAACATCAAAACCAATTTCTTCTGTTACTCCTTCTACTATGCTCTTAAATGTCAACAACTATTAGATGATAACAATCCATTTTTGCTATAAATATCAACACAAGCCCTTTCTCCAAGCAAATATTTGAATAATTCATAAGCACTCCAACTTAGAGCTGTTCATCGAAAACACCTAAAATTATTGGAATGTAATTGTTGAAAAAATAATTTATAAAAACCTGTATAAGAACCTCCAAAATATAGAATAGACTGGTCTAATAATGGTTGTGGAGATTTTTGGGTGTTTAGCACCTTAAAGGTTACTTTTTAACAAAAAGTAGATTAAAAATAATACCGTTTTAATACAATCTAGAGGAGTCGTTAATGCTGCTGCAAGACTTCGAGAAAGTCCACCGAAAGTAAACAATTCCAGCCATAGCATACGACACCGTATTAGAATGACCAAAGTATTTCCAGCTAGCATGCCCTTTAACAAAAATAATTAGTCAGACTCGGTAAAAGATAGCTTTGAGGATTAAAATATTGCTGGAGGTGGGTCTTTTATAAAAAGTAACGCCAGACAAGTACGCGTAAAAAACATTTTAAATTGAGGTAGGAAATCCACCCCTTTTAATAAATGTTTGAAAAATGTCTATTAATGTCCAATTAGCAGAATATCGGAGGTAGCAAGCAAGGACAGCTTGTATTAAACTAATAATAAGCATTTTAATATATACACAAACCTTGACTTTTTCATAAAAGGTAAAATACAAGGCATGTGCCGGAATCGATCCAAAAGCAACAGCATTAATTCCTCGAAGCGTCCTTCTAAACCCTTCTCTTTTCGCAATTGAAGCAACTCCATGAAAAGGTGTTGGACATTCCCACTCAGGGCAAGGACAAAGAGATTGAATTCGAGTCTTCACACTATCCAAAGGGAACATAACACAATGCTCTGCCATCCCAGCTACGGCACCAGCAGCCATGTGAACAGGCACAGAATAAGAGAGCCCTAGAGATTCGTAGTCCCAATCAACGGTTCCGCTGCTCTGTTCTGACATGATTAACTTCAAAAAAATTTAATTAAAATAAAGAATAATAAAAAAGATATCAACTGACAAAAACAGTCAAAAAACAAAATTTTTAAGAATAATTTTATTGATAAAAAAAATAAAAAAAAATACAAAATTTTTTTAAGGATTTTCAAGCCGCCGAAACAACGCCAACCACTTCTGACCTGAATTTCTAGTAACTTTTTGTCCTTCTTCAGTGCTATCATAGAGTAAAGGCACAATCTCATCTTTTTCTTCTTCTTCCTTCTCCAACCGTTTAAAAAGTGGGTGCTGCCCAATTTGATCAACCATCCATTTATGTACTTCTTCTACGTCAGTTATTGTATAGATTCTACCTGAATAGAATAGATAGTCGAAAAACAAAATCAAAACTAGCTATATGATACACCCCAATAAGTAAGGTAGTACGCCGTAATTCAAAACGCCGAATTCCAAACTGTAGAAATGGTGCCGAAATACCAACCCAACACCAGACTGATAGAAAATGTGAAAATACCACATTCCCTAACTAAAGCCTATGAAGAGCGGAGTGTTGTGTCAAGTAATAAGATGACTAAAAACACGCCTCAAGATGACTTAAGAGTGTAATTTATAGTAAGGATTTTATTTTTCAACCAATTCTAAACAAAAACAAACCTCCAGGTTTCAAAACATAAGCATATTCAGAAAGCAAATTTGTTGAAATTATCCTCCATTTGTGCTTTGTCTTCTTAAAATGAGGATCTGGGAAGAGAAAAAACATCTTGTCAAGTTGTCCTTTGAAGAAAAAGTTTGTAATGTTCTTCATTGCATTGCTTCTGACACAGCAGATATTTCCATATTTTGAGGGGTTTTGCTCTATCAAAGCTATGATTCTGTCTTGAACGAAATCTGAGACCTAAATAAAAAAATTTTTAAACTGATATGACAGTCTGACCTCACTATAGAAGGCACCATCGGCCTTAAACACCGTCCCTTATAATGAAGTTCCTTATAAAGAGGTGTCCCTTAAATATAGGGTATCGTTTAGGCAGAGGATATGTCCCCCGCCCCGCATCCAATCAATTTTTATGAGCATCCGTCCCTTAAATAGAGGTTTATCTAATATTGGGGGTATCTTATAAAGAGGTCCGTCAATATAATCTTCACGTTACCTTGACTCTAATCTCCATTCCAACCATCATAATGTCAGGAAACATGGGCGAAAGTCTAACCAACAGACCTCCATATCCACAACCAATATCAGCAAATTGAGGCAAAGAATTACTTGAAGAAGAAGAAAAAAGTTGAGACCAATCCATTCTTAAAAAGAATTTTTTGAAAATTTTTACTCGAAAAAAATACTTTTCTGGAGAAAGAGGGTAGACTAGATCGTGATCAGACATTGGATTGCTATGTGCTCTTTGGCGATAAAAACGTTTCTGAGGGTAGTGGATTGACTGAATCTTACTTTCATTGTTGAGTTGGGAACAATTTGGAATGTTTTCAAACATTGAACTAAAAATTTTTTAATTAAAAAAATCAGGTTTCACGACAATAAAAAACAGAATTGCCAATTCTGTGCTATTTTCTTATTGTCCAATTGTCGACAACAAAATGACATTTACTGAAAATGGCCGTTTCATCGCCAATGTAATTACGACGTTTCATCGTCATAAAATTATATTAACGGAATATACAGTCGGGCCTCGATTCTAAAGTGGGCACGACTTGTCGTCTTGGCTTCGCCACATGGGGCAAAATTTCAAAGCAAAATTTCAAAAATAGATAACTTTTGGCAAACTTTGTGGCGTTCTCACTATTTTTCTGCCAATCTCATCATATAACATTATCTCTCTCATTTAAGATTTTTCATATGACCAACTGATGTAAATGTCACTACGACAAAGTGACCACGTCAGGTTAACAGAAAATCATGCCATTGAAAAATAGTGTGCTAAAGTGAAGAGAGACGTTATACATTCAACTTTTTCACTTTATTTCCGGTAGTTTCAGTGTCAATTATTAATTACGGGTTGAGTGCCAACTTAATCGCAGAGTTTGAGTGTCAATAAGGAGAAAAATCTCTCTCATTAGGTAAATCTTTATATCTTTTAACACTTTAATTCTATACTTTTCCAATTATCCATTTTTGTATTCCTAAAATAGTTCTTTACACTAGTACCCTCTGTTATTCTATTCGCACTCCTTACTTATCTCGCACTTTATCACTTTAGTACCATCTTTTATTCATCTTCGAACTCCTTATAAATCTCGCACTTCTTTACACTAGTACCCTCTGTTAGTCTATTCGCACTCCTTACTTATATATCACTTTATCACTTTAGTACCATCTTTTATTCATCTTCGAACTCCTTATAAATCTCGCACTTCTTTACACTAGTACCCTCTGTTAGTCTATTCGCACTCCTTACTTATATATCACTTTATCACTTTAGTACCATCTTTTATTCATCTTCGAACTCCTTATAAATCTCGCACTTCTTTACACTAGTACCCTCTGTTAGTCTATTCGCACTCCTTACTTATATATCACTTTATCACTTTAGTACCATCTTTTATTCATCTTCGAACTCCTTATAAATCTCGCACTTCTTTACACTAGTACCCTCTGTTAGTCTATTCGCACTCCTTATATATCACTTTATCACTTTAGTACCATCTTTTATTCATCTTCGAACTCCTTATAAATCTCGCACTTCTTTACACTAGTACCCTCTGTTAGTCTATTCGCACTCCTTACTTATATATCACTTTATCACTTTAGTACCATCTTTTATTCATCTTCGAACTCCTTATAAATCTCGCACTTCTTTACACTAGTACCCTCTGTTAGTCTATTCGCACTCCTTACTTATATATCACTTTATCACTTTAGTACCATCTTTTATTCATCTTCGAACTCCTTATAAATCTCGCACTTCTTTACACTAGTACCCTCTGTTAGTCTATTCGCACTCCTTACTTATATATCACTTTATCACTTTAGTACCATCTTTTATTCATCTTCGAACTCCTTATAAATCTCGCACTTCTTTACACTAGTACCCTCTGTTAGTCTATTCGCACTCCTTACTTATATATCACTTTATCACTTTAGTACCATCTTTTATTCATCTTCGAACTCCTTATAAATCTCGCACTTCTTTACACTAGTACCCTCTGTTAGTCTATTCGCACTCCTTACTTATATATCACTTTATCACTTTAGTACCATCTTTTATTCATCTTCGAACTCCTTATAAATCTCGCACTTCTTTACACTAGTACCCTCTGTTAGTCTATTCGCACTCCTTACTTATATATCACTTTATCACTTTAGTACCATCTTTTATTCATCTTCGAACTCCTTATAAATCTCGCACTTCTTTACACTAGTACCCTCTGTTAGTCTATTCGCACTCCTTACTTATATATCACTTTATCACTTTAGTACCATCTTTTATTCATCTTCGAACTCCTTATAAATCTCGCACTTCTTTACACTAGTACCCTCTGTTAGTCTATTCGCACTCCTTACTTATATATCACTTTATCACTTTAGTACCATCTTTTATTCATCTTCGAACTCCTTATAAATCTCGCACTTCTTTACACTAGTACCCTCTGTTAGTCTATTCGCACTCCTTACTTATATATCACTTTATCACTTTAGTACCATCTTTTATTCATCTTCGAACTCCTTATAAATCTCGCACTTCTTTACACTAGTACCCTCTGTTAGTCTATTCGCACTCCTTACTTATCTCGTACTTTATCACTTTAGTACCATCTTTTATTCATCTTCGAACTCCTTATAAATCTCGCACTTCTTTACACTAGTACCCTCTGTTAGTCTATTCGCACTCCTTACTTATCTCGCACTTTATCACTTTAGTACCATCTTTTATTTATCTTCGAACTCCTTATAAATCTCGCACTTCTTTACACTAGTACCCTCTGTTAGTCTATTCGCACTCCTTACTTATATATCACTTTATCACTTTAGTACCATCTTTTATTCATCTTCGAACTCCTTATAAATCTCGCACTTCTTTACACTAGTACCCTCTGTTAGTCTATTCGCACTCCTTACTTATCTCGTACTTTATCACTTTAGTACCATCTTTTATTCATCTTCGAACTCCTTATAAATCTCGCACTTCTTTACACTAGTACCCTCTGTTAGTCTATTCGCACTCCTTACTTATATATCACTTTATCACTTTAGTACCATCTTTTATTCATCTTCGAACTCCTTATAAATCTCGCACTTCTTTACACTAGTACCCTCTGTTAGTCTATTCGCACTCCTTACTTATATATCACTTTATCACTTTAGTACCATCTTTTATTCATCTTCGAACTCCTTATAAATCTCGCACTTCTTTACACTAGTACCCTCTGTTAGTCTATTCGCACTCCTTACTTATATATCACTTTATCACTTTAGTACCATCTTTTATTCATCTTCGAACTCCTTATAAATCTCGCACTTCTTTACACTAGTACCCTCTGTTAGTCTATTCGCACTCCTTACTTATCTCGCACTTTATCACTTTAGTACCATCTTTTATTTATCTTCGAACTCCTTATAAATCTCGCACTTCTTTACACTAGTACCCTCTGTTAGTCTTAAACAATTTAGTAGACTCATCTGACAAACTTTTTACTACAAAATTGCGCACTTAAAATTTATTTTTTTCCAATGCTTATAAAATTCGTCATTCCCTTTTTTTATTGTTATTAACATTTGCGTGTGAAAACTAAAAAAAAATTTTTCTATTAAATCAATTTTAATATTTATATAAATAAAAATGCCATTGCCGCCAACCTATGTATTTAATTCTTAATTGACTAACAGTGTTTCTAGTATATCATTTAGGTATTTTACCCTGAAATTCTTTAGAACTGAAAAGAAAATAAAAATATTTAAATAATTAAAAAAAAATTTTTTAAGGGCCCAATTAGGCGCGCGCCCAAGTAGGCGCAAAGCCATAACTAGCTTGAAAATTTCTGGACCTTAACAATTTTTGTACCATTCTCTTTAGCTTAATGAGAGGAATCGTTTGATACCAAATTTAGAAAAATTTGAAAATCTTGAAGCAAGTTACGACTTTGCGCCTACTTGGCCGTGCGCCTATTTGTACCCTTAAAAAATAAAAAATTTTTTAATTTATGAAGAATATTCTTTTAATTTCTTTTATGCTAATTTTCAAAAGAATTCTTTCTCTTATTCAAAAAAATATTTTTTTCCTCAAATAACTAAAATCCATTTCTAAATTTATTTTCTCTCAATTAATTTTTTAAAATTTAAATAAAATACATATATTAAAATAGCTGACTAATTTAATTAAATAAATAATTCTTTTTGCCGTTTATTTTATATGCCCAATAGAATTGTAGGTGTGTGCCATACTTTTTATTTGTTGGAATTTATTTTTACTCGTTTCCTTTTCATTTAAACAGATTTTCTCATTTTTATTTATTTAATTAAAATACTCCCTCGAGGTTAAAAAATACTCTTATAATGAAGTGTCTATTAAATAGAAGGTATCGGCTTAGTTAGCTCCCCACTCAAAAATCTTAAACTTAAGAAGCGTCTCTTAAATAGAGGTGTATTTATATTAGAAATCGAAATGTCGTTAAGTCGAAATTTTAAGTCGAAATTTCGCGAAATTTCGAATTCATTCAAAATTTCGAAATCAAATTCTGAAGTCGAAATTTCGACATAGCTCTAGTCAATCAATTTTCTAGTCAGGAAATAGAAGGATTTTTAAAATTAAAGTAATGAATACAAGTCGAAATTTCGCAAAGAGATTACACTTTTAAATTGTACACCCCAACTTACCGTGAGCCCAGTTAACAGCAGAGCTATAACTTTGTTCAAAATGGTCGAATCCGGGACGCCCTGGTATGGTTCGATTCAGTTCGTCGAGGCGCATCGAACCATACTAGGGCATCCCAAATTTTACAATTCTGAACGAAGTTATAGGCTCTGCGGTAAGCTTGCGTAAGTTGGCCTGCTCCCTTCTAAATAGGGTGTATTTTTAAGCACTATTTAATAATTAATTTTCTTCTTTTTTTTTCAGTTTATTTAAAATTAATTTTTCTATCAAAAAATTAAATGAATATTATTACTCCAAACAAAATTTTAATTAAAAAAAGAAAAAATGTCTGAAGACCCCTCAACCCAAACAACAACTATTCAAGAAGGACAATTCTCAACTAATGACCACCAACAAGAAAAAATTAGAGATATTATAGTCCTTCCACCCCCAGAAATTATTAATTCAGTAAATGGGGGTAATGACGATATTGATAAAATATTGGGACAAATGGCTGAATTTATGAGTGAAAAAATTATTGAATGTAGACAGGTGGGAATTTAAATAAAAAAATTATTTAATTTATTCTAAACGATTTTTAAAATTGGGGTAATGAGAAAATTTAATTGTGCTAGTATACATATTTACACATATGACAGGGCAGTTTCGAAAAAATTGCGAAAGTCGAAATTTCGAAATCGAAATTTAAAGTCGAAAATTTCAATTCAAAGTTTTTCCCGAAATTTTCACGAAATTTTCTCATAATTTCTAATTTTTCTCGAAATTTCGAATTGAAATTCAAATTCGAAATTTTCCCGAAATTTCGAATTGAAATTCGAAATCGAAATAAATTACAAGTCAAAACTTCGAAATAGAATTTCGAAGTCATTTCGAAATTGAGATTTCGCAACATCTTTGCTTGGGAAAAATAGCTGCTTTTTTACGAAACAATTGTTTTTCCTAGGAAATCTTTCTCTTTATTCTCTCCTCTAGGCCCAGGTAAATCACAATATTCTCCATAATAAGTTTCATTTCTTGGACAGATACATGTAAATTTATTTCGAGGCCAATGGTCGTGTCCATGCCAAGGTTTTTGGTGTCGTCGTCTGTCGCGTAAAATACAACGGCCACGTCCATGACAAATTCGTGTTGAACAACTAAAATTATTTTATAGACACTCAGAGCTCGTTATAAGAGACGCCCTTAGGGTCGGTTCTTATAATGAGCTGTATATTAAATAGAGGGTATCGCTTAGAAAGCTCACCCACCCAATGGTCAACCGAATTTAAGAAAGCGTCTCTTAAATAGAGTGTATCTAGTATTGGGTGTATCTAGTAGTGAGGTCTGACTATCAGAACCCTCAATACATGATACACCTCTATTTAAGGGACGTTTTCTAAATTTTGAGAAAGGAGGGAGCTATCTATGTGATAGCTTCTATTCAACATACACCTCATAAGAGACTATTTTCATCCCCAAGGATGTATCCAATAACGGGATTTTTTGTCTTAACTCTTTTGTATTCTCAATCAATTTTTGTACAAACGGTCCAAAAACGTTGTTTAAATACACAGAAATTGAATGGCATCTTTCTCCAATTTGTTTAGAACTTGACCAAATAATAAGACCATCAACACCTAATTGAGCTGTCCATTCATAACTACAAAAAAGCTCTTCTTTTGAATAAAACAAATTTTGGGAGGGAGAATAAGGGTCCAATTCCATTTTTGTAAATAAAATAACTGGGCGATCCTTTCGACGTAACGACCTTTGAAAAAAATTTTTTTGAAATTTCCAAAAAAATTTTTAAAGGAAAAACCAAGTCCATTCAGCCTCGGCTACTTTTGCATGCATGTGCCTTTCACACAGAATTTTTTTCCGTTTTCGATCACCGGGGTATAAATAAATTGAGGAATATAGGGCACTAACTTCTGCATACAACCACCATAATCTAGAAAATATTTGCTAGAGGAATGGCTACTTTATGGATCTCATTATAAGGTACACCCTTGGAAAAATAGTACCTTATAATGAGGGGTATATTAAATAGAGGATATTACCTAAGCAACTAGCCCACCCAATGGCCAACCAAATTTCAAAGAGCATCTCTTGAATAGAGGTTCTAGTATAGAAGGTATCTTGTAATGAGTGTATCTTATAAGGAGACTCCCAATACTAAATACACCTCTATTTAAGAGACGTTCTTTAAAATTAGGTTGGTAATTGGTTGGGGGTGCTCCCTAACTGATACCCTTTATTTAACAGACACCTCATTATAAGAGACTATTTTTATTTCCCAGGGGTGTATCTTATAAGGAGGTTCGAAACTTTACTTGTCATTATGTTTTCTAAACAATTCCAAACAACCAACAGGCCATCGTTCACCCGCATCATAATTACACAAAGGCGTATCATAAAACCCCCACAAAGCTTTTGGGCGTAATTTCCTTCCCAATCTAATCGTTTCAACAGTAAATTTCCTCGCTCTTTTATTAAACAATTCTCGGCCTATTTCTGTCGCCGATTTTTCGCTAATTCCTGGGAAACGTTCAAGAACGTCTTTTGTCGATTCCAATTGGTAAATCCGTCGAGCTGCCCAATTCAAGGACCATTCGGGTCTCCACTTTTCGTAATCGATTATTGCTGGGCCGGAGAAGTCGGGATCGGGGATTGCTTTTAAAATGTCCTTCTTGGCCTTTTCTAAGTGGTCGTTTAAATTTATGTTCTGTAAAATTAAGAATGATTTTAGATTTTTGTAAAACCTCATTATAAGATACCTCCAATACTAGATACACCTCTATTTAAGAAAGATCGTTTAAATTTTGGTGGCAACTGGGCAATACCTCTTTAAGATAACGCCCATTATAAATCACGTCTCATTACAAGATACCACCCATTACAAGATACCCCTTGATTCAAGAGCATCTCATTTTAAGATACCCACATATCCTCATTATAAGGTACGATTTATAAGCCCTAAGGCTGTATCTTATAGTGAGGTCTTTAATTTAATATACCCCCAATATAAGATACCCCTCATTATAAGAGAATCTCATTATAAGGTTCTCAGTCCTAGAGGTGTATCTTATATTAAGGTACTCTGTTGTTAAGACTAGTAATTTTTACTTGAGGTAGACCACCATTAATATATTTAACAATTAACGTTTTATTTAACTCTAAATTATCATCATTTGTAGATTCTTCTAAATCATTAAATTCTAAATAGGGATATAATCCAAGTTGGTGTTCATAAAATATTACAATCTTAAGGGAATTTTAATTTTTTAAATTTTAAGAATAACACCTCAGTTCCATGAAACTTTTGATTTTTGTTTGTTTTAATTCCAAATTTTTGAGGTTCTATAGGTTTTCTTGTTTTGTTTAGGCATTGTTGACTTGGAACGGCCCAATAAATCTAATATATTTAAATTACTTTCACTATTAAATACCTCCATATTAGCTACTACTCTGTTTAATAAATGCTTTTTGAAGTTGGAGAGAGAGAGTGAGGAGAGAGACTGCCAATAGGAGAGAGAGCCTCTAGTTAGAGAGAGAGCCCCCCAATACCTTCTATTTAGGAAACACCTCACTTTAAGATCATTTGTGGCCTTAAGGACGAGGTCAACCTCTCCCTCTTTCTTCCTTCAGCGAATGAGTCCCTCGTCCTCTTTCTCAACTACAATTTCTCTCGTTTCATGTACTAGTTATTCTCTTTAAAAACCCACGTATTTAAAATACACCTCGTTATAAGCACTTTTCTTTCCCTACTTTTTTTTCAGTTTTTAAGGGTATCAGTGAGATCAGTGACTATCTACTTTGGTTAAAAATAAAATTTAAATTACTCACATCTAGAGGAATACAATATAGAGGTAATAGAACTATATATACAATAAAGAAAATAATGGCAGACTTGCTGACCATTTTGTACCCTAAATTAAAAAAAATTTTTGATAAAAAATTTTTTATAAAAAGAGAAAAATGTTACAAATTTATAAAGAGCTTTAACCTAAAGATAATAAAAGAAAAGTTATTTTTCGAAACACGAGACTTGATAAAAGCCTAACAGATAAAATATCACCCAGATCATTTCCTTTTGTTCTATTGTATTTAAAGGTGTGTGTTTGTCCAGACTAATAAAGATGGAAGGGAAAAAGTGAGGGCAAACATTATTTGAATTAAAAACCAAAGGGGAGGGGGGGGGGTCTCAAAAATGTTACGGAACTTGGAAAAATTCCAAAGAAAAAAATTTTTTTTGTTTTTAAAGTTATCACAATCCTCAGCCGTTAGTTTTACGGCTAATTTTCTTCAATCACGTGTTATTAGTACAGACGTGGGTGTTAGACTGGCAAAGTTATATGAGGCTTTACAAGTTAAAAATTTGGAAGAATTTAATCAAAAATTGGAAGAATTGAGTGAAAATAGTAGTGAGAAAGGTAAAATAATTTTTAAGAACTCATTATAAGAGACACCTCTATTTAACAGACACCTCTATTTAAGAAACCAAAAACCTCTTTATAAGATACAATTTAGGAAACGAAAAATCTCATTATAACAAACACCTCTATTTAATAGACCAGAAAATTCATTATAAGATACACAAAGCAAACCCTCTATTTTATAGACACCTCGTTTTAAGGTACTTTTTCAGGCACAAAAGGTGTATCTAAATAGTGAGATCGAGCTGGGTCTGACCTAGGTTTTTTCTGTACAAGGCCTAGGTTTTTCCTGTACCCAGAGTCCAGGCCCAGGCAGTTTTTGACCTTCTTGGGGTTTTCCTGGGCCGGCCCAGGCCAATAAATCAAACCCAGAGCCCAGCAAGTTTTTTAAAAAAATCTCGATCTCTAACCTAAATATTGAGATTTTACTGTATTTTATTTAAAAAATTTTTTATTTTTTAAGCTAGAATTATTCAAAAATTAAAAGAATCTTTTATTCAATGGGAAGAATTTTTATCAGAACTGGATAGAGAATTGGAACGTATAGCTGGGCCAGAAAAACGTTCAGAATTGGGAAAGAATGGAACTGGTTTTTTGAAAGAAAATTTTTTTTGAATTTTTTATTTTTAGATATTCAATTGGTCAGCCATTTAAGTCGTCTGGCACAGAATGGTTCTCTTTTATCTTATGTACAGTCATCAAGCTATTCTCTTATGTCTGTTTTTGAGGGGGATTTATAGGGGCAATATTAAATTCAATTAATTTAAACCAGAATTTCTTTGGTGTAGTGGGATATGGCTCAATTTATTAGGGGGAAATGAAGGGGGTTCGACTCCTCTTGAGGGTAAAATAATTTTATAACCCAAAATCTTCCTTAATTGCTCAAAATTTTTATATTTACGGACCTCACTTATAAGTATACCCATGAGGCTGGAAAAATTCGTACCTTATAATGAGGTGTCTATTAAATAGAGGGTATCGCTTAGGCAGTTCCCGCACCCAATGGTCAACCTACTTTATAAAAGAGCATCTCTTAAATAGAGGTGTAGCTTATATTGGGATTACCCTTTATTTAATATACACCTCATTATTAGATACCTCAAGGGTGTCTCTTAAATAGAGGGTATTGCTTAGGCAGTTCCCTCACCCAATGGGTAATCTAGACAAGCGTCCCTTAAATAGAGGTGTCTCCATTATTGGGGGTATCTGAGGTCCGACCAATTTAAAATTTTATTTTTCAGGTTTTTAGAAGTAGTATCTTCCTTCGCCGTCCAAGAATGTTACGAACACGTAAAGAAAATGTTCGACTCCTTAACCGAATTTCACAAATTAGGATGTGATATTCTTTTATTAACTCAGAGACCAACAACTGGGGGTGGAGGATTTCTCAAATTAATTGGAATGCCGTTTAGAATGTTGTTAAACGAAAGTGAATCTATGAGACAGATTTTAATGCACAGACAGTCGGCTTTGTCTATGGCGGGGATTAGAGCATTACACATTGTTGGTTGTTTGAATATAGAGGCGAATCTCATTATAAGATACCCCCAATATTGGAGACACCCCTATTTAAGAGACATTTTTAGAATTAGATTGGCCATTGGGTGGGAGACTGCCTAAGATATACCCTCTATTTAAGACATAGCTTATTATTAGGTACGATCCTCAAGGGTGTACCTTATAGTGAGGTTTAGCCTCCATTTAAGAGACATTTTTAAACCAAGGTTGGCTATTGGGTGGGGGAACTGCCTAACCGATACCCTCACTTTAAGATACTCCTCATTATAAGGTACGATCTCGAGGGTGTATCATATAGTGAGGCTGCTGGGAACGAGTCTAAGCTATGCCCTCCATTTAAGGTACACCTCATTATAAGGTACAATTTTTTCGGTCCCGAGGTTGACATATAACTAGGTTTAGCTTGTATGCATACGTACTTTCAAAATAAATAAATATTTAACAGTTAAAAATTGTCAATTTCCGTAAAATAGCAAAAAAGCTTTCTAAGTGTCCAAGAAATATTTTATAAAATAACTGGACAATAAATAATTTTATTTATTATTTTTTAGTCTCCATTTTCCCCTTAAAAAGACTACCATTTATTTTATTTTTAATACCCTTTGTTTTTTTCTGTCAAAAAGTTTCGGCAAAAATGCCGTCAACGGGGGGTTCGAAGAAAAATAAAAATTTTCGTTTTTAGTACACAGAATTTTTGTGTAACGATCATCCTTTGGAAATTGCTTCTTCAAAAAATAATGGAAATAATGGGGTATTGGAGAAACAACAAAGTGGGTGCATTTTGCTCAATCATGAAGGGCAAATTTTGTATTCTTATTTGTGCATGGATTCGAGTGATTGGCCGGATGTTGAAGTTTTGCTTGAACAAGTAAATGAACTCGTTATAAGAGACACCTCATTAGAAAATACCCCCGATTTAATATACACCTCGTTATAAGATACCTCTCATTATAAGATACCTTCTATTTAATAAACACCTCATCATAAGATACCTTCTATTTAACAGACACTTCATTATAAGGTACGACTCAGGTCCAAGTGTATCTTATAATGAGGTCTGACTATTTTTTAATAAACAGGATTGACTAATAAAAGGTGTTATCCTCTAGACTGTTGATCATCTAGATCCCTTAGCTTATTCCCATTAAATTAAGGTAAGACTCAATCAAATCAGAAGGCCTTCAACAGCCAAAAGTTCCCTTCAACCATCTTCACAACAAACATTAGCCACAGACGTACTAGCTTCTGATCGTTTTGAAGACAATCAAAATAACATTCAAACAAACGATTTAACTGGAAATTGCCAAGAAGTTGCTGTACATAAAAGAAAATGTTGTATAATTATTTAGTTTTAAATTATATTGGACGATACGACATTTGCGTTAGCGACATTTGAACACATCCCCTGTAACTTTAAAAAATGTCACTTATTTTTCTTTTGTTTTAGCTAATATCCGCAAATGTCGGAACGCAAATGTCGCGCACTTTTCTTATTCTTTTATTCTTTACAATTTTATTTCTTTCCTTTTTTACCTTGAAAAAATAAAAAAAAATTTTATTTTATCTTTGTTTGGTAATTTAATTATTTAATCAATAAGTTCAAGTAAATTAATGTCAGAATAATTAAAAAAATAATTGATTGATTGCACTTTTTTCTTGCATGTTTCCATCAGTAATACGACACACGGTTTGATGGCCTTACCTACACCAGAAATTAACATCGAAAATTTTGATCATTTCGAAGAGAACGAAAATAAAATTAAAATTGGAGAGAAGACAAAAAGAGTACGTTAATACAGTCATATTTCACTATAAGACACCCCTAGTATTAGAAATACCTCTATTTAAGAGACGCTCTTTTAGAACGTGGTTGATCACTTGGGTGGGAGGCTCCAAGAGATAACCTCCATTTAAGATACACTTCAATATAAGGAGTCTTAATGTAGGATACACCTAATTATAAAATACACCTCTATTTAATGTACACCTCTATTTAAGAGACGCTCTTTAAAATTGGGCTGCCACTGGAGTAAAGGGGTGCTGCCCAGGCGCTATACCCTCTATTCAAGATACACCTCATTATAAGAGACTATTTTTAGCCCCAAGGGTCTTATAGAGAGAGTTCACTATAATTAAAATCAAAAGTATTTCCTTCAAAAAATTTATTTTTTCAGTTACTCCGCCTTGTAGGCCCCCAATTAGCAGTGCCTTTACTTCTCTATATTTATTTGTTATTTGGTGTTTTCTGTTATCGTTTAATTGATGGAGAATTGAAAGACATGCCTTTCACCGAATTATTTTTATTTTGTTTCGGAACACTAACAACTATTGGCTATGGAAATATCAAACCTTCAACGTCAATTTCTTTACTTTTTACAATGATATATGCCCCTTTAGGCATTCCTTTGTGTATGTTGACTTTGGCTAATATGGGGAAGCATATTACTAAAGCTTATAATTCTTTAACTTTATCATTGAGGAATAAAGTAAATTTATTTTAAATCGACCTCGTTATAAGATACACCTTTAGGGCTGAAAATAGTCTCTTATAATGGGATGTATATTAAATAGAGGGTATTGCTTATACAGTTCCCTAATCTAGTAATCAAACAACTTTTAAAGGGCGTCTCCTAAATAGAGGTGTATCTAGTATTCAGTAGGATATCTTATATTGGGGGTACCTTATAATGGGGGGGTACCTTATGAGGGGAATCTTAAATAGAGGTTTGCTTTGACAGCTTCCCACCCCATTTCCGGACCCAATGGCCAACCAAATTTTAGAAAACGTCCATTAAATAGAGGTGTCTCTTATATGGGATGTATCTTATAACAAGATCTGACAAGTAATCACCCCTTATTTTTTAAAAAGAAATTTCTCTCACACTCAATTGGACAAAACAAAAGATTGCCTTTAATCGCAACAATAACACTCTTTATTTTATCCCTATGTGGATCAGCAGCATTATTATCTACAGAAGAAACGCCTCTCTTCCATACAGACCATCTATATTTTGCTGTTGTTAGTTTTACAACTCTAGGTTTCGGTGACTTGTACCCGAACACGGAAGGCAATATATTCCGATTAATTGGGATCATTTGTCTTCTTAGTGTGGGCATTATAGCGATGGGAGTTTGGTTTCAATTAGTGAAGAATTGGCTACAGAAAATATTTTGCTATAAAAAACGACGATTTCGACATGCTAGGAATATTCAGGCAAAAATAGATTTATTAAAATTTAAGGGAGGGACAATACACCGTCTGACTTAACACCGTTAAGGCTAAAAAATGTCCTCCTTTACTTTGAGTAAACAAATTTTAAAATAAAATTTTTAGGCAAAGGAGTGTAGTACTAAGCAATCCCAATATTCATAGGCTCTAAAAATATTGAGATAACATAAAGTTGGCTGAAATAATTCATTCTCTGTTAAGGTGTATCCAGTCGGTGTTTTGATCGGACGGTGTTTTGCACTGATTCGATTAAATTTAAAAAACGGTGTTTAAAGGTTTGGTTCGGTCATAAACAAATGAGACTCTCAAATGTTTTAGAAGTTGTTGCTCGCGAGTTTAATGTAATCTGTCAAACGAGAAAAACACCTAATTTGTTTTTAAGGCATCACCAATGCAAATACATCAAGTGTTGAATGACTTGGATTTTCTTATATCTGATGCGAAAGCTAATGATGCGTCAGAAATAAATTAATTTGATTGCAACTGTGATTTGGACATAATAATAGGATAACAAGTTGAGACTTTCCGGTTTTATCAAAACTCCCGATTAAGTTTACGCTCATTAGCAAGACTCAAATAAATGCAAGTGAAAGCGTTAGTCTAGGATCATACTAGCTCGGCTAGTCCCTGATCCTTCGTCCGTTCCAGCCACAATCCACACGCTTCTATTACGGCCAACTCAAACGGTTGTAACAAAGACCACCGTTTTGCGACTCCGTTGTGTAATATAGACAAAAGCCTTATAAAGGAAAGAAAGTGGAGTGGAGGTGATCACCATTAAGTGATTAAGTGGTGTATTAAGAGAGGTAAAAGTACAGCCTCAAGCACGCTTCGAACTGTGACTTTTTGGTGGCTATTGCTAAGGCATTAGGATCTCAATTCTTCCTTAAAATGTGTTAGTTCTTTGTCACTCAATCTAACCAAAGTAAATCCAGACTTTAAAAAAACCTTCATAAGTATTTAAAATTTTATCTTGAAAAATAAAATTGCTAGAAATTTTGAAAATATGTATTTGAGTACTACGCTTTTTGGAATATAGAAAAATGCCCGGTTTACGTTTTCTGAAGAAATTTTCACAGGGGGAAGAAAAAAGAAAGAGGTGATAGTATAAGAGGGAACAATGGCGTATCAACGGTCTGTGAGATAGAAAAATTTTTGTTTGGCGTTCGAAACTTTTGGCTTTCGAAACGCCAAAGGTTTGGCGCACATCTCCCAACTAAAATCCACAGGCTGTGCGCAAAATTTTTGCGTGGGGGCGCCAACGCCAATTTTTCAAATTTTAAAAACATTCCAAGCGCAAAACAGCAGAAATAGGTAAAAATGGACGCCTCAGTTCTGAATCATACATAGACCCTCTGGATACGCCCTTGAAAGGGGATATAAATTTTTGGTTAAGGAATTGATTGTTGTTGTTGTCTAGCCAAATAAGTTTGGATAAATATAGCTAAACGATTTTCTTCTTCCTCTAAAGTCTGGTTTCTATTAAATAAAATTAATTCATCCCCTTCTGTTGTTTCATCATCAATTCTAATGTAGTATGGCCAATTTGTAGCATCAAAACCCCAAAAACAGGTGTTTTTCCCGTTCGTCGGTGAATGGGTGTGAAGACAAAAATCTTCAGGTTTAAACATGTTATGACAAGTTTTGCATTCTAAGCAAGGATTTGGAGTTAATGTCGGGTAGAGATACCCTTTACAACCACCAAAACAGTCGTGGGCAACTTTTAATGGAAGAAGTAAACTTCGTAGTTGATTGTTTAGGAGGTCGAAAGGTGCTGGAGATCCCGTTAGTTTTAACATTGCTATTAATCTTTCAGCATTTGTTTTTGTTATTAATTCACATCTTTAAAATAAAATTTTAGAGGATTGAGCAATGGGGAAGGGACATTTCACCGACTTACTATTCACCGCTAAGTTGGAAAATCGAAAAATAGTCGACTAAAAGTCTGTTGACGAAAAGTCTGTCGGTGAAAAGCCTGATTGTAGGTTAGGGAAGGAAAATCCCGAATTGCGGGCGGCATTTCGGGATCCTACTATTCACTGAAACAGACACTCTTTCTATGAAGAGTGTCGGTGAAATATCAAACAGGCCCTACTTGTAGCAGTAAAAATTAAAAAGAAATTAGGGGGTAGTTCACCGACCGACTATTCACTGACTAATCGAGAAAATCGACAAATAGTCTTTCGATGAATAGTCTTTCGGTGAATAGTCTGTTGGTGAAGTCTATTAGGAAATGGGGAGTCCCAAACCAGTACCAATTTAATAAAAATAAAAAATATACTTTGGCAAATATGACGGAACTATTTGATTCCTTTTTAAAACATTTAATTGTTCTTCACTTGAATGCGGATTTATTATTGCCAAATTTTTCATCATTTCATCAATTTTATATGTTGGAATATCTCCAAGACAAAGTGCTTTCATTTGTGGAAAACAGAGACGACATTCTCCGCCAATGACAAAACATGATAATAATTTGCCTAAAATTAAAGTTTTTTTTAGTTTAAAAAACTTAAGCGAAGCTGTAAGCCATAAGAATGGTTTAAAACAGAAGCAGGACATTCTCACTGTAAGAAAGGGTGAGAATGTCAGTGATACCTTGACGTGAAAGATTAACGTCAGGCTATCTCACCTCGAACATGGTTTAGACCCTCCTGGTGTTGTTCAATTTAGCTTGTCTAGAGGAGAACCATACCAAAGCGTGTGGGAGACTCGACAAATTAAAATAAGGCTGGAGCCTCAGGGTGACTTGGGTATGGAGCATGGATGTCAAGAATCATGTGAAAACCCCAACACAAAAATCTTGAAAAATTGGACCCGGCATTTTTTCTCACCCCGCAACACCCCTGGGATCTCACCCCTAAAATCCAATTCAAAGAAAAATAAAAAAATCAAACCTGCAACAATTGTCGACTTAAGAATAGTAGAGTTGCTGCTACTTGGATCCAAGGAAGAAAATGACAAATTTGAAGTAAAATTAGCTGCAAAATTGTTTTTATTAACAAGAGATCCATTGCTTAAATTGTTTGAAGTTCCATTAAAAATTGAAGAACTACAGCCCGGTTGTTGTGAATCAAGTTCAGCTTTTTGATGCGAATCGATTAATTTTTGTAAATTTTCCATAATTTCGTCACGAAAATTTTGAGGATTATTAAATTGGTTGTGATTGAATCCCGAAATTAATGAGGGGGAAGATTCTGCAATTAATCCACAAGCATTCCTCATTAACCCAATTAATCGACAAATTGTCTTTCGGTGAAAAGTCTGTCGGTAAGAATTTTGTTAGGGGGGAAATTGACGGACTTTGAGAGAATTTTTCTGAAGTTTTCAAGTCAATTTAGAAGAAAAATAAAGTTGCACCTTAAAAAAAATTTTTTTTAATTAAAAATATTCAGGTAAGAAGGAATTTGTATTAAAATAAACGGATAATCTCTAAGCTTTATTGATTTTTTTCTTTATTAAAAAAACTAAAAGCATTCAAAAAAGCTTTCTTTTTTAGTTTTTCTACACGGCGGTCTTTTTTTGCCACTTTTTTTAGTTAATACATGAACGCAGAAGTAACTATCAGTCACATGATAAAAAAATAATAAACACATTGCAAAGGCTTGGCCAATATTTTATTCCGCGTACAAAACGGTACACGACAAAATGGAACGCAATTAAAATAAGTGGGGCTGCTTAAGTGCTGTTTTGTACCCAATTAATCGACGAATTGTCTTTTAATCGACGAATTGTCTTTTAATCGACGAATTGTCTTCTAATCGACGAATTGTCTTTTAATCGACGAATTGTCTTTTAATCGACGAATTGTCTTTCAAATGACCGATTTTGAACGATGTGACATTCTGTCGTGTACCATTTTGGGGATGGAAAGGCTTGCCTTTATTTATTATTTGTACAAATGTTATACGACAAAAGGGAACACAATTAAAATAAGTGAGGCTGTTTTGTCTCCTTCTTTCAGATGACCAATTTTGCCCTATGTGACGTTTTGTCGTGTACCATTTTGTAGAACATTTGTTTATTTACCATTTTGTCGTCATGACGTAAGTTTTATTAGTGTTTTCTTTCTCTTTTTATGTCTCTCTGTTATATTTCTTTTTCTACAAAGCTAGTTAATTAACAGGTTAGAGAGTGTTGGGTGTTAATTAATTTATTTTAATAATTAATTTATTCCTTTTTTAACTACAAATTAAATAAAAAAATTTTTTTATGAATTTTCTACGTTTATTTAAAAATAAATTTTTAATTTCATATTATAATTTTGAATGTTTGCATACTTCTAATATTTATTTTGGAAAATTAATTAATTTTAAATTGTCAGATATTGGTGAAGGTATTGCTGAAGTACAACTAAAAGAGTGGTTTGTTTTAATTTTTTTAGATTAGTCAGCCTCGTTATAAGGAGTATTTTATGCGCCTCAATTTAGGCGATGTTTTTTTTTAAAAATACGCAAGAAATGTCTGCAAAAATTAGTCCGCAAAAAAAGTCCGCAAAAAAATCTGTCCGCAAAAAAAGTCCGCAAAAAAATCTGTCCGCAAAAAAATGTCCGCAAGAAATGTCCGCAAGAAATATCCGCAAAAAATCTGTCCGCAAGAAATTTGTCCGCAAAAAAATCTGTCTGCAAAAATCTGTCCGCTAAAAGTCTGTCCGCAAAAACCTGTCCGCAAAAAATGTCCGCAAAAAGATCTGTCCGCAAAAAGTCTGTCCGCAAAAAATGTCCGCAAAAAGATCTGTCCGCAAAAAGTCTGTCCGCAAAGAATTCTGTCCGCAAAAAATATGTCCGCAAAAAATTCTGTCCGCAGAAAATATGTCCTCAAAAAATGTCCGTCCGCAAAAAATCTGTCCGCATAAAGTCAGTCCGCAAAAAAATTAGTCCCTCTAGTTAAAATATGATTTTTTCACTTCGGGAGTGTATCTTATAATGAGGGTTTTAAAAAATAAAATATTTAAATATTTTCAGGCATGTAAAAGAGGGCGATTATGTAAACGAATTTGACGAAATCTGTTCTGTACAAAGCGACAAAGCTACAGTCACAATAACTAGTCGATATAAAGGAATTATAAATAAATTGTATTTTCAACCTGACGATATTGCTAAAGTTGGACAGACTTTGTTGGATGTTGAATTAAATGAAGAAGAAGAAGATAATGAGGAATTTTTGAATGAAGTTTTGCCGGAAAATGAAGGTTTTTTAATTTTTAATAATTACTGCATAGTCGGACTTTACTTTAAAATACTCTCCTTGGGGCTGAAAAATTCGTTTTTTATAACGAGGTATATTTTAAATAAGGGGGGGGGGGACATATTTTTGCAGAGGATTTTTGCGGACATTCCTTAATTTTTGTGGACATTCCTTGATTTTTGCGGACAGATTTTTGCGGATTTTTGAAAGTCTGTCTCTTGTATATAGGGGTATCTTCTATTGGGAGTATCTTATGGTGAAGTTCGACTGATTTCATTTTTTTCAGAAACTTCTATTCCCGTAACAAACCAAAAAAATTCAATAAAAATATTAGCACCCCCAGCAGTTAGAAGATTACTTTCTGAAAATAAAATTAATTTAGAAGAAATTAAAGGGACTGGACCAGATGGTCGAATTTTAAAAGAGGATATTTACAAAATGATTAATAAAGAAGGAAATAATGTGGAAATTGTAAAAGGTTAGTTAATTTTGTTTTTTCAGGGCAGGAACTTTTCCTCGAATTAGTGCTTTTTAGAGGCCCCAGATTTTGACGAAAATCAGAATGTCGGCTTTGGACAATTTCAGAATTTTTTTTTCGGTCCGGTCATTTCAAGTGGGAGAGCTAAAAAGGGGAGCTTTCTATACCCCCCAAATACTTGTCAAATCAATAGACCTCATTATAAGATACACCCTTTTCCGTCCTCAAAGAAGATATTTTATAGTTGATTTTTATCTTCCCCTTGGGTGTATCATATAATGAGGTTTTGATATTTTCTTGATCACTGGAAAGGGAGGATGATTTATTGATACCTCCAAATCAACATACCTCATTATAGGCTACTCCCTCTGCCTTTTTCTAAAGGTATATCTTTAATGAAGTTTATTTTCCAGAGACTACTCAAAAAACAACAAAAATTCCAATAAAAGGGTATACCTTTTCTATGATCAAAACAATGACGGAATCTCTAAAAATTCCACATTTTATTTATGGAGATGAATTTTTAATTGAAGAATTGGTTAAAATAAAAGAATTATTAAAAGAAAAGAAGTCAATGAATTTAACCTATTTGCCCTTCTTTATTAAAATTATTTCAAAAGCACTTGAAGATTTTCCTATTTTAAATTCTTCGTTGGATTTGGATAATTCAAATATTATTTTAAAGGTTTTTTAATTTAAATTAATTAGAATTGTAGATTTTTTGTCCGCAATTTTCTTGCGGATGTCCGCAAAATTTTTGCGGATTTTTTACGGACAGTTTTTTGGCCCTTTTTGCGGACTTTTTGTAATACCTTCGAACCTCTCTATATAAGGGATACTCTCCCTTTAATATACCACCACGTTTTTTGGTTCACACTCGTTTAATCCGACACCAAGGGCGTTCCAAGGGGGGGGGGGCTTGCAAAAAAAGAAGTTCTGCAAATTAAAAAAAAATTTTTCAAGAATTTTCATAATATCTCTGTTGCAATAGACACACCAAATGGTTTGGCTGTTCCAAATATTAAAAATTGTCAAAATAAAAATATTTTGGAAATTGCTTTGGAATTGAATGCTTTGAAGGAAAAAGGGGTTAAAGCAGCTTTTTTACCTGAAGACGTGTCTGATGGAACTTTTACAATATCGAATATTGGATCGGTTTGCAAAATAATTTTTTATTAAATATAGTCAGCCCTCACTATAAGATACACCCTCTATTTAAGAGACAATTCATTATAAGCGACCCTCTATTTAAGGTATACCCCTAAGATAAACCCTCTATTTAAGATACCCTCATTTTAAGCGACCCTCTATTTAAGGGACACCTCTTATTTGTTAGATACACCCTCTATTTATGGTGCCTTCATTATAAGAGACTATTTTTCGACCCCCAAAGGGGTGTATTTTATAATGAAGTTTGACTGTTTAAAAATGTATTTTTTTTGTTTTGAGATTGGTGGAATTTTTATGAGTCCAATAATATTCCCTCCACAAGTTGCTATTGGAGCAATTGGAAAAATTAGAAGAACTCCTTATTCTGATGATCCGGAAGAAGAATATATTCATGAAAGTAAAAGAGTGGTTAATATTTGTTGGGCTGCTGACCACCGAGTTTGTTTATTTTTAGATTGGAGAAGAGAACGTTTTTTGCGGATTTTTTTCTGTCCGCAAAAAATGTCCGCAGTTTTTTGCGGACATTTTTTTGCGGATGTCCGCAATTTTTTGCAGATATGTATTTTGGGTGAAAAAATATCCTCAAAATGACGCTCTACTTCATTCGTATCAATTAAATTTTTATTTTTTAAAGGTAATTGATGGTGCTACTTTAGCCCGTTTTAGCAACAAAGTCAAACAATTATGTGAAAATCCTGCAATTTTGTTGGCTGAATTACGTTAAGTGCCTATATAAAAATGTGATGGAAAATTGTGATTTTTTAAAATTAAATAAACAGTCTATCCTCATTTTTAATACCCCAAAAAACTAGTAAACCTCTATTTACGGAACATTCTCTAAAATTTGGTTGACCTCTATTTAAGCTAAACCCCATTATAAGAGAGCATCTTTTCAGTTTAAAAAGGGGTATTTAAAAAGAGGGTATTTAAAAATGAGGTTTATTTAACAGTATTTAACAATAATTTTTTATTGCCTTAATATTTTTGCGGATTTTTTATGTCCGCAAATTTTTTGCGAACGTCCGCAAAACTTTGAATACTTTTTATATAAGCCAAATATGTCCGTTGATTTTTTGCTTATTTTTTCAAAAACGTCGCAAATTTTTACGGATGTCCGCAAAGAACGTCCGCAAATTTTTTGCGGACGTCCGCAAATTTTCTGCGGACTTTTTTTATAATATTTAATTTCTTGTTAGAAAATTTAAAATAATAATTTTATCCAGATCTATTACAAGTTTTACAAGTAATAAAAAAAGCAGCAATATTATTCCCCCACCCAACATTTCCATTTTCTGGTAATCCAGTAAAAGGGTCAATTCCCATATTCCATCTAGTTCCAGGTAAATAATAGCCACAACAATTATTTTTGTATAAAAAAGAATTAATTGTTGGTATTAATAAAATTATTAAAATAAATTTAAATAAAAACATTTTTTAAATTTTTTTAAAAAAATTTAATTGGAAGGGAAAGAGAAGAGAGGATGTCTTGGGGGTCTATCCGAAGATTTGGGGGTCTGTCCGAAGATATTTGTTAAAAGTCGGAGAGCACAATAACAGTATATCCAAAGTAGAAAATAATAACGTAGACTAAGGTTGAAGGGGAATTAGATCCTTCCCTAATTTTTCTGGATCAGTCCAATTAGACTAACGCTGACACTGACTTTTATAATAAACACAATTAAAAGGGGAGAGAGATTTCTTTCTGATTAATTGGAAGGAGCGAGGGAGAAGCTTTCTGAGAACATTTTTTAAAGAAAACATTTTTTTGTTTTTTAGGTCAAATATTTTTTTAAAGAGATGAAGGTCAGTAAGAATACACAAAGTAATTTAGGAGATTCTTTTATTGTAAAAGGGAAGGAAAATTATTTTTTTCTTCTTATAAAAATCCACTTTAATAAGCATAATTTATCTACTTGGAAAAAAATGAAAATTATTTTAAAGAATCGTAAATTAAAAATAATACAGTTAAGCCTCATTTTAACTCATTTTTGGGGGCATTTATTGCAAACAGACTTTTTCGGGGTTTTTGCGGACAAAAATTTTTTGCGGACTTTTTTTGCGGACAAAATTTCTTGCGGACTTTTTTGCGGACAAAATTTCGGTACTTGTGAGTTATCCCAAACCAGTTTTTGCGGACATATTTTGCGGACTCTTTTGTATACACAGAATGGTCAGTCTTTCTCCTTTCCTCAATTTCACGCTATTTCACTATGGCATTTATTCAATGAGAGGCAATAAAGAAAGGATTATTTTTAAATATAAATGACCGATTTTTAAATCATGTTTGCCTCATTGAATAATGCCATAGTGAACTCTTTCCTCAATTTCACTCATTTAACTGTGTTAATAGAGGCAATAAAGAGAGGCAACAAAAAACGGATTATTTTTCTGCAATGCCACAAATAAGAAAATAACAGATCAATCTTTTCATTTTTATTTACATATTCCAGTCATTTAGAAATATTTTTCTAGGATGATAAGCACCAAACTCTGCATTTTGAACTAATGGTCCGTTACTTCGTGTACGTACCTTAACAGAGTCTTACCAAATTAACCAAACACGGCCCGGAACAGCTTTATATTTTTGACAAATCTAACTAATTATGGTATCAACCCAGCTTAAAATGGTCAAGGATTCCGTAAAAAAGGGGTGGGGCTATTACCGAAAAGCTGCACTGACAAATGAAAGCACAGATCGGTCCACATTTTTTTATTCCGTATTTTGGTCGTTCCATGATTTGGTAAGACTGTGATTTGTCACGGTTTTCGTGGACATATTTTGCGGACTCTTTTGTATATACAGAATGGTCAGTCTTCCTCTTTCCTCAATTTCACTATATTTTAGTACGGCAAACATGACCTCTCATTGAATAAATGCCATAGTGAAATAGCGTGAAATTGAGGAAAGGAGAAAGACTGACCATTCTGTGTATACAAAAGAGTCCGCAAAATATGTCCGCAAAAACTGGTTTGGGATAACTCACAAGTACCAAAATTTCTTGCGGACTTTTTTTTGCGGACAAAATTTTTTGCGGATTTTTTTTGCGGACAAAATTTCTTTGCGGACAAAATTTCTTGCGGACTTTTTTCTTGCGGATTTTTTTAAAACGCCTTATAAGCAGAAGTTTATCTTATAACGAGATTTGACTGTATTCAAAACGATATATAAAAAAGTTTTATAGAACGTTTGGACGAATATTTTAAATTGTTTTTTAAATCATTTTTTATGGTTGTGCCTCATTATGTGGAGTAGATCTGTTAAAAAATATTTTATGAAAAAATAAAATTTTTTAATTTTTTCTACTCTTTTGTAGGCGCTAACGGCTGCATTTCTCGTTGATGTTGTGAAGTAGTTATTGTTGTTGTAACGATTTCATATTGTTCGTCTGCTGGGACATGGATTCCAATAAAAAATTGATAAATCCAGGCGCCTTTAAATTTTTTTGAAAAAATTTTTTTTTTTGAAAATTTACCTAGGAGAGCGCCAATAAATGGGGCAATAATTGGAATCCAAAACCAACCATAATTATTATAGCTGAAATTGTAAAAAAATAGAGAAAATATTGGAGTATTTGTGAAGAATGGAGTGTCGTTTTGAGGGACATTTTTGCGGACAAATTTTGCGGACTTTTCTTGCGGACTTTTTTTTTGCGGACTTTTTTTGCGGACTTTTTTTGCGGATAATTCTTGCGGACTTTTTTTTGCGGACTAATTTTGCAGACATTTCTTGCGGACTCTTTTTGCGGACAAATTTTGCGGACACTTCTTGCGGACTCTTTTTGCGGACAAATTTTGCGGACACTTCTTGCGGACTTTTTTTTGCGGACAAATTTTGCGGATATTTTTATTTTTGCGGACTTTTTTATGATTCCGCGTGACACTCCTCTCTCCATATTTAAAAAATTTTTAAACTTACGAAAACACTTCCCACCCATATCCAACAATTAAAGTAAATAAGCGAGGTCCAAAATCACGTGCTGGGTTGCACGGATAACTTTAAGAGAAAAAAATTTTTAATTAAAATTGCGGACATTTTTTGCGGACTTTTTTGTCCGCAAAAAAAATCAAAAAATTTACCCAGCATTGTAAGCAAAAGACGTCCCAACCAAAACAAAAGATGTCCCAACCAAAAAAGGTTGAACCCAAGTTGGGTAGTGATTTCGTTTGTCCGTAATGTGGGCAATTAAAAGACAAAAAACAGCTGTGGCAACAACTTGGTCAATAAATCCATTAAACACCCCCAAATGGGGGGAGGAATACGAGGCGAATATGTGGGCAGTTGCCTTGGTTCCGTATACTTGTCTGGTACCTCCGTCGAATTTATTGATGGCGTCTTGAAAAATTTGAAAATTTTTTGGAAAATTTTCAAAAAATTTTTGAAAATTTTCAAAAATTTTTTGAAAATTTTCAAAAATTTTTTCTCAAAATTTGTGAAGTTTTTTGAAATTTAAAAAAAATTTTTTTGAAATTTTTTTAAAAAAAATTTCAAAAATTTTATTAATTTTTAATTACCACAATAAACCAAATAAGCAATTGCTGCCCCAAAGAAAGCTCCTAATAATTGAACTAACGAATACAAAGCAAAACGGATTGGTGCCAATTGTTTGAAGCTTAAAAACATTAATGAAACTGCTGGGTTTATATGTCCACCTTTTTTAAAAATAAAAATATTTTTTAAATTCAAATTCGTTATAAGATACACCCTTAGGGGATAAATAAAAGTCTCTTATAATTAGCTTATAACGAGGTGTAGCTTAAATAGAGAGTATTGCTTAGATAGCTGCCCCAACCAGTAACCAACCGAATTTTAAGAAAGCGTCCCTTAAATAGAGGTGTATCTAATATAGGGGGTCTCATTATAAGGTACACTCATTACAAGGGACCCCCCAATACTAAATCCTCTATTTAAGAGACACGTAGAAAGTGGTTCCCTGCATGATTAGGAGCTTCCAAAGCGAAAGCCTCTATTCAATAGACACCTCATTATAAGAGACTATTTTTCAACCCCAAGGGTGTATCCTATAAGGAGGTTTTCTCACCAGATATTTTAGCACAAACAGCCACCCCAAAAGCAATACCCAACCCAACACCCAAATTCACTCCAATAGTCTGATTAAGTGCAGGTTTGGGTATTATTGCCTGTGCACAAACACAAGCTATAGTTAAAACCAAAACAAAAGTTCCCAAAAATTCTCCAAGTAGGGCTCTGCCCAGTTCATTCCTTATACGCAATTTGGTTTGCAACTTAAATTTAAATTAATTTTTAAAAATTTTTTAAAGAATTTTCTAGCCTTTTCCATCTTTTAAAGATGTGATTTTAAATTTTATTTGTTGTTGTTAATATGAAAGTAGAGAAAAATATGTAAAAATAAGAAAATATGAGGATTTTGATTTTTTTCCTCTGTGATATTTCACAAAATTCTAAAAAATATTAAAAAAAAATTTTTTTTTCAAATTTTTTCAAAAATTTCCAAGGTAAGGTCCGACAAACAAAAATTAAAAAAAAAATTGATTTTTATTGGTGATATTGAAAAAAAAAGCAATTTTAAAGTTAATTGCCCTTCAAAAAAATAAATTGTTTTATTCTCTCATTTGCATTTTTACACAATTACTGAAAGGAAATTTTTTTGATTGAAAATACCGATATTTATGTTTTTGTACTATAAATTGAAACGCGGTTTTATTTATTTTTTTAAGCCAGAAGAATTTTTCTGGCGACATTTTTTTTAAAAAGTCTGCTCTGGGTGGGCCCATTTAAGCGGTGATTGAAAGCAAAAATAAATAAAAAGATTTATTGCTTTTTTTTTAAGAGAAATAAAAAATGAAAAAAATTCTTTTTTGAGAGAAAATGTAAAAATAAAAAAATAAAAAAGGTGTTGCCGAAAAATATTTTAAAAAATAATTTTTAATTTAAAAAATATTGTAATTCATTAGGATCACACCCAGCGGATCTCCTTTTTCAGAGGATCAACCCCCTCCCCCAAAAAATCAACACACCCAAAAAGACCAACACTCCAAAAAGACCAACGCCCAAGAAATTGTCACTCCCAGAAGATCAACACTCTGAAGGCCATCTCCTAGACGATCGACACACCCAGAACCCTAGAGAACGCCTAGATCCCACAAAAAAATTTACACCATTCAGACCTCATTATAAACCTCATTATAAGAAAATGGGGGTATCGCTTAGGCCCCCACTAGTGTTGCGCCGGAAGTTCCGGTTCTGCCCAAATTTGCGGTTTCAGCGAAACACTAGCCTCCACCCAAAGGGCCAACCAAAAATAAAAAACTTATAACTAGGTTTGACTGTTCTCTCTGCTAGAATAAAGAATGAAATGGTTGTTGTGTTTTGATGGACTAATAAACAAAAATGAACACACTTGTATATTTTATCAATTTTTGCGTTCCATCAAATCAATATTTAATTTCTAAACTTTGAGAAAAATAAAGTAACAATAAATAAAGAGAGAGGGAAAGGTATTTGAGGTAATTTCACTCACTCCTAAAAAATGAGGGGGGTTTTAATGGACTAATAAATAAATAAATAAATAACACAAAAACAATTTCAACACATCAAAAAAAGAGATAAAAATTCAATGGAGTGAAAAATTGGAAAAATCTAGAGGAATTTTATTTTCATAAAATCTCTGAAAAAAAATTTTTTTAATTGGTCAAAAAATGTTGTTGACCCAATTTAAAGGCACTTAACGGGAAAATTGTGCAAAAACTATTTTTGGATATTTAAATATTAAAATTAAAATTATAGAGAAAATAAATATCAAAACATCCAATTATTGTAGTCTATTAAATTTTGGTTTCCTAGGAAATTGAGCCTTAAAATTAAAAAAAAATTACTCTAAGATTCTCTTTTGGAAGCGAAATAGTGCGTGACAGAATGTTGGAGCAATTATTTAAGAGTCGACCAAATTGGTATACGACAAAATGGTACGGAACTGGCAGGGACAAAATGGTACAAACAGGTAGGAGACAAAATAGTACACATGGTAAAATGAGACAAAACGGTACACAGGGTAAAACAGTACAAAATGGTCAGAACCGATTGGGACAAAATGGTACTCTGATTAAATACGACAAAACGGTACACAGGGTAAAACAAAATGGTACACGGGGTAAAACAAGACAAAACGGTACACAAGGTCAAACAGGACAATATGGTACAACCAGGTATGAGACAAAACAGTACACACGGTAAAATGTGACGGTATGGTACGTAGGCCAAACAAGACAGAATGGTACAGACTAGAAGGGACAAAATGGTACGGAGTGTAAATAAGACAAAACTAAACACAGAAAAAAACGGTAGCTAGGCAAAATGGTACTCAGGTTTACTTAACTTTTTTAAGCTTTAGAATTTTTAAAGTAGTAGCTAACTAATCTCTTGTATATAAATAAAGTATTTAATACTTTTTATGCCTCAAGCATTTAATAAAATAAAAAGGCACAGATTGGCTAAATAACAAAATAAATTTTTGAAAAAAATTTTCGTCGCTTCAATGACTGATTGCCATCTTAAAATTTTCTGCCATGCTTCTGGCCCTATAAAAGTCAAAAAATCTTTTCTTCTTTAAAAAGACTAAAAATAAGCCTGATACCCTTGGGGTCAGTTGGTCACGGTCAATTTTGTGAAAATAAAGTAGGGAGGAGGATTGGGAATTGAGAAGGATAAATAATAAATCTGAGCTTCTCCACATTTTGCCAAAACGACATTTTGCCAATACAGCTAAAAACAGACGTTTTGTCAAAAAGTTTGTTGGCAAAACGTGTATTTTTGGCCTTATTGGCAAAGTGTGGAATTGGCAAAATGTGTGGATACGAAAATCTGAGGAGGAAAGGAGGAAGGGATATATAAATTATATACTAGTCCAACAACTGACAAATAAATGAGTCTAAAGAAGAAAAAAAAGTGGTGGCAGCTGTCCTAATGTTTTTATAATGTTTTTAAAGCTGGCTTCTCTTTTTTAATTTTTTTTTTGGTTAATTTCTCTAAATTTTTACAGCTTTTTTGCTTGACCGTTTTCCCCTTCCCCTTCGTTTTCTTCTCAATTTCCCTCCCAAATCTCTATAAAAATAAATCCCCTTTTTCCTTTTGACCATTAGAAAGGCAAAATCAATTTTAGTAAAATACTAAACGGAAGCTGAAAAGTTTTAAAAGCTAAAAAGAGGAAAATAACAACTTAACGAGACTGACATTAATGAGCAAAAATGAGGGGAAAATGAAAAGGATAAACAATTTTTTAAATTAATTATGTAGTTTTGGTATATTACTAAAAATGGAAAGAGAGGGGAAAAAAGTTAAAAATATAAAAAAAATTAGTAAAAAGCTCTCATAAATGTAAACAAATTTGTTTGAATGTTTATTGAGGGAAAAGGTCAAAATAAAGTTGAGCTACCGTATATGCTGAAATAATTAGTTTATCGTGTCAACCTGTCGCTGAAGGGGGTAATAGGGGGCAATTATTTCAGCATAACTGTATTTATCCTTAGAGAATCTTTAAAACATTCATTCGTTGACGAAAAGTCCGTTGACGAAAAGTCGGGGATTTTTTAAAAATCAAATTATTATTGGCATTTTGTTTAGAATAAAATTTCAAAATGGAAAATTTAAAAAATTTCAAAATGGTACGTGACATAATGCCACAAAGGGTAAAATACGACAAAAGGGTACATGACATAATGTGACAAAAGACAAAATTAGACAAAATGTAGCACTACTTTTAATTTTTCTTTTACTCTCTAACTGTCACTCTTTCTTTTCCATAATATTTCCGCTTGTGATTAAAACCTTGAGTTTAATTAAAAAAAAGATCACTCTATTTTTTCTTCTTTTTAAGGTTTTATTTTAAAAATTAACAAAAAATGTCTTCTTCAGACGATGAATATTTTGATATTGATGAACTTCAGAAAGAGGGGAAAGATGTTGGAAAAAATAAAAATGATGTTGATTTAAGTGAAAATAGTGATCAGGATGAGGTTAATTTAATTTTCTTTTTTTAATTAAAATTAATTTTTAAGTTACAAGTTGCGTTTAGACAAGGACTTTTAAATAAACCTGGACTGTTTGTTTCTCAAATTAAAAAGCGGGAACCGATTTATAAGAAGGTTTTTTTATTTTTAAATAGTGGTTGATACTAGAGAGCTGGGTCTGGACCAAGGCCTGGGTTTTTCCTGTACCCAGAGTCCAGGATTTTTTGACCTTCCTGGGTTTTTTCCTGGACTACAGGCTGGTTAATAAATCAAACCTAGAGCTCAGGAACAGGCCCGGGCCTTTCAAAAATCTCTGTCTCTATTTGAAACCCGACCGGATGTGGAGTTATCTTCGCTAGAAACCCGGTAAATTTGATAAAATCCGCGTTTTTAGGTTTTGGCTCGGAAACTCCGACCTGTTTCAGTTTAAGAAAAGCCCATATACCTGAATAGATAATTCGAAAATTTTAAATTAAAAATTGATTTTTAAGGAAGAGATGTTGAGGAAATTGTCAACTTTTAACACAGAAAGGGATTGGATTGATACTTTACAAATCAAATTTAATCCAGAATTGTGTTATAATGATTCTGTTGATCAAGATTTGGAACGGGAAGCTGCTTTGTTTAGTTTTTTTAATTTTATTTTGTTATTGACTGACCTCATTTATACATATCCTCACATTAGTATAGGCATTTTGGCTCCAATTCCGACCTTTTCCAGATCTAGGCTCCGGAGTCGGCTGTTTTTGGAGTCATCTGGATGGAAAACTAACGGTTAATATTTTATTGTAGGATGTGGGTGGTTTATCAAGGGGTTTTGAGGATTTCAAGGGATTTTCTAGACCAAGACTTTACCTTATATTTTCGACGTAAAAATATTTCTAGAAAATTAAAATTATTTTTCAAGTTATAAACAAAGCCTCAATTCTGTTCAAAATGCGAAACAACGTTTAAAAGCACTGGGTATTCCAACTGATCGGCCTTCTGATTATTTTGCTGAAATGGCAAAGGGAGATACTCAAATGGATAAAATTAGACGAAAAATTCTTGAAACAAAGAATATTAAAGAACGGAAAGAAAATGCTAGAAGGTTTTTATTTGAAAATTAGATACTCGGACCTCGCCTGATACTCCTTGTGGTCAAAAATTGTCTCTTACAATGAGGTGTATCTTAAATAGAGGTTATCGCTTGGGCGAGTCCCTCATCCAGTTGGCCGATTTTTAAGGAGCGTCTCTTCTAAATAGAGGGTATTGATTAAATAGAGGCTTTCACTTGGGCACCTCCCCCAGCCGGGTAGCCGGCATTTTGAGGAGCGTCTCTTAATTAGAGGTGTATCTAGTATTGAGGGTATCTTATAGGGGGTCTGACGTTAAGCTTGTAATATTTAAGAAAAATTTAGATTGCGAGACGAAAAGAAATTTGCCCGTAAAGTCCAAAAAACACGTGAGGAGCAAAAATTGAGAGCTAAAAAGAAGTTGCTGGATGCTACAAAAAAGCATAGGAAAGGAAATAAAGCGCCTTTGGAAGAAATTTTAAAAAATCCAAAATTTGAAAGGAAGGGAGGGTTTCAGGTTTTTTTTGAATAATTTTAAAATTAGAAAAAAATTTTTAATTAGAAAAAGAAGATGAACAGAACTGCGAGAAATACAAAATATGGGTTTGGTGGAAGGAAGAAGGGGTCAAAAAGGAATGATAAACAAAGTTTTAATCTTATGTAGTTTTAAACTATTTTAAGAAATTTTTGTTTTATAAAAGGTTGTTTAAATTTGAAATTTTTTTCGTTATTTTTTGAAAATAATTGGGTTACTCGACACTTGCGGATTTTTGCATTTGCGGACCGTTCCGAAAAACCTAACCCCCATTTATTGGAACAAATAGGCATGGGTCTTCCCTAGGGATTGTTCCCCGTCCCCGAAGCTCGGCGAAGTTGAACTTTTTGCAAATTCTCTGTCCCCCGTGGTTTCCGAAGACTTTCTCCTCTTCGCCGGGGAACATCCCTAGTTTTTCCAGTGCCATGTTAAAGCCCTTTATATTAGATAAGTAACAAAAAACTTCAAAAGCTGTCCGTAAGTGTAAATTCGCAAATGTCGTAGTACCACATATTTTATATTTTTTTCAATTATTATTTTAAATAAAAATTAATTTTAGAACAACTTACCCTTCTTATTTTTTATTAAAATGACTTTTCTTAAATTACTAACTCAAAAATCTTTTAATAAAATTTTTAATCCCTACTCTCCAACAATTTTTCAAAAAGCCCAAATTGGTGGTTGTGCATGTCCTCCAAGTAAATTTTTTTTGAAATTATAAAAAAAAATTTTTTTAAGGTGAAGAAGATGTCGATTATGCTTTTGAAATGTCCAGCTCAACTTTACGTTTTGGCAAAGGAGTAACTAAAGAAATTGGTTTTGATGTTGTTACATTTGGAGCTAAAAATCCACTAATTGTAACTGACAAAAATGTGGCTAAAACTGTTGCTTTTGAGTATTTTTAATTTTTAAATTAATTTTAAAAGATTTCCATTAAAGAAATGTTGCAAATTCATTAACTAAATTGGGAATTGCTTTTGAAGTTTTTGATGAGATTAAATGCGAACCTTCACAACAAAGTTTGTTTTAAAAATTATTTTGGGGTTTTTTATAAATATTGAACCTAGGATTGTTGGTTATCGGGAAATCTTCTTCGTCCAGAAGCGAGACGACGAACTTAAGAATCCCTCGGCTCTTCGGTTTCGAACCGTCAGCTCTTCGGACCTTTTTTGCTAATTGCCCTCGAGCAAGGCTTATCTATGACACAAGCAACTTTTTTTCTAAACCCAGTCCATCCTTGTTGTCCTAAGCGAGGGCTATTTTATTAAAATATTTTTGTTATTTTAGGCATGCAATTAGCTATTAATTTTGCTCGGAAAAAACCTTTTGATTGTTTTTTGGCTGTTGGTGGTGGTTCTGTTATTGATACAGCCAAAGTATTTTTTTAATTTTTAAAAATCATTTTTCAAAATCTTTTAAGGCAGCAGCTTTGTATGCAAACAACCCAAATGCTGAATTTTTTGATTTTGTACAAAAACCGTTTGGTCTTGGACTTATTCCTGATAAAACAATGCTTCCACTGATTGCTGTTAGTTGTATTTATTTTTAATATTTTTTGAGGGAGGGCAATCATTTTATATTAATCAGAGGGAGGATGCTTCGAAGCATAGTTTCCGTTTATGTTTTTTAATTTTTTCTTCCGCCTTCCGTTTTTGGCAACATCTGAAGGGACCCCAATTTTTTGAAATTTTCTTTGAAAGATTTTCTGAAATTTTTTTCTTGCGGAGTGTTTCTCAATAGGAAATTTCTCAATAATTCTCAACTTCCCCATTTATTGAAATTTTTTTAAATTTTTTCCAAAGGTCCCAACAACAGCGGGTACTGGAAGTGAAACAACAGGCGTTTCAATTATTGACATACCCGAAAAACAATGCAAAACGGGCATCAGACTTCGATGTATCAAACCAAATTTGGCTATAATCGATCCTCTAAATGTTATGTCAATGCCTAGAAATGTTGCAATTTATTCTGGTTTCGATGTTTTATGTCACGCTTTGGAATCCTACACAGCTAAACCTTACAATAAACGTTCTCCTCTTCCGTCAAGTCCAAATGTTCGACCAGTCTATCAAGGCTCTAATCCGGTTTTTTTAATTTTTTTAGATTTTTTTTCTAAAAATATTTTTTTAGGTAAGCGATGTTTGGGTAAGAGAAGCTCTTCAAATTGTTAAAAAATATTTTCGACGATCAATCTTTAATCCAGAAGATGAAGAAGCACGTACATACATGATGATGGCTAGTTCATTTGCTGGGATGGGGTTCGGAAACGCTGTGGGTATTATTTGGTTAAATATAGTCGAACCTCATTATAAGAGACCTTTAATATTGGAAATACCTCTATTTAAAAGACTCTCTTAAAAGGTAGTTGGCCACTGGGTGGGGATCTGCCCATGTGATACCCTCTGTTTAAGAGACTTTTTTATAAGGTACGATTTTTTCAGCCGCAAAGGGGTCTCTTATAGTGAGGTTCGACTAATAAGAAGTAAAATTATTTTTAATTTAAGGGTGTACATTTATGTCACGGACTTTCTTACCCAATAAGTTCACAAGGCAAATCTTATTTTGACAAGCATTATTCAAAAGAACATCCACTAATTCCCCATGGATTGTCTGTTGTTTGTACAGCGCCTGCCGATTTTTTATTTACAACTTGTGCAGATCCAAAAAGACATTTGGAAGCAAGTCAATTATTGGGATCTGACTTACCTGTAAATTTAATTTTTTTATTTTTGTATAATAGGACTTTTTTTATAAGATACACCCAATATTGAGACACCTCTATTTAAGAGACGCTACTTTAAAATTCATTTGGGCCAAATTTTGCGGACAAAACTAAATTAAAAAAATTTTTTTATAGAATACAGCAAGTCCTGATACAATCGCAAACGTTTTGGCCGATCAATTACGTTCGTTTATGTCAGATTTTGGATGTCCAAACGGTTTAAAACAAATGGGTTTTGATAGAAGCAATGTAGATAAATTGGCAGAAGCTGCACTTAATTCATTCCGGTCAAATCCAATTTCGCCAAGAGAAATTGATTTTGATTCGGTTTCTGATATTTATGAGAAGTCATTAAATGTATATTAGATTAGAGGGGGGGGGTGATATTTAAAGATATTTCTCGGTGATATAAATGACTTACGACACTTGCGGACAAACATTTGCGGACAAAACCAAATTCAAATAAGAGGTTCATATCACGGCTTATATATTTTGGTGCTTTCTTATGATCACACCACTCGTATCTCACTCACAAGTTACAGAAATCCCTGGGTGTCCGAAAATACAAGTCCGTAAGTGTGGGTATACCTTTACATTAAGAATGGGCTGAGTTACCCGATTTCAGTAATCTGAGGCCTGGCCAATTTTTATGACCCGTGGAACTTTTATAGGCACTTATATGCCGTATAAAATTTGGAAACACAGATCCGATTTTTTTCTTAACCCGGCCCATCCTCCTGCCTTACTAGTATTAGAAACGGGATTAAAAAATTTTTTAAGGGGAACTAGTAAAAAATTAATTTTTTAAAAACTAAAAAAATATTTTGTATTTTTATATAGATTTTTATTGTAAAATTGTATATACTAATTAAATTTTAGATTAATATAAAGATTTTCTATTAAAAATACTTTAAAGTTCAACATGTTTATTATTTTGTTCATTCAATTCATTTTGAAGACATTTATTTTCTTCTCCCTCAATAACCACAAAAACATAAATAAAAAGAAAAATGATAAAAATAACTGGGTACATGACCTTTTAAAATTAAAAAATTAGAAAAAATTTTAGAAAGAAACCTTAAAAAATGTATCAAGTCTTAAAGCATTTCTATGATGCATTTGACTTTCTGATAAAAGAATTGAAATTTTATAGGCGCTTATTTCGGTAGCTTCTTCTGTTGCAATTTTTTTCTGAAAAATAAAATATTTTTAATCAAATAATCGGATCTCGTTATAAGGTACCCCTGGGATAAAAAAGTCTCTTATAATGAGGTGTACCTTAAATAGAGGGTACACATTTTTGCGGACAAACTTTTTGCGGACATTTTTGCGGACAAACTTTTTGCGGACAAACTTTTTGCGGACAGATTTTTTGCGGATTTTTTAAAGAGCGTACACTAAATAGAGGTGTATCTATTATTGAAAGGATCTTATAACGAGGCTGACTTTTGAGTAAAAATATTTTAATAATCCATACCAATTGACGGCTTCTATGTTCAAGTCCAATAACAATTAATGCTTGCAACATTGTACACTAAAAAATCCGCAAAATTTTAAAAAAATTTGGGGAAAAAATTCTTACAAAAACAAAAACAGAAGTAAATCCAAACCAAACATCAATTGCTTTTACATAAGAAACTTTGGGTAATGTCTCCTTTGCTGAACTACTTTCTGCGCTAAGCGTTAAAAATACTGTTAGGGCAACAAAAACGCGTCCTTCAACAAATTCTTCGGGTAACCAAACACTTATCCAAGAGAATAAAACACCTAGTAGAAAAATGGAATATAAAACCTCTATTTAAGGTACCCTCAATATAAGATACCCTCATTATAAGATACTCCCGATATTGGAGACCCTCTAATCTAAGAGATTTCTTTAAAAATTTGGTCGGTCACTGGGTAGGGAGTTGCCTAAGCAATATACCCTCTATTTAATGTACACCTATAAGAGACTATTTTCAACCCCTAAGGGTATGTCTTTAGTGAGGTCTGAAAGAAAACCGATCAAAACCTCATTATAAAATCGCTATTTACGGCTGAAAAGTCTCTTATAATGAGTGTATCTTAAATAGAAGGAAAGTCAAATTTAAAAACCCCATTATAAGAGACTATTTTTCTCACCCCAAAAGGGTCTCTTATAATGAGCTTTTTTTTAAAAATTTAAAGAAAACTGTGACAAACAAGTAGCTGTAGGTACATAAGTCTGCCAAAGATGATACCCAATACTTCTCTTCATCAAAAATCGAGCTTCTAGACAAGAAAAATTTCCTTCAAAATTTTTAAAGTTAATAAACAATTATTTAAAAAAGAAACCTGTTTTCCTTTGAGTCTGACAATTTTTCTTTTCCAACCCAGCAATATATAATTCTGGTAATTGTAAACGTTTATAAATTCGAATGGCATCGGATTGACGAGAAAACCAACGCAAACTGGAGAAAAATTTTTTAATATAGTATTTGAAATTTTATTCTAAAAATAAGTTTACCTAACGGAGTCGTTTGTTGAAGCAACTGTTTAAGAAAAATATTAAAAAAAAATTTTTTTAGAATTTGTAGACTGACAGGGTTTTTTACGGACAATTATTGCGGACTTTCTTCCTGATATTTTTTCGAACTTTTTTTCTGCGGATTTTCTTTGCGGACTTTTCCTGATATTTTTGCGGATTTTTTGGCTGACATTTTGCAGATTTCCTTTGCGGATTTTTTCAAAAAAATTTTTGGGGACAATTTTTTTTGCGGACTTCTTTTGTGAATATTTTTCACGTCCGCAAAAACAAAAAAAATGTCCGCAAAAAGACACTTTACCTATTTTTAATTAAAAAAACAACCAACTTGAACTTATACGTAATTGAAGTGTTTGACTGTCATGTGGATATTTACAAAGGATTAATTGACTTTTTGGTTTAACATATAAACGTGCCTCAAGAAAAACTTTTCCACTCATTGGAAATACAAAAGCATAAAAATTGAGACGAGTAACTCTGTGGAATAAAGAATCCCGAGCATTTACAAAATGCATGTCTGGACGCCAAATCTTTCTGAAAATTTGTTCTAATAGTTAACCTCATTATAAGATACCCCCAGTATTGTATACATCCCTCTATTTAAGAGACCTCTGTATAAGAGACCAATGGGTAGGGGATCCTTCTATTTAAGAGACCTCTATTTAAGAGACGATTTAATGCGGTTTACCAATGGGTAGGGGAACTAACTAAACGATACCTTCTATTTAAGAGACACCTCATTATAAGGCACACCTCCTTATAGAATACCCTTAACACCTAAAATTTGGTTGACGACTGGGAGGGGATTTGCTTAAGAGATACCCTCTATTTAATATACCCCATTATAAGAGACTTTCAGTTCCAAGGGTGTATCATATAGTGAGGGCTTATTTAAAAAGAATAAAAAACAAACTTTAAAAATATCTCGTCATTAACAAGTATTGGAGTAGTCAGATTTAATGCCAAACGAGGATCTCTCCAACTCATTCTTAACCAACAATCCATATCATAATCCATTGTAGCCAATTGAAAATTAGCTATTGATTGAACTAAAATACCAACTCGAACTTCAAATGGACGGCCTTGAATAAATTGGGGAGCGCTTCTAGGGTCATATCCTGTTTTGTTTAGCATAGGTTCCAGAACGCCTGAAGGCAGAGGTTTGACTAGAAAAAATTGTTTTGTTAAATATAGTAAAACCTCATTATAAGATACCCTCATGAGGCAGAAAAAAGTCTTATAATGAGGTGTTTATTAAATAGAGGGCATCACTTAGAAAGCTTCCCCAACCCAATGGTCAACAAAATTTTAAAGAGCGTTTTTTAAATAGAGGTGTCAGCAAAAGTGGAGGTATCTTATATGGGGGGGGGGTCTCTTAAAACGAGGTGTATCTTATATTAGTGAGGGCGGCTTAAGCAAAAACCCTCAACCAGTGGTCAACCAATTCTAGGGGACACTTAAATAGAGGTGTCTACAATATTGGGGGTCCCTTATAATGAGGTTTTTTAAAAATATTAACAAACCTCCTCCCTGTCTAGAAATACTTTCCATTTTATTCAACATTTCATCCAACTCTTTATCATCTTCACCATACAATAATTGTTGCCTTAAACTTTCTCGGCCCTCAGGGCCTAACGCTTCTATTTTAATGCCTATTGGTAAATTTGTCTTTTCGGGTAGACTACCTGAAAATTAAAAACAAAAAATTTTCTTGGGTCTGGACAAGTTTATGAGTCCAATGGAAATTTTATAAGCTTAAGGGAGGTTTTTACGGAATGCGACATAATGCCAAAACGACAAAATGCCAATCCACCCAAAATTCCGTCGAAATACCAAACTGAAAGAAACCCCCGAATTTGATTGACTCAAAAGTTAATTGGACTCATAAACTAATACAGAACCCTTATATTTTTAAAAAAGGCAAACTTGTTGGTGTTGTCCTAGTAATTGAGAGAAGCTCTTCCTCATCTAGCAATTTAACCTCTACAGACCTTTCACTTCTTTTTGCATTTTCTTCAAAATTTCTAAAGGAGTTGACACCAGACGTGGGCGAAACGTTTCGTTTCGTTTCGTTGTTTCGTATGTTTCGTGGGTTTTTTTGAGTATCGTTTCGTTTCGTCACGAAACACTTTTTAATTTGTTTCGTTTCGTTTCGTTACGAAACACCTGTGATTTTTCAACGAAACGAAACAATTTTTTAAGCCCAAACTAAGGCCAAAATCTATAAAATTTACCATTTTTTATTGAAAATTAAAAAAATTTTCGCCTGCGGCGCTGAAAAAAAGAAGAATTTCGGCTGCTTGGCCTTCCCAAATTGTCAAAATTCTCGCCTGCGGCGCTGAAAAAGTTAATTTTTTGGCCTACGGCCTTCTAAAATTCTCAAAAGTTTCGCCTGCGGCGCAGGAAATGGAAGAAATCTAGCTTAAGGACCTTCAAAATTTACAAAATTTTCGCCTGCGGCGCTAAGAGAGAAAGAGTTGTAAACAATTGTAAAAACTCACATGCCCCCCTGAAGCTAACCCCCTGGATACGCCCTTGAAGGATTTTGGGATTAGAGGGGATATAGGGGATTAATCAATAAATCCCTCAATATCTCTTGTAATTCCCAACCCGTAGCCCTTAATCCACCAATTTTAAATGTAAAATAATACCCTATGTCTCTATTAATTCCCCAAATAACTCATTACTCACATCGATAACTCTGTTAATCCTAAATTCCCTCAATACCTCTGTTATTTCCCCAAATCCATTTATAATTGAAAATTTTAAAATTTTTTTCAAAATTTTAAAATTTTTCGTCTGCGGCGCTTAAAATAAAATTTTAGTTGAAAAATATTCAATTTTAAATTTAAAAAAAGCGTCGCCAAAAATTCGGCTCCGAAAACGATTGATCCCCCCCCCCCCTTCCCCGAAAATTTTCCTTGCTACGGACCTGGCTTATGGGACACAATTGTTGTAAATAAACCAATAACTAAATCATTTATGAGTCATAGGCGACTAATAAAGTATATGAGGTCGAATAATTGCGAAATAAATGCAGTTTTGAAAATTTTTTGAATATTAAAATGTTTCGTTTTGTTTCGTTTCGTTTCGTTAACGAAACGATTTTTAAAAAATTTTGTTTCGTTTCGTTTCGTCAGAAAAAAATTTTGAGTTTCGCCCAGGTCTGGTTGACACTCAAATGTGGTTGTGTTGATGCTGAACAAATTAATAATTTGAGGAAAGCTAACAATAAGAAAAAATAGTTTACAAACATTTTTTGATTTATTGAAGAAAATAAATTTTGAGAAAAATAAGCCTAGATAGGCCCCCGTTAATTAAATCAACAAATTATAGAGCTATTCATTTGGAAGGAGGAGAGGAAAGGAAGCAAAAGAAAAGGTTGGGGAAGATTAGCAAAATAAATATTTAAAGAAAAAGGATTTGCGTATTAACAAAAAAAAGTACCAAAATGGTCAAATGAAAGGGGAGGGACATTAGAGTATGGCCGTTTCAGTCATATTTTGGGCCATAACTTTTTTGGTTCTTAACCGATTTAAATGATTATTAAATCAATCGAAAGCTCTGGATGTGAGGATTATTTTAGCTGAAAGGAGTGATTTGATCAAATCGTTCTACAAAATGTCACAATTGCTTAAGTGCGCGCAATCGTGATTTTTGATTTTTATTTGACTATAACTTTACAGAGAATGATCTAATCAAATCACTCTTGTTAGATAAAATAATCCCCACATCCAGAGCTTTCGAATGATATAAAATTTATTTAGATCGGTTAGGAACCAAAAAAGTTATAGCCCAAAATATGTCCAAAAAATCCATACTGAAACGGCCTTATCGCTAAAATGGTAGGCGACCAATTGTCCGCGACCGACTGTCCCGCTTCATATTTAAGATAATTTTATTTTTGAAATTTCTCACAGTCAGAATCAAATTACTTTGAATTTTTGATTTTCTTTTAGATATTTATTTTATTCTTATTAAATTTAAGCACAAAATTTGCTCACCTATTCCCATCTTTTTTAAAAATGTTTTGTGACACTGAAGTATTTTCAAGGAAAGTTTTTGTTGGGGGATTACCAATCGACATAACAGAGACTGAGGTTAAGCAGACTTTTCAGAAGTATGATTTTGAATAAATTTTAGAAAAAAATTTTTTCGTTAAAGATTTGGAGCTTTGCTGGTAGATTGGCCTTGCCGTTCTATGGATTTTTCTTTTGCAATTAAAAAGGAGCAAGGTTGGGATTTAAAGATTGAGGGAGGGATTTTTAAAGGGTATAAGGGTGGGCTTGGTTAGGTCTTGAAACATCTCCTTCCCTTGAGCTATTTGGGGAAAGGGGCTGGCTCTTGGGTTTGTAGTCCAGAAAACTCCAAGCTCTGGAAGAAATACGGAAGCCCGAAAAGATGCTCGGGTATAGGTATATTCCAGGCTCCCGGGCCTGTCCTAGGCCTGGAGTCCAGAAAAATCCAAGCTCAGTTAGGTATACAAGAAATCCTAAAAGTCAAAGACCCTCTCCCCAGGCCTTGGGTGTTCTCAAGGACCCTAGAAAGACGCTTGTCCGAGGAAAAGGTACTTGGCCTGTAACCAGCCAATCTCAAGTTATGTCTCCTTAATTTTCCTTACTTTTAGCTTCAGGCAAACAAGTAACTGGCTATGCATTTTTGATTTATCTTGAAGAAGTCTTTGTGCAGAAACTCATTTCAAAATGTTATCGTGAAGGGGACCGTTATTATATGCTCTTATCTAGTAAAACTGTCCGTGAAAAACCCGTGCAGATTCGACCATGGCGTTTGACAGATATGGACTATATGCCTCGACCTTCAAGTTTTTTGGATCCTCGTCGCACGGTTTGCTCTTTTAATTGTTTTTATGACTCTTATAAGACCTAAGTTTTGAACCTGGAAGCGTTAAGGAACCAGGGATGGTCCGGGGTAGGAAAAAAGTTGGGCGTGTCGTCTCTGGTCAGGTTTTTAAGTTTTTCCGTGGATTGAGTTTCGGCTAGGCTTTTGCTAAACTCCTACTTCATTTTAGGGCTCTTGTTAATAGTAAGCCCCAAGTTTTGAACCCAACAACGTTATGGAATCCAAACCCACCTTTAAACTCTAAAGAAAATCGACATACAAGCTTATAGGAGGGAACGTCTGGGGAATAAGCCGTGTCGGATTTTGGGATTTCTTGGGCCGGGTTCGGAAAAATTTGGGTTTCGGGTAGCCGTCTCATTTTTCTGATACGTTCATGGGACCCATAAACTTTACAACACTCAAACTTATTTTCTTCAGATTTTTATTGGCGGAGTGCCACGACCAACAAAAGCTAGTGAATTAGCTTTTGTTCTTGAAAGTCATTATGGCTCAGTTTGCTATGCAGGCATCGATGTGGACCCAGAAATGAAATATCCTAAAGGAGCTGCCAGAGTTACCTTCAATACTTTTAAATCTTATGTTGCTGCGATGGCTGGTCGTTTTGTTAATATTCCACATTCGGATAGTACTAAACGAGTTTGTTGATAATTTTTTAAAATTCACTGGACCTCACTTTGAGATACACCTTATACTGGGAACACCTCTATTTAAGACTTGGGACTGCTTAGATGAAACCCTCTATTTAGGATACACTTTATTATAAGATACTCTATAAATCTCGCTATAAGATACCTTCAATATTAGATAACCTCTATTTAATAGACGCTCTGGTTAGCCACTGGGTGGAGGGGGCTTTCTAAGTGATTCTCTCCATTTAAAATACATCTCGTTATAAGAGACGATTTTTCTGTCCCATGGGTATCTTTTAGTGAGGTCCGCCTTCAATAAGATGTCCAATATTTTTTTCTTTTAAAAGGTTGAAATCAAGCCATATGTAGTTAATGACCAAATGTGTGATAATTGCCATGGAAAACTTTGTCAAGACCGTTACGCACCTTACTTTTGTGGAGATGTTTGTTGTCTCCAATATTATTGTGAGGCTTGTTGGGATCGTCTTCATTATGGAGGTGCTAATCGAATTCGTGAAGTTCATAAGCCATTTGTTAGAATGGGTGAACAAACTAAGGTTTGAAAAATAAATTTTTTTTGTAAAATAAAGGGTTGGGGGCCTAACTACAGTTTCCGTACCAGGCTCAGAATTGGACGATTTATATGTCATTCGAAAGAGCTCGTCGAGCTGAGTCGAACGACACCAAAATTATTCAGCGGAAAAGATTCTGAGCCGAGTTACAGGCCCCCGAAAATCGAAAAACCATAGGGGGGACCAAGCTGATTTTTGGGGTGAAAAATTCGAATATGCAATTAATAGCTCATTTGAAAGAGCTCTTCAAGCCGAGTCGAATGACACCAAAATCGCCGTGATTGGTCAAGTTTGTTCAAAGTTATGACAGAAAAAACAAACAACGTAAACCTATGGGGCGTCGGCGAGGCGCTTGTGCAAAACTCCGCGCTTCGCGCGGAGTTTTGCGGCACGCGCCTCGCGGGGAGTCTACGGGCTCTGGGTCTGGGCTCGTAACTTAATCCTATTCCAATTATCGCTGTGATGGGCATGCCCAGCTTCCTCCGCAGCAGCAAGAACATCCACGGAGAACAAAGGTAAGGAGCTAAAACAAACGAGCATAACTTTGTCAAATCAAGTCTGATTTCATTGATTTTGGTGTCATTCGACTCAGCTCGATGAGCTCTTTCGAATGAGTTATAATTTGCATATTCGAATTTTTCACCCCCAGAAAACAGCTTGGTCCCCCCTATGGTTTTTTGAACTTTAGTGGTCTGTAACTCGGCTCAGAATTTTTTCCGCTGAAAAATTTTGGTGTCATTCGACTCAGCTCGACGAGCTCTTTCGAATGACATATAAATCATTCAATTCTGAGCCTGGTACGGAAACTGTAGTTTAGCCGGGTTGGGTCTTGTTCCTTTAAGTTTCCTTTTAGCGTTGCCTTCCCGCAGTTTTTTCTCTCCCAAGACTCCTATGTAACAACCTTATTGTATAAAAGGTGTTGGCTTAGGGTTAGAAACGCTTAGGGCAGTGACGTTTGAAATTCGTAAAAGAGAAAGTGGGTTTCCAATAGTTTGAGGCATTGTTTTAGGTTTTGGGGTGAGGTTGAGTTTTAGGCATTTCTGACCTTTCCTTTTCTCTCATAGGTGATGCCTTCCCGAACCTTTTCCTAAGGCGTTTTCTAGTCTGAGGACAGACACCCTATTGTAAAAGGGGAAGATTAAGCTATGTTGCCTTTTAAGCGATAACCTCTATTTAAGACACCTCCTTAAGGGCTCTCCTGTACCTCCTTCATTTTTCGGTAGAACACTTGAACTTTTTACCTAGTCTGGAGACAACCCACCCTATTGTAAAAAGGGAAGACTCAACTATTTAGCCTTTCAAGCGCTACACTCTATTTAAGACCTCCTTAAGTCTTTCCTGTACCCCTTTCATTTTTCGGGAGAACACTTGACCCGTTTTAAGGCTAAACGTTTTGCCTTTTCTTTAAAAAATTATTTTTTAAGCAATTACATCGTTTGCCGCACCATAATACTCCAACTACTGCTTCTTCTGCTGCTGTTGTTCCAGCAGTTATTCCTCGAGTTCTCTGAGAGACTAGCGCGATTTATATAAAAAAATATTATATATATTTTGTTTATTATATATTTATGTGTAGTTTGCATTCTGTGTAATTTCATTTTTTCTTCTCTTTCTCGTTTTATATATTTATGCCATATATACACCTTTAAAAATTCCCTATATTATTTAATTTAATAATAATAAATAATTTTTTTATTTTTAAATTAATCTTGAATATAGGCCAGTATTTGTATCGGCCCTCATTATAGGATACCTCCCGATATTGGAGACACCTCTATTTAAGAGACACTCTTAAGAGACACACAAGGGGAGCTTTCTAGCGATACCCTCTATTTAACAGACACCTCAGTTTAGTAGAAACCTCAATATAGATACACCTCCCTATAATATACTCCCAATACTGGGTACACCTCTATTTAAGAGACACATTTAAAATTGAGTTTCTCAAAGGGTAGGGGAACTGTCTGGGCGACATCCTCCACCTAGGATAACCTTATTATAAGGTAAGAATTTTTCAAACCCAAGGGCTTATACTGGGGTGGGGTTCAACTGCATTATATTTTATTGTACCTATTATTGTAATTTTTTATCGTCTCTAGTAAATGAGAACAAAAAACACCCAAATTATTTGTTTATCCAGCACGTAAAGGTCGTTCAACATTTTCCTTCTCTTCTCTTAAATATTTTTATGATGATCGCGCGAAATCTCCACATACAAAACTATTTGTCGTTGTTTACATAAAAACCAGATGTTTTTGATGAATCATTAAAAATAAATTTTTTAAACCACTTTTAAAAATATACACAAAATTACATGAAATTCGTATTTTTAAAAATATTTTTGTTGCTTTATTTTGTACCAATGAGAGGTCTCAAGATTATCTTTTAATAAAAAATTAAAAAAAATTTTAATCAGTACAATCACAGCAAGTAAACCTCGGCTCTCTTAGCCTTACACGTAATCACAACGGGGATTTGCTTTTTGGCCTGGGGCAAGGAGCAAACATTTTTGGTTTTGGAGCGGACAGAAGACTTGGATTGAATATAGGGCCCGGCCGGTTTGGCGCTATCAGTAAGTCTTATCAGTGATTGGAAAGTTTATTGATAATTCCACTATTTTAAGATGACAATGGACTAATTCTGGGTAACCAACGCTTTGGAATAGATTCTCAATTAGGCTATGGAAATGGGCGTGGACTTGACCTTGGGAGCTTTCTAAACGTTTGTATACGTAACGTAAATGTTCTAATAGAAGCCCATCTCCAATAGAACCCCCCCTCCAGTTAATAATAAATGCCCAGGGCTTTTATGAGCCTAAGTCCTATTAGAAGCGCCCCTAGTCATAGAAACACGATCTCAGACTTCATCTGGCTTTTATTAGAAAATTTACAGTATTTTATTTATTTTTTCCTCCTAAAATTGTGTTATAAGTCCCCTTTCCAAGTTGTTCCAACCAATTGGTCAACAGTTTGCCTATAACTTCCAACAAAATCCAACAGCTGCCCAAGGAGCGAATTTAGCCCTAGGCGAAGTAAATCAAGAGAATGTCTCATCCGTCGTTGCTGTTAATAAAGGAGATCACCAATTTCCGCCAAGTATTGGAAGTGGGTGGAATGGGGAAGAAGAGACTGAAAGGAAAGGAAGAATCCACCACAAAAATCATTTCAAAGAAAACTTGAAAGATGATGAAGATTTAACAATGCCACTTGTGCCTTTAGAAGGGTTAAAGAAGCAGTGATCTTAAATTGACTAAAACAAGAAAAAAAGATCTCATTATAAGATATCCCTTGGGCGCTGAAATTTTGGACCTTATAATGTGCTTTTTAAGTGAGGTGTCATTTGGGATCCTTCCAAATCCAAATCATCCCCACACTTTGGGCAACCAAGTTCGATTATGGCCGTATTTTATATGAGGAGCTTTTTTTTTATTTAAGTCTCTTAAATAGAAATCTATTGAGTTATCCTATAATGAGGTTCATGTAAGTTACATATTTTAAAAAATTTTCCTAAAACCCTCCCAAAATTCCTCAAAATTTTTATTATAAAAATTGTGTAATATCTTTTTGTAATAAATAAAATGCTATATATAGGTAATTATTTGCAATTGTCTTATTTTTAAACAAACAATATTCCTTTTCTCTCTTTCCCAATCAAAGGCACACACTTCGTTGTCAAATAGAAAAAAATAAAGTTAAAAAAAAATTATGATGGCGGAGTAGATTTTTGATGAGGTTGTCCTAAAGTTGCAGCAGGACTTCCACTTAAAAGTGCAGTAAATTCATCAATACAAGCTATAATTTGATTGTTTTTATCCAAATATGAAAGCGTTTCTTCTGGCAATATTCGACGAACAGAGTCGCTAGAAAAAAAAATTTTTTTTGAAATTTTTAGATTGAAAAATATTAAAACAAGGGAGCATTATCCGCTGTGTACAAAAATTTGGTATTATTTTTGATTCTGTTCGATAGAGAACCCTCGACTTTCTATTGTGAAGTGTCCTTCTTTTTCGTGCAAAGTGACTTTTAGGACGAGTTATAGCCGTTCAAACTTTTGGATTTTGGGAGCGTTTTTGTTATACGGAAGAAAGGAGAAAACCAAAAATTTTTGTATAACTAGATTTTTGTATATCCTCGCAAGAAAAAATTTCACAAAAAATTCTAAAAAATTACCCAGGTATTAACGGCTTCCTTTCCAAACGGCATTTCCGAATTTCTACAAAAGCTTTACGAATAAGTCTTGCATAAATACATTTGGACATAAATTGTTCCAAATTTTCGTTCTGGTCAGGGTGAATATCCATAAAATTGTAAAGGTCCTCGACTGCCTTGAAAAAAATTTTTTTTTTAATTTTTAAAAACAAAAAAAAGAAACCCCAGAAAAAATATCATCGTCAATACGAGCAAATAACTTTTCCATTTCTTCCATAAAAGGTGGTGTTCCATCCAGAGTTTTTTCATCTCCAGCAGTATTCCGTTTACCAACGGCACGGACACAACGCTTTACATAAACAACAATTTTTGAATTTTCTGGGAGATGGTCGAGGTAATTAAGTATCTTAATTAAAATTAACAAATAAAAAATTAATTAACAAAAAAAACCGAATATTTCTTATCAACAACAATCCGTTGAATGCAAATAAAAAGTAATTTTGATGTCTCTTTAACTGAAGCATCCAACTCATGCCCCTCGTCAGTAATATAGAATCGTGTAATGTAAGTATTTATATGTTCCAATAATGTGGGAATATCAATCTAAAAAAAAGGTGCGTTTAGTGTAAGAACATTTATTGAAAAGATAATTTTGTTCTTTCACGCCCATTGTAAAGAATTTTTTTTAAATTACAAACCATAGCAACAATTGTAGGATCTGTAAGAGTTTCAGTTCGTTTAATCATACATTTACGAAGTAAATCCATCATCTTTCCTTTAGGTTCAGTTGCTTGGTATTTCATAATTAATTTCATCAAGGCCAAATAGCAAACACTTGGATGAGTAAATTCACAAAGACGAATAACAACAACATTTAATGAACGAAAAACCTAAAAAAAATTTTTTAAACAAAAAAATATGTAATAAAATAAGCTGTCTAAGTTGCACAAGAATCTCAAGTTTTTTCGGAATTAGTTTTTTTTTCGGTCCTGAGCTTTTGAAAAACTTCTGAGCTTTTCAAAAATTCGTCCTATAACAAATAATTGTCGCTATTCTTGTTAATGTTTAGTTAAGAATTTGGGGCCAAGTTTTGGTCAAAAGGATTCACTAGTGGTTTGGAGTCTTGAAAATCTTAACCCTTGGAAAGCTAAAAATATTATTTAAAAATATAACCTGATCCTTAAATCCAGAAAGGCGTTGATCACATACTAACGACAAAATTGCTTCTATAAATCCACGTAAAGTATCAGCACTAATTCTCTTCATTATATGAGTTTCATTTGTTAACTTAAAAAAAATTTTTAAATAAAAATAAATTTATAAAAAAATAACCGTAGAGAGAAAATTACAAATTGAACGTAAAAATTCATTTAGCTCAGTTTCTTTAGAAAAATTCTGTTTTTCTTGTTTTGCTTCTTTACCAGATTCTAATTGTTCAAGATGTTGACTTCGAATATGAAAGACTTGTGTTACAATCTAAAAAAGTGTGAGATTCAAAAATGAAATTATTAAAAAAAAATTAACCATTTTTAAAATAAGCTCTGATCTATCAATGATATATTGACGATTGTTGGGATCATTCAATAAATGTAATAACTAAAAATTTGGAAATAAAAAAAACTAAACAAATTTAATCACTAATACTATTTAATTTCAAAAAATTAAAAAAAATTTAAACCTGAGCAATCGCTTCATCAGCAACGCTTAATTGTAAGCAAGAGACATTATGAACAGCTCGATCAATATATTCAGTACTTTCTAACGAAGAAATAGAAGATACAGATTCACTACGACGAGAAAATATGCTGACAGGGCGGATAACAGGTTTCTAAAATAAAATTAAAATTTTACATCTAAAAATCAAAAATATATATACGATTGGTTGTAAATCATTTTGATCAACAATTGGTTGAATACTTCGAATTGATAAAACACCTCGCTCCGGTGGCACCAAATCATTTTTAGTAAATGTAGAATTTAAATCGATGGTTTGATTTGGTTTTGAATTAGCAGCTAATAAAGTCCTCTCACCGTCATCAAAATCATTTTGATAAAATTTAGGATCCAATTGAAAATGACCAATACTCTAAAAAACAATAAAATTTAAAAACGAATTCAAACTTGATTCAATGTGGAATGAGCAGAAGGTGAACGACGAGGATTAGGATTATATGAACGACGAGGAGCACGAAAACGATCGACTTGTTGTTTTTGTGGTTCGGTAGCAACTTGTTGTTGCTGATTATTTGTGTTTGTAGCTAATTGCCGTTGACTTTGTTGAGATGTTGAAGGAGCGAAATTATTCTCAGAAGCAGGCTGAAAATAAGCAATCAAAAACAAAAAATAAAAGTGTAAAAAACCTTTAGACTTTGAGATTCAATCGAGGCCTTTTCACGATATTCAGCAATCTAGAATGTTATTTCAAATAAAAAATAGATAAATAAACGGATTTAGTCTAGTAACCAGAGCAAAGTTTCGGCACAAAACATACGATTCATTAAGACAAGCTGATTCGAATAGTAACACTCTTATCCGGAAATGCCTATGGATCAAGATATAGCTCCCCAAAAATCGAAAAACAGTCAAGTACATACATGAGCTCAAAAATGCAAATATACAATAGCTCATTTGCAGGATGCAGTTGGAGTGGCGAAAAGCAATTTCTACACTTAAATTTTTGAGCCCAAAAATGGGCCTAAAGTTTTTCATATTCCAGGGACATGTACTCGGCCTCATCAAATCGTGTTACTTTATGTTAAACTCAGTTCGACGAGCTCTTTCGAATGCCATATATGAACTTATCGGAGTATATGCACTCAATACCAGTTATACCAAAAATAAAAAGTAATTCAAAACAGCTCATCGAGACGATGTGTTATGTATCAAAACTTTACACCCGGCAAACTTAACAACAGTCAAATAAACCTTTGACATTTTTGAAGCATCTTTGACAATTTCAGCATTTAAAAAAACTGAAAGTGCACTTTCACCAATACATTTTTGTATAGCACCCAAAGCAGCACACGAAGCATCACGAACCTCAGGATCAGAATCAGAAGCATGCTAGTGATAAAAGTAATGAAACAAGAAAATCAAAAATACGTACATTAGATAATGACGCAACCAAATCCTTCAAAAGTCCTTTAGGAATATCCTTGCTGTTAAGTGACCGAAATGCTCTGTAGATGAAATGATCAAGTTGAGATTTTTGACCACGATTAGGCTTTTTAGCAGCTTCCAAAATACTAGCTGAGAGATTTTTTAAATTCTAAAAAATAATCCAATAAGAAACATAAATTATTTACCACATGAAAAACGGGCGAAACCAGAGTTGGATTTCAGCCGCGTTAACGCAAGAATTTTACCTTATAATTATATTTTAGAACAAGAAAAGATGGTTAAAAGACTAGATATTTAAGGTAATTCTTCGGATGACGCCCTCCCCCCTCTTTTTTATGTTTCCCTTACCATTTTGAGTTTTTCTAGTTGACATATAATAATTTATATATCATTCGAGAGAGCTCCAAGCTGAGTAGATTGATACAATGAACGGTTAGATTTGGCAATTTTTAACGAAATTATGAAGACAAAACTATATGGACATGCTTTTTGTGATGTTAAAAAAATAAAACATAAAAAAGGGGGGAGTCATGCGAAGAATTACCGGGTTATTTCCAAGAATGATCTTAAAACAGTTACAAACGCTGTGAAGTGGCGAGTAAGTAAAGCAATCCATCAAAAATTTATATAATTACCGTGCTAGCAAAAACAGCGTCAATTAATTCAATCAAAGGATCACGAAGATGAGGCTTCTTCTCTTTGAATCTGTCAAATATAATTGGAGATAATGAAGCTGTATGCGGCCCAAATTTATTGCGCAATCCTTTCGCCATTATAGTAAGACATTTAGCAGCAACAGCAGCACAATTAATATTTGCGTCAGATGAGAGAACCTTAAAAATAAAAATAATTTAATTTAAATAATTACTTAAAAAACCTTTGCAAGCTTATCAATCAAATCTCCGTAATCTGGGTTATCAGTCAACTTGGGATTTTCTACCAAAATGGAGTGAATTGAATCCAACACAGCTTTTCTTTCTTGCCAAGTTTTACTAGCTAATTGAGTGTCTAAATTCGCCGGAAGTTTTGAAATAATGTCGACAGGTTCCAAAGGCTTAGAAAGATCGACTTGTTGTTTTTGTGGTTCGGTAGCAACTTGTTGTTGCTGATTATTTGTGTTTGTAGCTAATTGCCGTTGACTTTGTTGAGATGTTGAAGGAGCGAAATTATTCTCAGAAGCAGGCTGAAAATAAGCAATCAAAAACAAAAAATAAAAGTGTAAAAAACCTTTAGACTTTGAGATTCAACGGTGGCCTTTTCACGATATTCACCAATCTAGAATGTTATTTCAAATAAAAAATGTTTAAATAAACGGATTTAGTCTAGTAACCAGAGTAAAGTTTCGGCACGAAACTTTAAAAACTTTTTGTAACCTTGAAACTATTGGCAACTACTTTTACTCATAAATGAGTCTTAAACAGCTCGGCAAGAAGAATCGAATAATATATTTTGAGTTCAAATCACGGTGGACCTATATAATATACCGACACCGAAACTTTACACCTGGCAAACTTAACAACAGTCAAATAAACCTTTGACATTTTTGAAGCATCTTTGACAATTTCGGCACTTAAAAAAACTGAAAGTGCACTTTCACCAATACATTTTTGTATAGCACCCAAAGCAGCACACGAAGCATCACGAACCTCAGGATCAGAATCAGAAGCATGCTAGTGATAAAAGTAATGAAACAAGAAAATTAAAAATACGTACATTAGATAATGACGCAATCAAATCTTTCAAAAGTCCTTTAGGAATATCCTTGCTGTTAAGCGACCGAAATGCTCTGTAGATGAAATGATCAAGTTGAGATTTTTGGCTAGGATTAGACTTCTTAGCAGCTTCCAAAATACTGGCCGAGAGATTGTTTAAAGTCTAAATAAAAGAAAAAAGTTAAGGTAACGAAAATCTAAATAACCGTGCTAGCAAAAACAGCGTCAATTAATTCAATCAAAGGATCACGAAGATGAGGCTTCTTCTCTTTGAATTTGTCAAATATAATTGGAGATAATGAAGCTGTATGCGGCCCAAATTTATTGCGCAAACCCTTTGCCATACCAGTAAGACATTTAGCAGCAACAGCAGCACAATTAATATTTGCGTCAGATGAGAGAACCTTAAAAATAAAAATAATTTAATTTAAATAATTACTTAAAAAACCTTTGCAAGCTTATCAATCAAATCTCCGTAATCTGGGTTATCAGTCAACTTGGGATTTTCTACCAAAATGGAGTGAATTGAATCCAATACAGCTTTTCTCTCTTGCCACTTCTTACTAGCTAATTGAGTGTCTAAATCCGCCGGAAGTTTTGAAATAATGTCGACAGGTTCAAGAAATTCAAAAGGATCGACTTGTTGTTTTTGTGGTTCGGTAACAACTTGTTGTTGCTGATTATTTGTGTTTGTAGCTAATTGCCGTTGACTTTGTTGAGATGTTGAATGAGAGAAATTATTCTCGGAAGCAGGCTGAAAATAAACATTCAAAAGCAAAAAAACAAAAGTGTAAAAACCTTTAGACTTTGAGATTCAACGGTGGCCTTTTCTCGATATTCAGCAATCTAGAATGTTATTTCAAATAAAAAATATTTAAATAAACGGATATAGTCTAGTAACAAGAGTCAAGTTTCGACATAATAAAGCCAATTCGGTATGACGAGCTGATCCGAATCGTAACAATCTTTTCCGGAAATGACTGTGGAAAGGTTCCAAAATTCAGTCAGGGATATCTTAAGGTCAAAAAAATATACAATAGCTCATATGTAAGAGCTCGTTGGAGTCGGCGAAATTTACTCCAAAAATGGACACCTAGTTCTTTATTTTCAGGTACATGTAAGACGCACCTAAAAAGTCAGTCTAACATATGCAGTTAGTTTAGGGGATCCTTAGCACTAGAATCCCACTTGGCAACGCCTGTAGGAGTATGTGCTAAATACCAGTTATGCTAAAAGTAGTACATCCGAACCAGCTCATCGAGACAAAATACGAAACCTTACACACGGCAAACTTAACAATAGTTAAATAAACCTTTGACATTTTTGAAGCATCTTTGACAATTTCAGCACTTAAAAAAACTGAAAGTGCACTTTCACCAATACATTTTTGTATAGCACCCAAAGCAGCACACGAAGCATCACGAACCTCAGGATCAGAATCAGAAGCATGCTAGTGATAAAAGTAATGAAACAAGAAAATTAAAAATACGTACATTAGATAATGACGCAACCAAATCCTTCAAAAGTCCTTTAGGAATATCCTTGCTGTTAAGCGACCGAAATGCTCTGTAGATGAAATGATCAAGTTGAGATTTTTGGCTTGGATTAGATTTCTTAGCAGCTTCCAAAATACTGGCCGAGAGATTGTTTAAAGTCTAAATAAAAGAAAAAAGTTAAGGTAACGAAAATCTAAATAACCGTGCTAGCAAAAACAGCGTCAATTAATTCAATCAAAGGATCACGAAGATGAGGCTTCTTCTCTTTGAATTTGTCAAATATAATTGGAGATAATGAAGCTGTATGCGGCCCAAATTTATTGCGCAAACCCTTTGCCATACCAGTAAGACATTTAACAGCAACAGCAGCACAATTAATATTTGCGTCAGATGAGAGAACCTTAAAAATAGAAATAATTTAATTTAAATAATTACTTAAAAAACCTTTGCAAGCTTATCAATCAAATCTCCGTAGTCTGGGTTATCAGTCAACTTGGGATTTTCTACCAAAATGGAGTGAATTGAATCCAATACAGCTTTTCTCTCTTGCCACTTCTTACTAGCTAATTGAGTGTCTAAATCCGCCGGAAGTTTTGAAATAATGTCGACAGGTTCAAGAAATTCAAAAGGGTCCATATCTTAAATTAGATTATAATTTTGTATAACAAATCTTGAGAAAATATTCCAAATAAACTAATTGTAAGCAGTAAAACAAATCGTTTTTATTGATTTATTTGCCACGGACACCGTAGAGGACTTTCAAGCGCAAAAAATGAAAATACTGGATGAGAATAACCAAAAAGTTACAAATAACACTTTTTTAAAACGCCGCGATAAAATGTAACAAAGGACGCTTAGACGCTAGAACCCTAGGCAGCCCATTTATGCGCGGCTATTTAGTCGCAGGCCGCGCACACCGGTTCAATATCGTGCGCGACTACAATAGAGAACTCACATCAGCACATAACATGAGGATTTTTTTGAAGTTTTACGGTTTTTTAAAACAGGTTTGCAACTATGGATTGACATACATATGTGTTTATTTAAATTTTGACAAAATTACGTTTTATCTATTTTAACAATTTAACTTTTTACCACAATGAAACTTGCGGAAATTTTCTAGTTTGAATTTTTTGGGGTTTTTAATGGGGAAAATTTTTGATTTTTAAACTTTTTTTTTCTATTTTTGATTGTTTAACTTTACCCCCCCCCCCCTCCCTTCCAATTATCTACATATTTTTTCTCTTAAGAAAGTGATAAGAATAAGAAACCCCCCATTTTATAAGAAACACCATCCATTCATTTAATTTTTATTCTCGAAGTATATTGATTTTATTTGCATTTTCGGTCATTCATTTCATATACATATTTTTTTGATTATATTAAATATGTACATTTATAGAAATTTGGTTCCTTTTATTTAATTGATCAATCAAAACTTTTTTTTTCTTCGTGTCTTTAAATATTTTAGATTTCTAAAGAAATTTTATTTTTAAATTAATTTTGAAGAAAACCAATGACAGTGGATTCAAAGACTGCTCCTCAAACTCAGGTTTAATTTAGAGAAAATAAATTTAATAATATCTTTCAAAAATTCAGGATGCTTCCTTATATAAAAGGCCAAAAGTTTACATTATTGGTGTTGGAATGACAGCGGTATTTATTTTTAAAAATCTTTTATTTCTAAATTAATTCCGTTTTCAGTTCACAAAACCGCTTACATCTGGCAAGGATTATCCAGAATTGGTTAAAGAAGCAGGTAACTCTTTTTTAAATTTTGTTTTAATAAATATAGAGCCTCCCCACAAAATACACCCTTGGGACTGGAAAAATGTCATTTTAAAGGAGGTATTTTTCTTAAATTGGGTGTAGCTTGTAAATGAAGTTTCTTTTAGATAGAGGGTATTTTGTGGGGAGGTTTCTCTTAAAATACAGGGTATCTTATACATAATGACTTTTTTCTTTAAAAAATTTTTTTCTTAATTCTAAAAATGATTTTTTAGTTGGCGAAGCTTTGAATGATGCTGGTGTAAGATATGAACAAATTCAACAAGGTTTGGGCTTTCTAAAATTTTTCTCTTTTTTAAACAATTAAAAATTAATTCAAGCAACCGCTTCCTATATGTATGGAGGATCTTGTTGTGGTCAAAGAGCATTATACGAAATTGGACTGACAGGAATACCTATATTTAATGTTTTTTTTTGTTTAAAAATCTTTTTAGAAATATTTTTTATTTAAGTTAAATAATGCCTGTGCTAGTGGTTCCAGTGGAATATTTCTTTGTAAACAAATTATAGAAAGTGGAAATGTTGATTTAATGCTTGCTGTTGGGTTTGAAAAGGTTTCCTTTTAAAAATTTTATGGAGGCGGACTACTTTATAAGATATTCCCCAGTAGTGGATACACCTCTATTTTAGAGACGCTCTTTAAAAATAAGGTTGGCCACTGGCTCTGAGAAAGCTGCATAACCGATCTCTATTTAAGGTACCTCATTATAATAGACCCCAATATTGGATACACCTCTATTTAAGAGACGTTTACTAAGTGGCTTTTACTGGGTAAGGAAGCTGCTCAAGCGATACCCTCTATTTAACATATACCTCATTATAAGAGACATTTTTTCAATCCCATGGTTATTTTATAATGAGGTTTGATTTGGTCTTAAATTTTCTTTAAAAACATTTTCCTTTACAGATGCAACCAGGAAGTTTAGAAAATTCTCCAGAACATTTAGACGACCGTGCTTTACCCGTAGAAAAACATATTCAATTAATGGCCGACACCTATGGATTACAAGCGGCCCCAATAACTTCACAAATGTTTGGAAATGCTGGACGGGAACATATGGAAAAATATGGTTAGAGAAATTTTTTTTTGAAAATTTCTGTTAAAAAATTAAAAAAAGGTACAACAAGAGAACATTTTGCTAAGATTGCGTGGAAGAATCATTTACATTCTGTCCATAATAACAAATCACAGTTTCAACGTGAATTCTCTTTGGATGAAGTTGTTAATGCTAGAAAGGTTTATATTTTAGTTTTAAATATTGAGGGGTTTTTGCTGAAACAAAGGGCTCTTTACACGAATTTTCGAATTTTACTCAAAATTATACCAATTAAAAGTCCTCAAAAATTCCCTCAGACTACACAAGTGTCATTTACCGTAAATATTCCAATAGAGGCCCTGGATGTTTATTCTTACAGAAAAAAATATTTTTAATGGGTCTCATTGATCACTGACAAAATCCTCAACCTTCCGGTTTCTAATAAGCTCCTACTACGGTTCTATTAGGGATGGGCTTTTTTATTTAAAAATGACCGTAAAAATTTAAATTTTTAAAAAATTCAAGATTTATGATTATATGGGTCTATTCGAATGTTCTCCAACCAGTGATGGTGCTGCTGCTGTCATAATTTGTAGTGAAAAATATATTGAACAAAATCCTCATTTAAAGCCTCAAGCAGTTGAAATTGTTGGAATTGAATTAGGAACAGGTTTTTTTTGAATTTTTTTAAATTGGAAAAAATTTTTCTTTAAAAGATGAACCTTCCGTGTTTGCTGAGAATAGCAATATAAAAATGGTTGGATTTGATCTTATTAAAAAAATATCTGAACGTTTGTATTCAAAAACTGGTGTTGATCCCTCACAAATTCAGGTTTATTATATAATATCCTAGCTTTTAACAATAGCTAACCGGCATTGAGTCCCAACAGTGGGCGAGGCCTTGAAAACTCTTGGGCACGCCAAATCCGACAATTAACAAGAAGAACTTCCTTTTAAGACATCTTTTTCGAAAGAGGGTTAGAGGGAACCGGCCAATTTTTAATTGGAAATTAAAATTTAAGACTGAATCAATATTTTGTCCGGTTCTCTCTTGCCTTTTATGGGGAGCTTAAAATGGACGTTAAATCGTCTATTAACTATGACATTTATTTTCTTTAAAAGAAAATTTAATTTTTTAATTTTTAAAATTAAAAAGGTTATTGAACTACACGATTGTTTTGCTCCAAATGAATTGATAACTTATGAGGCTTTGGGTCTTTGTCCTATAGGTTGATTTAAGAGATTAAGAATTTTTTATAAAAAAAATTAACAGGAAAAGCAGGCGAAATAGTTGACAAAGGAGACAATACTTATGGTGGAAAGTGGGTAATTAATCCGAGTGGAGGTTTAATTAGTAAAGGACATCCAATCGGAGCTACAGGTTTGCTTATTAACAGAATTTAATATAACGGTCTTCTAGAGCTGTCCAACACCAGGACCACCCGGTAAAGACCACTCAAATTTGCGATTTGGAGTTCGGATCAAGCCACCCAAACTAGCCAGCCAACCCCATCCAAGATCAGTCCCATGGCCATCTAAGACAAGGGCCGAAAAAAGACTCGAGAGATTTTAGAGTTTTGGACAGTCCTTTTATTAGAACTCGTAATGTTATCGGCACCTAGCTTAATTTCTGTTCCTGTTTCCAAGCTTTTAGAATGCTGACATGAGATAGAATTATGATAGGAAATTCTTGGCTTTCTCAGTCTTGGGCCTTTCCTTGTTTCCTGTCCCTCTTTTTTTGATTTTTGACTCTACCTATTCGTTAATAAAAAAATTATTTTAAAAGGTATTGCCCAAGCAGTAGAATTATGTAATCAATTACGCAAAAGATGTGGAGCTCGTCAAGTAACTAATGCAGTTTATGCACTTCAACATAATATTGGTTATTTTAAATTATAAATTTTCTTTAGTTTTTTTTGAGTGTGAAAATCATTTAGTGTGTGGAGTGGCTTTTTTATTCTTTGCTTTTTTTTTATTTTTTAGTGCTTTTTATTTTTGCTTTGATTTTTCTGTCCTTTTTTGAATCTTAAAAAAGATTTTCCCAAAAATAATTTTTGTAGGGTCAAGAATCGTCTTTCGCCCCGATCGCCAACCCTCACCCGAAAATGGTTCGCACACTTTTTTACGAATATATACCCTTTTAAAAGGATTTTTTGGGAGCAAGACATATCGGGATATTTACATAATACTATACAAACAGCTGCCCTTCACAACCTACGGCTACTTAGGCCTTGGATCGTAATATTAGAGATCGAGATTTTTGAAAAGCCTGGACCTGTTTCTGGGTTCATGGTTTTATTTATCGACCAGGGCCCTGGGCCTGTAGTTCAGAAAAAAAAACCAGGCCCAGGAAAAACCCAGGAAGGTCAAAAAATGCCTGGACTCTGGGTACAGGAAAAACACAGGCCTTGGTCCAGACCCAGCTCGATCTCTAATATATATAATTTTCCCAATAATTTTTAGGAGTTTTTATGTCCTATTGAAGAAGGGATTTTGTTTTTGAATCAACATAAACACAAAAGAAGTTAGTCACATCAATCCCGACATGTCCATCCCGATATGCCTCCCCGTCCCTTCTTTTTTTAATAAACTTTATTTTTAAGGAATTGGAGGCGCTGGGGTAGTTGCTATTTATAAACTTGGTTTTCCTGAATTAGCTAATAAAAAGAAGGAAGAAAATGGAGAAATGTCTAGTGAATTTAAAAGTGATGCTATTTTTGAAGAAATTAAGGAAAGAGCGGAACAGGTTTTGAAAATTTTTTTAATTTTAAAATTAAGTCAACCCTAAATATAAGATTCCCCCCATATTAAGTCTCTCCCCATTTAAATTACCATCTATTTAATAGACGTTTTTAGTCGTGTATCCTATACTTACTGTTAGGTGACACCTTCTATTTAAAAGACCTCATTATTAGATAACCCCGATGCTACATACCCCCTCCATTTAATAAACACCTCATTATAAGGCAGGATTATTCACCCTCAAGGGGTATCTTATAATGAGGTGATACCCTCTATTTAAGATACACCTCATTATAAGAGACTTTTTAAGCCTCATTATAAGAGACTTTTTTTTATTATAAGAGACTTTTCTTATAATGAGGTTTTTTAAAAATATATTTATTTTTTAGGAAATTGATCTGGTTAAACAAGTTGGGTCTTGTTTTAAATTTGTTATTTCATCTCCAAATTCATCTAAAAAACGTGAATGGATTGTTGACTTAAAATGTTCCCCTCCATATGTTGGCCTTTCTGATAACAAGGAAAATACAAAACCAGAAGTTACCTTAACATTGGATGATCAAATTTTAATGAATATTGCTAAAGGAAAAATAAAAGCAGACCAAGTAATTTTTTAAAATTTTTTGAGGGGGGAAGGAGAAAAATTTTCTAATTTTTCTTAGGCATTTTTACAACGAAAATTAAAAATTAGTGGAGATTTTAAAAAGGCAATGAAATTGAAGGATATATTGGATCCTAAAAAATTAAAATCTAGAATTTAGGTAGAGAATTTTAAAAATTAGCGGAAAAATGTTTAAAAAGAATTTTTTATTTTCGAATTTTTAAAAATTAAAAAAAAAATTTTTTTTAATTTACAAAAAAAATAATTTTCTAATTATTGTGTTATTTTTTAAATAAATATAAAATATCTTCTAATTCGTTTTGGATTTCTTCTAAATTATGGAGTATTTGTGTATCTTTTACATTCATTTCAACCTTTAAATTAATTTTTAATAAAATTAATAAAATCTCAAATCCCACTTAGGGCTGAAAACTTATCCCTAATAATGAGGAGAATTTCAAAACCTTTGGAAAATTCTCTTATAATGAAGTTATCTTAAATTGCTGACTGGTATTGCTCGGCCAGCTCTCCCTTCTAAGGGTTAAAACCAATTTTTAGAAAACGTCTCTTATATAGAGATGTATCTTATAATAAGATTTTAAGGAGTGTATCTTATACTGAAATTTTTATAGGTGTATCTTATTAAAGGGGGTATCCTATAATGAGGTTTATATTGAAGTTTTAAAATTAAAATATAATTTACAATTTCTTTCCGTAAATAGTCAAACAATTCAGTCCAATTCATAAAATTATTATTTGGAGTAATATCAATAGAATCACCAAAAGCCGAATCAGGAGATTCTGATATTAAAGGGAAAGAATTAATTTTTGTCTGAGAATTAACTAATTGTTTAATAGGCAAAGTCAATCTATTTTTATTTTCAGAAATTGAAGAAAAGGGGGAATTAATGGTAAAAGAATTAAATGAGGAGGTGGAAGGGGAGGAAGTGTTGTTTTGTTGTAATAATAATTTGTGAGAAAATAATTTTTTTGAATTTTGTTTGTTGACTAGTTGAGAATTTAAATGATTAGATGTTGGGGGTATTTGGTGTTCATTTTCTTTTATGTAAAAAGAATTTGAGTGATTAGAGGATTCTGGTGAAGAATCAATTTTATAATGAATATTGTAGGGTAATAGAGGCAATTCTTCTTGACATGGCTTCCTTTAAAAAATAATTTTAAAATTAAATTTTTATTATTTGGATCCCTCTTATGTATACCCCAGGGATGGGCTGTCTTGTCCGCCCTCCACTTCCGTTTTTTTTAAATGCAGGAGGGTCCATCCTTTGTATACTCCATTTACTCCACTTATTCCCCTCGCGTATACCCTCATCAATGGGGGGGGGGGTATTAATTCAGAATTTTATTAATTCAGAATTTTATTAAATCAGAATTTTATTTAAATCAGAATTTTATTAAATCAGAATTTTATTTAAATCAGAATTTTATTAAATCAGAATTTTATTAAATCAGAATTTTATTAAAATCAGAATTTTATTTAAATCAGAATTTTATTTAAATCAGAATTTTATTAAATCAGAATTTTATTTAAATCAGAATTTTATTAAATCAGAATTTTATTTAAATCAGAATTTTATTAAATCAGAATTTTATTAAATCAGAATTTTATTTAAATCAGAATTTTATTAAATCAGAATTTTATTAAAATCAGAATTTATATTTAAATCAGAATTTAATTTAAATCAGAATTTATATTTAAATCAGAATTTAAAATCAGAATTTATATTTAAATCAGAATTTTATTAAATCAGAATTTTATTTAAATCAGAATTTTATTAAATCAGAATTTGATTAAAATCAGAATTTATATTTAAATCAGAATTTAAAATCAGAATTTATATTTAAACCAGAATTCTGTTTAATATTTAAATCAGAATTAGCCCCCCATTGGGTGGAGAGCTACCTAAACTAAACCCTCCGTTGTAAAAAAATACCTCCACACCTAAATTCAAAAAAAGGACCAACAGCAGACCCATACATTCTTAATTTTTGTTCATTAATTTTTTCTTTTCTTTTTTTCTTCTTCAATTTTAAATTTGTAGTTGAATTATAAAAACGCTTAATAAATTGTTTTGCTTGTTCTAAACGTGGATAATTAAATAAATTAATTTTTGTATTTTCTATAAATTCTCTTTTTTCGCTAATTGCACGTGTTTTGGTTAGAATGGATGTTGTTGAGGATGTTAATATATTTGTTGAATTGGTTATTTGTCTAATTGGATTTTTTCTGTTATTGTGGAGACTTGTAGCAAGTGAAAAGCTTGAAAAAAATTAATTAATCATTAAAAATATTTTTGCGGACAAAAAATGTCTTTTTGCAGAATCCGCAAAAATAGAAAAGTCCGCAAAAATTGGAAAAATGTCCGCAAAAAAGTATGCAAAAATTTGTCCGCAAGAGAATGTCCGCAAAAATTTGTCCGCAAAAAATATCCGCAAGAAAAATCCGCAAAAAAAAGTATGCAAAAATTTTGTCCGCAAGAAAAACGTCCGCAAAAATAAGTTCAAAATTAACCAAGTTCCATTATCCAAACTTTTAGTTCTCTGCCTCTGTATTGGAATATTATTACAAATTTTAAAATCATTAGTTCGACTAGAAACAGGGCAACAATTTTCTTTAAAATTTGAAGAAAAATTTAAAGTTTCCAAAGAAGTATTAAAATAATTATTAAATAAAGGAGGAAATGATTCTGACATTGAAATTGCTGAAAAAATAAAAAAAATATTTAAAATCAGAATTTAAATCAGAATTTTTTTTATTTTTAAAACAGAATTCTGTTTTTATATTTAAATCAGAATTTTTAATTAAAAATCAGAATTTTCATATTTAAATCAGAATTATATGTTTTAATATTTAAAATCAGAATTTCTTTATAAATCAGAATTTTTTATTTCATTAATTTAAATCAGAATTTAAAATCAGAATTACTTTATTGTTAAAAGAAAATTCTGTTTTAGTCTCTGAAATCAGAATTTTTTAAATTATTTAAACAGAATTCTGTTTCATATTTAAAATCAGAATTTTTAATTAAAATCAGAATTTTTAATTAAAATCAGAAGTTATATTTAAATCAGAATTTTTAAATTTAAAATCAGAATTTAATTAAAATCAGAATTTCTATATTTAAAATCAGAATTTAAATCAGAATTTTTAATTCAAATTTAATTAAAATCAGAATTTAAAATCAGAATTTCTTTATTTTTAAAGCAGAATTCTGTTTAATATTTAAGTCAGAATTTCTATATTTATATCAGAATCTTTAAATAACCATTTTGAAGAGAAAAACCAGAATTAAAATTATTATTATTATGTTTAACATATTCTGTTGATGAATAAAAATCAGAATTTTTATTTAATTTGTTCATTTTATTATTAATTAGCAAGTTTCTTCTTCTTTTAGGTTCTTCACTTTTTATTTCATTTTTATTTTTTATTTTACTATTAGAATTTTGTTGAGAATTAATTGACGGCAAATTTTGTTGAGAACTGTCAAGAAAATAATAAATTATTTTTTAAATATTTTGAAGGTTATTAGAAGAAATTGGGGAGAGGAATTTTTTTGAAAGAATTATAAAATTAAGTAAACCCCCGTTATAAGATACCCCCAATAAAAGGTAAACCTCTTTATAAGATACCAATAAAATTAGGAAAACCCTCATTATAAGATACCCCCAATACAAGGTAAACCTCCCTATAAAATACCCCCAATATTGGGAAAACCCCCATTATAAGATACCCCTAATACAGGGAAACCCCGTTATAAGATACCCCTAATACACAGAAAACCTCCTTATAAAATAACCCTAATACAGGGAAAACCTCTTTATAAAATACCCCCAATACAAGTTAACCTCCCTATAAGATAACCCTAAAATTATAAAAACCTCATTATAAGGTACTTTTTTAGATTTGGTTGGTCATTGGGTGGGGTCTCCTCTATTTATGCAAGCAATACCCTCTATTTAACATACACCTTGTTATAAAGTACGAATTTTAGGGTGTATTTACAAGCGAGGTTTTGCTGAATTTAACCTTTCTGGTTGATCACTGGGTAGGGGATACTCTCAATTTAAGATACCCTCTATTTAAAATACACCTCATTATAAGGAACGATTTTTTCATTGTATTTATGAGGTCCGTTAAAAGTAAATAAATATGTATTTATTTTAGGATATGTAACAAATAAATTTTTTTTTGACAAAAAATGTGGGCGGTTATGGGTGTATAGAAATGAGGACAACTTGAAAGGATATTTGAAAAGAAATAGGAGAGATGACAAAAAACTTTTTTTAAAAAATATAAATTCAAGTCCAACAAATATATTTATTTAGGAGCCTCCTTTGCAGTTAGAATCTTTCTTGAAGAAAAAAAACAAAATCATTTAAAGAGGAGAAGGAGTTTTATTTATAAATAAATCTGGCAATTACACAGTTGGCTAGAAAAAAAATTAAAAATTATAAGGAAGGAGAATAAGTAAAAATAAGCAAGAAACACCTTGAAGAGTCATTAATTATAAAATAACGAAAAAATTTTCTTTTTTCATGTTCAAGGCTTATTTTTATTTTTATACCTGCCTAAATGTGTTAAAATTCAAAATCGTAAAGTAAAATTCCAAACAAACTTTTTTTTAATTTTTATAAAGTAGAAGGGCAAGGATTGTTTGTGGGATGTAAGGAACTCTTCCAGAAGAAAAGCCAAAAAATATAAAAATAAAATTAAGGAAAGGAGGGGGTAAGTGAAGTAGGCAACTGAACTACCCCCAAAAAGAGGCTTTAAGCACGTAAATACGACTAAAGTTAGATGTCGGGCTTGTTCTAGGACTGAGGAATTACCAAGTCTCGTAGCCAGCAAACCAGGTATTTTGAAAACTCCAAAAAGAACCTTTAAGCACGTAAATACCCCAGGGGTATGATGAAAGTGATTTTAAAAAGCGAAAGACGAAACTCGCGAAAGTCCAAAAAGCCTCTAGTAAATATTACACTAAAAGTAAATACTGAGCCGGTCCTAGGACTGAGGGATTTCTTAGTCTCGTAGCTAATAAACCAGGTATTTTGAAAAATCCGGGTTTTGGGGGTTTCCAGGTTTTTGGGGTTCTCCCCCGGATAACTCTCGGGTTAGTTTGAAAAGAAAAACTTAGAATACCAGACCCAGCAATTCGAAAAGGTCGCACTCTTCCAGACTCCTTTCCCTATAAACTTGAGGAGCTCTTTCAACTTTATTCTTTTCTAAACTACCTTTTTATCAAATTAATCCCTTCACTTCCCCCACTTGAACGGCATTTTCTCTTTTCCTCAAAATGCCGAGAAGCATCCCCTACCGACCAAGTGCCGAAGGCTACCTTTAAAAAAAAATTTTTTTTAATTTTTTAAATTAAAAACTAACAGATCTATAAGCAGTTCCACAATATAAATTAGCTGCCATTTAAAATTAAAATTTTGGAGAAAAATAAATACAAAAATTAAAGCTATAGAAAAGCTAGAAAAATAAAATAAACAAAATAAAAACGGAAAAGGAGTGGTCATTAGCTAACAAATAAATAAAAATATATTTATTTTACTAAAGGATTAAGAAAATTATAGTATTTAAAGGTATAGAAAAATTTTTAAAATTTATTTTAAAAATTTTTAGTCAAAAAATTAATTTATAATAAATATGGCAGTTCTTATACCGTAGTTATCCTTTAATAACTACCCTGGGTAATTATTGTTTAAAACTTCCGCTGGAGGGAGTAATTAATCGAGGGGGGGGGGTAATTATTTGAGGGAGGGCAATTAATACAGGTTATACGGTATAAATTTTTGTGAATTAAAAAATAAAATATATATGTTGCAGAAATATTTTTAAAATAATTTATCTAAAAATATTTTCAAAAAATCTTTTTTTTATTTTTCTCGTCCTAATTTGACAATATGCGCATTTCGATGATCTTTTTCAGCTTAAGTTTAATGATGTGTAAAATCGAGGGAAATGTTTATTATAAAACCCATGAAAATAGACTGAATATTTTAAGGGTACATCAATACATTTACAAAATAAACTAGGCTCTTGATTTCCTCCCTATTTAGGGTGTTCCAACTTTTTAAGGGTCGTACATGGACTATATTAAGGATAAGACTCGTCCAACTGCCCTCAGACATCGAACTAAAGTCTTCCGTTAACAGGTAAACAATTAATCTAGTAGGCTCTTGACCCTCGGATTTTAAATACTCTCGGGGGTTTGCTCTTGAAGACGAGGAAATCGAACTCTTAAAAACGAGGAGTATCCAAAATTGAGAGCAGTGTAGCTCTTTACAAAGCACTAAAATAGGAAACAGACCCTTAAAAATAGTGGGAAAAATAAGACAAAAAATAGGGAGAATCCTCTATAAATATAAGGATCACCCTGGTAAGGATCAGTGGTAGGTCAGAAAGTCAGAGGTGTCGGAAATCGGAAGAGCCGAAAATCGGAACTGGCTCAAAGGTCGGAAATCGGAATTCCGAACCACCTCTGGTAAGGATCACTGGTAAGGATCACCCTGTGTGAGAGGGTATTTAAAAATTGAGGTATTTGACTCTCTAATGTGAGTATAAAGTAAAAGATGTTGGTAAGTATATAAGAAAGTTGAAAAACAACAAAAACATATGTAAAGAAAATTGATCTGCAAAATACAGAACAAATAAGCTGCAAAGCTAAAAGAGACAAGTTAGTAAAACAATTGGCTCTAATCCAAGAGAAAAATAAATAAAAATGATGGAAAATACATTTATTTTTGTTTTGTTTTTGTTTTTAAGCTTTTAAAAGAAAATGTGTGTCTTTAACATAAAATCCTCCAAAAAAAAAGATTTTCCTGTCCCCAAAATGCTTTTTCCCTTTTGCCGCACGCAAAAAAAAAGACGGCTTTTCTTTTCTGATATCTTTTCTGTTTTCTCTCGTTTCTCTGTCCTTTTTTCTCTGCGTGAAATTGGATCCGGTAGGTTTCCGGAAAAGTAAAAGTAGTTAAATGGATTATTGCTTTTATAGGAGAAAAATGTGTGGGGGGAATTTTGGGGGAGAAAAATGTGTGGGGAAAATTATGGGAAGAAATTGTGGGGGAAGAAATTTTGATGGATTTGAAGGAAAACTAGTAGTCATTTTTCACTTCAACCTCTTCAAGTAAATCGCGCGAATAAGCGATCCGTGTAAACAAATTATTTTTTTGTTTGTTTTTTACTTTCTAGTTAACCTTAAAGTGTAGTAATTGTGTGTAAATATGTATATATATTATAGGAGGTATGTTCCCCCCTACCTTTTTGCGGTTATTGGGGGTAATAAATATGTAAATAAATATTTTTTAAGAGTAGGAAAAGCAGGATATTTAGTTGAAGGAAAATTTTTGAGAGTGGAGAAAAAAATTTTTGGGAAAAATTATTAATTTACTTGTCGGTGAATAGTCTTTCTGCGAGAAGATTGTCGGGATTGGAATTATTTAAAAATTTTTTTGAAAAATCTTTTTCTCAATTAAATATAGTTTTTGGAAGAGAAAATATTCTTAAAGAAAGTGTGTGTATTGTTTTGGAATTTAATTAAAAAAAGCACTCTTTAAAATTAAAATTTTTTATATTGTAAAGGATTTAGGAAGACATTAAAAGTGCATGAACAAAAAATTGTAAAGTGGCGACCTTCAAAAAATTCTTTTTAAATGAATGGAAATTTGTGGGGAACTAAACAGCACTCAATCAATTTAAATTAGCCTTCATTTACATTAAAAATCAAAACCTCCCTATAACATACTCCCAATACTAGGTACACCTCTATATAAGAGATGCTCTTGTAATTTAATTGTATAAGGGTGGATAAGTGATAGGGGTTCCAATCCGGACAAAATCTTCTCACAGAAAGACTATTCACCGACAAGTAGAGGAAGGAGGATTTTGACTGACTTTAGCAGTCATGATTTGATAATATTTTATTCATTTTATTTAAAATAAATTTATATAAATTAAAAATGCTTTAGATATTTTATAAAATGCGGATTTGAGAATTAAATGGGTGTAAGAAGGTTTAAAGCGTCATGATCATTATTAACAATTTCATCTCTTTTTGCCTTTCCTTCTACCTTTTCATCTGGTATATTAATTCCAACAAGAAATTGATAAATCCAAGTACCAAGTAATGCTCCAATGAGTGGGGCGATTATTGGAATCCAAAAATAATAATTACGCCAACTAAATATATTTGAGTAATTAATAGGTTTATCGACAAATTTTTCACGGAAAGACTATTCACCGACAAAGGAAAATGGGGGAAAATGTGTCGGTAAACAAGGTGTCGGTGAACTGTCTTTCGGTGAATTTTTTGTAAAAATTAATTAAAAAATGAATTTTACGAAAAGGCTTCTAATCCATAGCCACCAAAAAGCATAAATAGGCGAGGACCAAAATCTCTTGCTGGGTTAATTGGAGTACCCAAATTCTTTAAAAATTATTTTTTTTTAATTTTTTTTATTTATTCGAACCATTCCAAACGAGGACGTCAACAGAAAAACAGTTAAACCAAAACATAGGGGATGTAAATATCCTGGGATCTTGTTACGTTGATCAATAATAGCACAAACAAAAAGCAGTAAAAGGCCTGTTCCGACAACTTGGTCAATAAATGCTGAAAATTTCGGAAAATTTTTTAGTCATAAAACCCCATTATAAGAGACCCTCTGGGGCTGAAAAATCGTCTCTTATAATGGGGGTGTATCTTAAATAGAGAGTATCTCTTAGACAGCTCCCCCATCCAACAGCCAACCAAACTTTAAAAGAGCGTCTTTTAAATAGAGGTGTATTTAATATTGGGGGTATCTTATAATGAGATTTTGACTGTATCTTAAATAGAGGTACCAGTATATAACGAAATGTGTGGTTGAGGAAAGGAACAAAAAACAGCTCCGGTCCCATTCTTTCCATCCACAGAACGAATTCCTCCATCAAATTTATCAAAAGAATCAACATAAATATGTAAACATAAAGCTGCTCCCAAAAAACCTCCAAAAGTTTGCGCCACAACGTAAAAAGGATAGTGAATAAAAGGGAGCTTTCCAAGTGAACAAATAGCTAGGGAAACTGCTGGATTTAGATGTCCACCTATTTTTTAATTGAAAAATTTAATAAAAAATTTTTTTTTTGAGAGTTTACCTGAAGTTTTGTAAGTAACGGTAACTGCAAGAAATATAGCAAAACCCCAAGCCAGACAAACCTTTGAAATGAAGATTTAAAAAATTTATAGTTGAGTACCTATATACGGACCTCACTTTTAGATACCCATTAAAGTTGGAAAAACGTAGCTTATAATGAGGTGTGTGTTAAATGGAGGTATTGGTTAGACGCCCCCCCCCCCCCCACCATCCAATGGCTAATCTAAAAACGTAGCTTATACTGAGGCTTTGTAAAGGGGTATCTTATGTTGAGGTCTATTCAAGGGGGTATCTTATACTGAGGTCTATTCAAGGGAGTATTTTATAGAGAGGTCCGACTCTATTTAAATTTAATACCTGTAAATGATTATTCAATTTAGCCTCAGAAAGTATAAATTGAGCAATACTACTACACCCAATTAAAACTAAAAGAAAGGTTCCAAGAAATTCAGAAAGGAGATTAACAAGTAAACGATCACGTATTCGAAAAGAAGAATGGCGTAAACTTTCTACTGGCGACATACCAGCAGGAAACGAAGACATTTGATTCTGAAAAATTTGAGTATTTAATAGGAAAACCTTATTTAAGTACACCCTTGGAGCTGAAAATTTGTCTTTTTTAATGAGGGGACCCCATTAAGTCCCGAAAAAAATCGTATCTTGTAATGAGGTGTCACTTAAATAGAGGGTATTAGCTCCTCACCCCATCCAGTGTCAAACCAAATTACCCCCCCCCCCCCAGCTGGCCGACCAACCTTTAAAAAAGGTAGCTTAAATATTGTTTTACGTGACCGGACAATCCGTCAGTCGTCAGACAATCCGTCAGCGGATATGGGTAGAAATTTGGGTATAGGTAGAAACTACGAATTTATTCACTGTCGGATTGTCCGCTGACGGATTGTCCGGGAGTCATTGTTTTAGGGGGTATCTTATAATGTGAGGTTTAGTTGTAGACTGGAAATAAAATAAAGGGGTATTGAAATGCACTTAAATTACACATACATATTTAAATATTTTATTTCTTTCTCCTCCCCATTTCATCACTTGTTATAATAATAAGGATTTTAAATGTTCTTTGTGTTGAGTACTTTGAGTGCTTGGCCATTATACTCGCAAAAAATTTTTCAGCCTTGTTTGACTCAAAAAAAATAAAGAAACATGTTTAACAATTAAAATATTTTTAAATTGATTTTAAAATGGGAAAGGAAGGGGAAAAATATTTAACTAGAAAAAAGAAAAAAATAAATACCAACTCTTCGATTATTTCTCCAAGGTAAATTGCTAATCGGATGATCATCGTCTTCCATTGTAACAAAGAAAAATTAATTTAAGGAAAATTCTCTTTTTCTTATTTTTAATTTAAAGGAAAATTTAAATTTAATTGGGAGTATTTTTAATTTTTATTTTTAAATTAAAAAAGAAACAAAGTCAGATAATTTGCGGTTGGTAATAATTTGAAGGCTGAAAGGTGCATGTTATTTATTGATTTTTTCGTTGCTTTCTACGAGACTTTCTAGTCGAGAAATTTACTCTGCATAATATCAATTTATTTATTTAAAAATAGAATTTTTTTTATCAATTCTATAATGAATATTTTTATTTTATATTTTTTTTAGCTTCCAAGTTTGTAGATTTTAAAGTTCTTAAGTTCTTAAGTTTTATGTTATGTTTTTAAGTTTGTGAGTTTTGTAGATTTAATCCTAAGTTTCTAAGTTTGCAAGTTTTTAAGCTTGAGCTTTAAAGTTTGTTTACCAAGTTTTAAGTTTTGAGTTTGTAATTTAAGTTTTCAAGTTTTTAAGGTTAAGTTTATGTTCAAGTTTTAAGTCTGTAAGTTATCAAGTTTTAGGTTTGTTTCTAAGTTTTTAAGTTTGAACTTGAAGTTTTATGTTTACCAAGTTTTGAGTTTTCAAGTTTAGAGTTTTAACTTAAGTTTGTAAACGCTTAATATTTACACATTTGTTAATTAAATTCTAATATTCTTAAATAATTAAAAAAACAATTACAAATTTTATCAATTTCTCATTTAATAAGTTTACAAATTAAAAAAATTTTTTAAATTTTATTTTTGACTTTTCTTTCTTTAAGATTCATAAATAAATTTTTGTTCTGGAAACAAAGCCATTTTTAATGCCTAAAATAATGAAAATAAATTTATTTTTATTTAAAAAAATTTTATTTACTTCATTTCTTTGCCAAAAATTTCTAAGTTTATTTAGTCGTTGAAAATTAAAAGCTCTAGATTTTCTTTCAAATAAATCATTTTTTGGTTGCGATTTAATTAAAAATAAGGGTGACGCCTTTACGTCAGTGTCTCTGATGCTTCGATAAAGGGGCAATTCCTTTTAAATTTATTTTAAAAAAATTTGAAAAATAAAAATACTTGAAGAACAAATCCTTCCGTTAAAAAAGGAGACGATTCCATAACAATTAAAATATAAAAAATAGTTATAAATAAAATAGGGAGTTTTGAATGTTGTTGTGAAATATGAGAAGGAAAGAGAAATTTTGAAGCAATTTTAATCATTATTTTTTAAATTAAGTAAAATAAATCAGATGGGTTATATTATAATATAACTCTGAAATATTAATATAAAAAATCAGAATTTATATTAGTAAAATAAATTAGAAAAAATAACTCAGAAGTGTTATATTTAAATCAGAATGTTCATAACTGTAAAATGAATCAGAAATTTATATGGAAAATAACTCAGAAATATTAAAAATCAGAATTTATATTATAAAAATAAATCAGAATTAAAATAAATCAGAATTAAAATAGAAATCGCTTCTGATTTATTAAAATCAGAAAGAAATAACTCAGAAATAACTCAGAATTTATATTTTCAATCAGAAATATTAATATTTAAAAAATCAGAATTTATATTCTTAAAATAAATCAGAATAAAATAACTCAGAAATAAATCAGAATTTTATATTCTGATTTTCAGAACTATTAATATTAAAATAATTCAGAACTTTATATTATTAAAATTCAAAAATCAGAAATGTTAATATTAATTTTCTGAATATATTAATATTCCAGAGTTATACTACATGAATCAGAAATCATAAATACTAGAATATTTTCTTTCTAATATTTCTGTTTTACAATTAATTATATTTTTGTAATATTAAAGCAACAATCTCTCAAGGAAAAAAAATAAAAATAAATATTTAAGCAATAAATGAAGAATATAATCATTAAATAAAACTAAAAAAACTAACGTCAATTGCAGGTATTGGTTGCTATCCCGGAAGGACATTTAATAATAGCGGAAATTTATAAATTGAGAGAACAATGCCTATACTCTATAATTATTTTTTAAAATTAATTTTATCTGTATTTAAAAGTAAAATATCCCATTTCTCGCAAATGATGCCAATTTTGTAATTTTTTATTTCTACATAATTATTAAATAAATCAGAATTAATTAAACAGATTATTAAAAATGAGCCAGGAAATTAATTATTAAAAATGCTTAATAAATTCTTCTGACAGAAAAAAGAATAAAAATTCTGATATCAGAAATTAATTATTCTGATTTAATTTTTATTCTGATTTTATATTTTTTCTGATATTAATAAAATAATCTTAAGAATTAAAATTCAAAAAATATTATTTTTTGTCAATTGTTTTCTTAAATTCAGGCCACCCACATGGATATACTTTAATTTCACCTTCCATCTTTTTACGAGAGGGAAATTCTATGAGAATTCCTTTTTTAGATTTTACTACGTAAATTCTCAAATTTTAGTTTTCTATATTTATCTTTTCCATTGTTTATCTTCTCCATATAATTTTAGTTTTCCATGCCCAACGACCACAGGTAAACAAAACAAAATTTATTTTAAGAGGAACAATCCTGTGGTCAAAATACCGAAAAGGTCGAAAAACTCAGAGTCCAAAATACGATTTTGGGGGCGGGACTCAAGTGTCCCTTTTATTAAATTTTAAACATTTTTTGGCATAATGTTTTTTGGCAAATGTTTTTGGCGTTATGTTTTTGGGCGGGCTTCTTTCTTATAATTTTGGCGCCATTATTGACTGCAACAAAAATCAATTTTTGTAGTCTATTTATGACTCATTTTCCACAAACTTTGGTCATTTTCTAATTTTTTCTTCTTTTTTTATACAGAAATTTATCTCTCTCTACTTTATTTACCTGTAATTTTATTTAATCTTTCTATTAAAAATAACAACATAAATGAAAGGAACTCCTGATCGTGGGGAAGGTGGGTTTATTACCCCTTCGAGATGTTCGCCTACTGGGAAATTTATGTTTGATAAACCGCTCTCTACTAAACGTGAAAAGGTTTTTTTCTGTTAAAATTGGTAAAATGATTATTCTTTAAAGCTTCTCCGTGGCACTCCATCTCGCTACAAAGTTCCACAAGCTCCGCGGCTCATGAAATCGGCACCTAATGTACAACGCTATAGTTTGATACGGGCACATATTGAGCCTTTTGCAAGGATTGTTTCTTTCAAAAGTCCTTCAGAACGTAAAAACGAGTTTTCTATTTGACTTAAATTAAAACTTTTTCAGGACCTCGACTGAGTCCTTTCTACCATCCTGATACTCCAGAGACGTATCTTGAGCAAAGATTTATTATGCACGGCCGTTTGGGTCGTGGCGATTTTGGCGAGGTTAATTTTTATATTTTGATTAGATTATAAGGGGAAATTTGGGGACTTTAGGGCCCTTTTTTCATTTCTTCCTCTCTTTCTCTTGGTTTGCCTTTGGAAAATCAATCGAAGGGGAAATTTTTGTACTTCTCCCATGAGGATACTAGTTCTTCGGTTTATGACACTCATTCTCTGTGTGTGTGTGTTTGGGTCTGAGTTTCTGTGAGTCATTCCAAGCTTTCGAGTCTTCGCGGTTCTTAGAGATCAAAATTTCATTGGTTTCTGCCCAAAATCAGACTTTTTGATTGATTTAATGGCCAAAGGTAAATCAAAGGAAAATTAAACTAGAGGGTTAGAGACGTCTGAGACTCTTGGTCTTGAGTCTTGATTCCGAGACTTTTCTTCGGTTTTTTCGATCTTGGGGTCTAATATTGGTCTTGAGTCTTGGAAAATCGGACGTCTCTACTAGAGGGTTCTCTAAAGCTTAAAATTACAAATTTTTTTCAAAAAAAGGTTGTTAGCGTTCGTTCAAAAGATGATGGAAAAGCGTATGCAATTAAATGCGCGATAGAAGTTTATAGAAATATTGCTGATAGACGTGAAAAACTTCAAGAAGTTCTTAAACATGAAATGTTGCCTCCACATCCAAATTTGGTTCATTTCTTCAAAGCATGGGAAGAGAAGGGACGTTTGTATATTCAAACAGAATTGTGTGCTAGAAGTTTGGATGATGTCGCTAGAGAGAGACATGAGATTGGTGAACCAGAAATTTGGTATTATCTCATTGATATTCTTATGGTTTGATTTATAAGATTATTATTTTGGGGACTTGTGGGTTTTGCGGACTTATTTTTGCAGACTTTTGTTGCGGACATTTTACTGGAATAGGGGGCATCACCCTAATGTTGACCTATAAGGAGTTGATTTTCTGGAGTGGACCCATTTTACGATTTTGAACTTTATTTTTCAATACTTCCCCTTAGCAATTCCTTCATTGGCATCTCCTGCCCGGTCAATTTCCTCCCATATAATAACGGCAAAATATCTCTCTTTAATTGCAATCCCCAAAAAATTTAAGCGGTGACAGAAAAAAAGATAGGGAGAGTGGACGGTCCTCGGGCAACTAGTTATTAAAATGCCCTCATAAAACTCGTTCAAATGCCCTTTTCACATTTATTTTTTGTAGGCATTGGAGCATATGCATTCTCATGACCTTATTCATGTTGATATTAAGCCTTCTAATATTTTTATAACGTCTGACGGTATTTGCAAATTGGGTGATTTTGGATTGGTTTTTGATCTTAACAAGGTATTTTTTAGTTGAAAAAAGTCCGCAACTTTTTTGCGGACAAAAAGTTGCTGACAAGCAAAAAAAATTTTTTTAAAGGACGATCCAAAAAATGTAATGGAAGGAGATGGAAAATATTTGGCAGCTGAAGTTCTTAATGATAAACCGACCAAGGCAGCTGATATTTTTAGTCTTGGAATGACTATTCTTGAATTGGCGACCGATTTGGATTTGCCGAATAATGGAGTTTTTTGGCATGAAATTCGTAATAGAATGATTGACGAGAAATATATTAAAGGTTCTTTTTGACGAATTTAGAGAGTGTGTACTAGGGGTCGATCCCCGTTCCCCGAGACAGGGAATTCACCGGGGACCCCCAGAGCCCCCGTTCACAGTCCTCGCGGCTCGAATTCCCCATAACCCCCGTCCCCGTAAATTCAGCCCCCGCTCCGTAATATCGAATCCTAGTATGTACTAAGTGATTATCCAGAGGGTATCCATTTTTTGACTTTGGACCACAAAAAAACTTGAGGACAATTACAAGAAAAGTCCGCATTGTTTTCATTCTTCCCTTTACAAATGTCTAAATTAGGAATTTTCGAATAAATTTTATTTTAGTTTTATCAACTGATCTTCGTCGTGTTATTGCATGGATGATCGACCCATGTCCATTGAATAGACCGAAAGCCATTGAGGTTCTCAAAGATTCGTTTGTTTCAAGATATCGAAGCAGACGTCAAATCAAACTTCTCAAACATCGCGCCGTTAGTTTTTTTTTAATTTATATTTGTTTTTGGGGTTGTCGGTTTCAACAATTTCTCTCCTTCTGCTTTTAAACCAAATTGAAAATTCTTAAATTTTTGGGTTGAGTTTGTGAGACCGACAACTATGTATATATTCCGTTTTGGGCAATGAGTGTAGTTCATAATTTGGACCTTTTTTCCTTCAACAATGATTTGAAACCGACAATCCCCCTTTTTTCACATGTTTGTATGTGTGACGGTGGAAAATAGAAAAGTTTTTCCTAAGAAAAAACATTAAAAAATACATTCTTAGTTTCCCTATGTTGTTGTTGGTTTTCTAATACTTATCGGTTTTATCCACTAATCTACATATTATAACGGGCAGGGCTTTTAATTGGGTATGGGACAAGCCTAGAAAAAAACTTCAAGGTTTATTGGAAATGAATCAATCAAGCTAACAATAATAATCAATCAAGCTAACAATAATTGACTTATGTGCCCCCTAAAAATGTATGCGCGTCCTAAAGTGGCTACGAAATTCGATTTCCAACTTTGGAGAATTTTTCTGAATCAATGCCCCTTTTCCACCGTCACATATTTTCTTTTTAATATAGATGTGTAAATTAACTGATCTTATGTTCTTCACGTATTTTGCCATAACTTCATTTTTTTATCAAATTTTTTATCCAATAATTTGGGTAATTAATTTTTGTTCTGAGCGCTTCACTAATCCAAAAATAAGTACTCCATTCTTGGAAGGTCGAATTATGAACAACAGCTCTTTGCTACATAACCGAAACAGAGTATATTTTAAGAAGGAATATTTCAAATTAATTTTGATTATTTTTTTAAAGGAGCGTACACCTGAATTTAACCTTGCTTCGCCTCCGTTTACTAGTAATTCTCCGGTTCCTACTACTCCATCATTTCGACAACATTTGGATTTTGATGATAAGACTTATAGTGAAAATGGTATGAAAGGTTTATCTTTTCTAATTAGGGGCAGACCTTATTATGAGATACCCCCATTATTAAATCAACCTTTATTTAAGAGACGCTTAAAATTTGGTTGGTTATTGGGTGGGATGGCTGCCTAAATGATATCCTCTATTTAGATACCTATCATTATATACTAATTCCGATGGTGTTCTTATATCGGGTTGTTACCCTCCATTTAACGTACACCTCTTAAAACTATACCCATTATTAGGCATACCCTCTATTTAAGGGACCTCCTTATAAAGGACTGTCTTTTAGCCCAAATGGTTATTTTAATTTTTTAGAAACTGGTTTGTCACCACCAGCTGATGGTCGAATGAACGTTTCATTGCCTTCTCGAAGCACCGTTTCACCTTCACCTTTAGCACGTTTTACTGGAAGTGGCAATACTCCACCAAGTTCTCGTTCTAGGAAGAGAGGGCCGCGAGCTGGAGATGAGCTTTTTGGAATTGAGAGACGATTTTTGAGAACAAGTAAAGACAGCGAAGAGAAGGGGGATAATAATGAAGGTTTTGGTGAAAAGAAGGGAGGAGTTGGGAGTGATTAAATTACCAAAAAATTAAATTAAAAATTAAATTATTGACACAAATTTATTTTCTTTTTTTTAATTTTCTGCTTTTATATAAATATTTTGTGGGTAAAATGAACCTTATTTTTGTTTGTTTTTAGTGTTGTATGAAAGTTCTTCCAGTTATTGTTTTCTTTTCTCCTTTAGTTTCGGGTCTTGCACGGTTTAAGACTTTGAGAAAATCGTTTGTTTTGGCTCTCATTCGTGAATGTAGATAGGCCTAGAAAATTGAATTGGAAATGGTTATTGGATCAATCTAGAGGCTCTGGAATTGTACGATCCCCGTAGGAATGTTATGCGCCCCAGAATCCCAACAAATTTTTAAGGAGGTTTAAGCGGTCAGTAAAACCCCGAAAAACCAAATAAACAATATTGGACGTTCCCTGGAGTAGAAAGACTGGTTTAGTAAAACGGTGTTCTCAAAACTTCGGATTAGGGATTAGGAGACTCTGGAATTGTCTGAGTCCCGTGGGAATGTATTGCGCCCTAGAACACCAAAAAAATTTTTAAGGAGGTTTAAGCGGTCAGTAAAACCCCGAAAAACCAAATAAACAATATTGGACGTTCCCTGGAGTAGAAAGACTGGTTTAGTAAAACGGTGTTCTCAAAACTTCGGATTAGGGTCCGTGACGAAAACAAATTCGAATTTCGGATTTTAAGGAACACGGCCTATATCCCTGTTTCCCGTGTCCTAAACCAAAGCCAAAAAAACTTTAAAATTTAAAATAAAAACCTTTGAACATTTAATATGATAATGAAGATAATCCCGAAAAGTATAAATTAGATTAATTGTATCATCTCTAGCCTTTTTGTTTGTATGTCGTAGAAAGAGGACTTGAAAAAGAAAAATAAAAATTTAGAAAAAAAAAAATTAAAAAAAAACCAAAAGTAATATATCCAACATTTGGACCAATTTTAGCCTCTGAACAATTTTTTAGTTCAAGTGGAGGTTCTCCAACAGAATAAATTATTTGAGGTGCTGTTTGGCTAGCTTTTCTTCCTTCACGAAATTCCTTTTTTAAAAATAGAGATTTAAAATTTTTTGCGGTTTGCGGACAATTTTTACGGATTTTCACTTTTTTCCATTGTTTTGGAAATTAAGGTCTGAATGGACGGGGTGGGAGTTGAGAAAAATGTTGGGGCCATATTTCGAATCGAGGCTCGAGACTGTAAAAGTTAAGGTCTTAAAATCGAAAAAAATATGAACGGTCTGGAAAGGGAAAGAAGAATCCGCAAAAATTCTAACCTTTCTGTATAGGTTCCTATTTAGCAAGGGCGTAGCCAGAGGGGGGGCTTCTGGGGCTATAGCCCCCCCCCCCCCTGAAATGGGAAGAATGAAAAAAATTTAGGAGGGAAATGATCAGAAAAGTGAACTTTTTACGCCTGCAACCCCAAAATTCTCCAAATTTTTGCCAGCGGCGCTGGTCCCATTTTAGCCCCCCTTGGATCGACCCCCTGGCTACGCCCTTGCTATTTAGATAAATTAAATAAAATTTAAAAAGAAACCTGTAAAAATATTTTCCCAATAATAACATCATCTGGATCTTTAAATATTGTACTAAAAATAACAGTAACACGATCAGATTTTGCTTCAACAAACCTTTAAAAGGAGAATATTTTAGAAAAAGATAGGATGGAGGCGTGGAAATCACCGGCTTTGAGGGTTTGGACTTGCATAAACGTGATGAAGAACTACCGGAACAGGTCATGTACCCGAGCCCAATGTACCGCAGAGCTATAACTTTTTTCAAAGTGTTCGGATCCTGGACGCGTTAGTATGGTTCGAAAAAGGTAAAACAAGAAGTCAAAAAAGGCTTTTTTAAGGTTCAAAAAATGATTGCCGGGTAAAGCCTTTGGTCTTCGGATAGAGGATTTTGCCAACAGCGAAGTATTGGTCGCGAGGTAAATCGTGAGGAAAAGGGTGTACCCTTAGCTTAAATTTCCAAGTTTAAATTTTAAAAATAAATTTAAAAAACCAACTAACAAAGTTTCGTCTTCTCTAAAATGAACAACAGCTCTCCTCTCTCCTTCTTGCCCTTCCTCTTGAAATTTAAAATATTTTTCAAAAACAGAAGCAAAACAATTTCTCTTCAAAAAAGAAGCCTTTTTAACAATTTCCATAAAATCATCAGAAATATCAGCCAAATTAAATATTAGAGAAATATTATATCCAGATTCGGGTGCTTTTGACAAAAAATGTTCATATTCTCTTTTGATTAACTTTAAAAGAAAATTTTTGTAAATTAAAAAAATTTTTTTGTGAATCATTTAACACTTGTAAAGGTACATGTGAAATTTCTTTTGGGCTTTTTTCCTGGACAAAAAAACAACGGGAAGACTAAACAAAGAAAAATATGGGGAACTATGGGAAAAGTCCGCAAGAAAGTCCATAAATTCTGCAATAAATGCTCCCCTAAAACCCACAAGAAGTCCAAAAAATCCGTAATCTACAAAAAGTCCGAGTAAAAGTCCTTAAAAAATTTACAAGAAATGTGCACAAATATTTAAAAAATACACACAAATACTTAAAATCAATTCGAAAATTTTAATTTAGATCCAAAATCTCATTTGCTCCATGTTCTTGTGGAACTTCTCGCGGACAAAAAATAAGGGTAAACTAACGAAAACAAGAAAATCATGAGGAAGTTCCCAAGTCCACAAGAAACAAAATATCAGCAAGGAATGACCGTAAGAAATGTATTAATCTTTACAGGTGATAAATATTCCCATTCAAAAATTTTTTTAAAAAAACCTCATCAGCTCCATGCTCTTGTAACTCCTTATAAAATTTCAAAGAAATGCTCAACTAAAAATATATTTTTTACAAAGTCAAAAATAAAAAAAAATAACCATTAATTTTAATCTATCCCCATCTGGATTGGATACTTTGTACATTACACCATCAAAATCGGCAAAAACAACGTTGACGGAATCAAACTTGCCACTTTAAAAAATTAAATTTTTAAACTTCGTCCGCAAAAAAAATTTGCAAAGTTAATAGTCAGAACCCTTCCCAGAAAATGTCAAAATATTGGATGGGAGTTGACTGTGATTATTCTCCGATGAAATGGTGAAAACTGCTTAATCAGTTAACCAGGGATTATCACAAGTAGGGTTGTGGTTTTCGAGTCGGGCCGACGTTCGAGTCATTCTTTTCGGGCCTCATTTTATCGGGCCGGCCCGACCGAGTCTTTTTCGGGCCAAAATTCAATGTCCGACTCTATCTTTCGGACCGGGCCCCCAACCCTAATCACAAGTAAATAAAAAGTCGGGTATAATTCTAGATCGTGGTTTTCGAAGGTTCACCGGATCCAATATCAAACTAAAAATTAGTCCGGAGTTCGAATAACCTTGACATCCCCCAACCTATCGATCCCATCAGACCCTAGTGCTAAAAGGCATAACTGGGGATTTCAAGTCTTATGGCAGAGGAAACTTGATTCCTTGGACGACGTCCCTTTAAACCATACAATATTTTTAAAATAATTTAAAAAATTCAAACTTTGTTTTTGCAGCAGAAAATTTTTGTTCCAACAATTCACAAATTATTCGATTATTTTGTTCTAATAAAATCATTATTTTTGCTGTAAAAATAAAATTATATATTTAAATATTCTTTTATAAATAAATCAATTGCTTAGCAACATATAAAAAATAAAAATAAAATTGAAAATGATTCACACAATTTTTTATTTTCGCTCTATTAAACATAAATATTTTTGTTGTTGATATGTTCGATTTTATATTCCTTTTTTAAATTAATTTTATTCAAAATACATAAGAGCGACATTTGCGGACAGCGACATTTGCGGACATCACAGCATTTTAAAGAACTGTGTCGCCAAATAGTACTACTTTAGGTATGTCCCAGGTGCAGGATAATACACACTAGCAGCTTGTTGCAATTTTAATAAAATTCAGTTTTGTCCGCAAATATTATCCGCATAATTTTTTGTCCGCAAAAATTCCTGTCCGCAAATTTCATCCGCAAATGTTTGTCCGCAAATGTCGCCACTATAAACACATCTAATCAATTGGGCTAATATCAGTGGAAAGAGTATAATAATGAATACTTCTAGCCTGTACATTTTGAACACAACAATTAACACCGGCTGGACAATAAAGACACTTGGCAGTTTCTATAATTAATTTATTTTCTTCTTTCACTTTTTCTTTTAAAATTTTATTTTCTTCCAAATTTTCTTCTACAATTTTTTCTTCATTTTTTAAAGAATGTCTATTAAATATCCATTTATTTTCTTTAATTTAAAAACTTTTTGGTTAAAAAAATTAAAAGCCAGACCTCGTTATAAGATACGCTCAATACTAGACACCCTCTATTTAAGCCAGATCCCATTATACGCGACACCCTCTATTTAATCCACAGCCCGTTATAAGCCCACCATAATGGGTACCCTATTTAAGATACACTCCCATTATAAGCGACACCCTCTATTTAAGGTACAACTCGTTATAAGAGACAATTTTCGAAAGCGTATCTTATAGTGAGGTTCGACTTTTTAAAAAAATTTTCTTACCCTCAGGCGTAATAGGAGATAACAACGTTGGCTGAAGTTTTAATGGTGGCCCTAGCGGGTCTGTTGGTGTTGTTTGGGGAATTGGAGTTCTTGGAACTTTTGGTTTTGTTGATATAATTTTTTCTTTGAAAAAAATTTTTTTTAAGAATAATTTTAAAAAAGATTACTGGGCGATTCTCCAGCTGCCAATTCTCCAGCACTTTCAATTGTACAATAATCACTTATATATTTTGCACTTTTACTTCTCTTCGTTAATCGATAGCCAACCTTAAATTTTTTAATAAATTTTTTAATAGTTGATCTCACTATAAGGTACCCCTTAGAGGCTGAAAAAATCGTACCTTATAATAAGGTGTTTATTAAATAGAAGGTACCGCTTAGAAGGTTCCCCATCGTTTAGAAATCACCCATTTAGAGAGCCAACCTACTTAGAGCGTATCTTAAATAGAGAGGTGTATCCATTATTGGGAGTATCTTAAAGCGAGAGGTATTCTAAATAGAGGGCGTGTGTCTTAAATAGGAGGGAGAACCCAGCAACAAGAACCCAACAGAATATATAAAAGTTTAAAAAATAAACCTTTTGTGTCAAATTAATTAAAGAAACTGATTTGTTAAATTGAACAGATTTTTTATTTTGATTTTTCTTCTGATCAGATATTTTAGTAAAACCTTCAAAACCCACTGAAATTTTACTTCTTAATTGTTTGCCAAAACTAAATTTAAAAATTTTGGTATATGAATTTTTTGCGGATAAAAAATTTTTGCAGATTTATTTTGCGGATTTTTTCCCAAATATCGGGGTCCGCATGTGTCAATCCGCAAAAAGATTTTTGCGGATTGAATCCACACATTTTTTGCGGATTCAATTCGCAAAAAAATAAATCCTGATTCATGCTTGCGGACATAATTTTTTCGATTAATTAAATTTTTTAAATTTAAAATTAAACCAATTGATCCAACTATCAAAAAGCTCTTTATCTTCCTCATCATTTTCACAGACCATTTCCATTCTAACACAAAAATGATTAAAAAACGTCGCACAAAGTAAAGGCTGTTTAATTAAATTTTCCAAAATTATTTTTTGACGTAATAAAAGAATCCATCTTTTCAACAAATTTTGGAATAAAATAATTGAAGTAATTAATAAACTAAAAATTGAAATAATTGAAGGATTGTCTTGTTGGTGACAAAATAAATTTGTTAAGAAGCATTTTGGTAGGCGTAAACATATTGAGGTTGGTAGCCATAAAAGCAATAATACGCCAAAAAATAGAAAATTCTGAAAATAAATTTTAAAATAGTTAAAGTCAAGCTATAAGATAACACTTTTGCAAAAGACGCCGAAACACCAAAGTGAAGGAATGACACCAAATACCCAAAAAATGACGTTAAAAAACATTAGGCATTTCACCATTTAAGGACTAAAAATGGTCTCTTATAATGAAGGGTATTTTAAATAGAGTGACCATTAAAGCGAGAGTTATCGATAGAAAAACCTCTCGACTTCCAACCGCCAATGAGCGTAAATTGGGCAAGAGTGAAGAAATTAAAAGGTGAGAGGTTCTTTTAATGAGGTGTTCATTTAAAAGAGGTGTATCTTAAATTAAGGGCTTCGCTTGGAGGCTCCCCTTCCAAAGGCAACCAAGCAACACTGAGACTTGGGAGGTCCCCCTCTCAAGTTGTAAAATGTTGGAAAACGTCTCTTAAATAGAGGTACCAGGTGCATTTTAAAATGAGGCTTACTTAAATAAAAAATTAAAAAAAACCGTTAAGAAAAGAATAGCCTTTAATCCAGTCGCTGTTGTTGCCCATCTTTTAAATTCCAAAATAATGCTTGCAATTAAAATAACCAAAAAGATAGTAAAAAGAAAATCAAAATTAAAAGAAAATAATAAAAAATAAATTAAAATAAAAATTATCAAAATTAACTGAAAAATATTTAAAAACATCTATTTTTAATTTTTTAAATATTTATACACGTATTTATAAATTTGTCTCTCCATGGAAACATGCAAAAAAAAAACGAAAACAAATATTTATAGAAAAAACACGATTCAAAAAAATAAATTAATTTGTAAGGGTTGGGTCGTTTTTGGCGCGGCCCATAAGGACGCCGCCTTCAATTTTAATTTTCCACTCTCGCCCAAAATAGTCCGCGCCGAAACGTCCCTCACATTTATAAGAGATTTAAAGAATAAATTAAATTTAAATAGATATGCTCTGAAATAAATAAGTAAAAGATCAAATTTCAAAAAGAAAGATCATTTGCAGGCAAATAAATTATAGTAATTGTTTTGAATGTCGAAAAAATTTTCAAAAAAAAACTTGAGATATTTATCAATCTTAAACTTATCTTCCATAAGCTTAACACATTATTCCTGATTTTCTTGCTGCTGCTGCTCTTCATTAAAGATGCCGGCAATTCTTTTAAGCGTAAACACCTCAAACATATCCCCTAAAATTAAAAAAATTATTTTTAAGATGAACCAAAATTTGCAGACATGTTAGATTTGCCAACCCCTGAGTTCACAAAATTTCTGGTCCACAGCAATAATATGTAGGTAGGGTTACCTGAACACGATAACAGGACTCTTTTCAACACAAACCTCAAAATTTCTTTCGATCCGGAATTAGAAACCCGATACGAATAAAATTCTAAAAACCCAACCAGCAACGAAAATTCATCTCAACCCGACCCATGCCCTCTCCCCAAATTTCACGATTCCTCTAAAAATCCCTTTACACCTAATTTTCCTAAATATAAATAGAAAAAATTAAATTTCACAAACTTTTAAGTTCTTGAATCGGCTGGGGAGTGAAGAAAAAGAACTGCACCTCCTTGCTATCCTTTGCCATGTCAGCCAGCATCTCCATGATGTAACGCCTATTGACCCTAAAAATTAATTTAAAAAAATTATTTTTAATTTTTAAAAGATTTACATATCCATAAAAACATCAAATTCATCCATACAACGAAAAGGAGATTCCATACATTTCCATAATGACATGATAAAACAAGCTGTCGTGTAGGAACGCTCCCCTCCGGATAATCCTTGAGTTAAAAATTATTTATGACTAACTGAAAAATATTAATTTGTTCGGGGAAAATGCTCAAAAAATTGGTAAAAAAAATTTCTAAAAATCCGCAAATAATGTCCGCAAGAAAAGTCCGCAAAAAAAAAAGTCCGCAAAAAATCCGCAAAAACATTTCCACACAATTTCCCAATATTTATTTAAAAAAACCTTTCAAGTCCTGCAAAACTTTTTTCTGCATACGCGAATCCCTTTCATCCAAGCTTTGTTCAGCAAAAGATTCTTCCATAGCCTTGTGTGTCACAACCTTTTTTTTAAATTAAAAAAATTTTTAAAATTTTCAACAATTTCACTTTAATCATTATAGTTCCATCATCATCTCGAACATCCAAACTTGCTTTATATCCACGGTAATTCATATGATCTCTAAACCAGCATTCCAATTTTCCAGGCAAACTAGTTCTGATTAAATCGAAGCGTCTCTTACGGGCAGTGATCATACTTTCTAACATCTAAAAAATTGAGAAATTAATGAACAATTGGACCTCATTATGTATAAGATACCTCATTATAAGAATTTGTACCTTATAATAAGTATATGTCAAATAGAGGGCATCTTAATATGGGTGTATCTCAAATAGAGGATAACTTACAACGGATGTGTTCTAGATAGAATCTTATATCGGTTGTTCTTTAAATAGAGAGTATCATAAAATGTGTATCCTAAATAAGGTGGCTTGTAATGAGGTATTCTTAACTAGAGGCCCAGGCCGTTCTCCCACCCAATGGCCCAACCCAGCATTAAAATCCGTATCTTAAATAGACGATTTAAATTTTAAAAAATCAAACGTTATATCGTCGCGTCCAGACTTTGAGTTTTGCCTTGAATTCTATATAAATATTTTTATAATTTATTAAATCAGCTTCTGTTGGTACAGGCTCTTTACTACAAAAATAAAATTTTTAATTTGATTGAAAAAATTAAAAAAAACTTTTTTTCAGCATTTCTAATTTCATTTTGAATAGCTTCAATGTCTCTATTCAATTGAACCGTTTCAGGAATTGTATCAAAGTCTGGCACTCCATCACCAATTTCAGCATGGTTTTCCAATAGATAGTCACGGTTCTTTTCAGCCTCTTCTCGTTTCTTTTCACAAGATTTACTTAAAAAGAAAATTTGAAATCAGTCAAACACCACATTATAAGATGCACCCAACACCACTACTTAAGTGACGTTTTAAAAAAATTTGGTTAAACACAGGCAAGGGAAACTACCTAAGGAATACTTTATGTTCGTAGCGCGGCGTAATGATAAAAAGCCAAAAAAGCAATCCGAAATGCCAAAGTACGGGAAAAGAAGTAGAAGAGCCGAAATCCAAAAGGCGTTAAAATGGCAAACTACATTTGGCATTACGGTGTTAAATCATTACGGCATCATATCCCTCTATTTAACAAACACATTATTTAAGATACAAAATTTTTCAACCCTCAAGGATCCTAAAAGTATCTAAAACAAGGTCCCCACTATAAAAATAAAAAGATTTCAAACGTTTTGTCTTCAATCTGCTTTCTATATTTCACAATCAAATCATTTGCCCGTTTAGTTAATCCTTCACAGTCCTCCAATTTTTCACGATTTTTTTCTATTTGTATCTGACAACTTTTTATATCATTCTAGAAATTTAAAAATATTTAAAAAAAATTATTTCAATTAAAAAAAACCTCAATTTGTTTATAATCATTTTTTAAATGATCAGCCCTTTTTGTAGATGCTTCTATTTTATTTTCAGCTTCGTTCATTTTTTCAGTCTTTTCTGCAAGTGATTGTTCCAATTCAGTTAATTTAACTTGCAAAGCATTTCTCTCATCTTCACTTTCACGAATTGAGCTTCGCTAAAATTGGAAAATAAAAATATTTTTAACCAAAAAAGTCAGAATTCATCATAAGATATAAGTCCTTAGGAAATCGAATTTTAAATTGAAGGCAAAACTTTAGACAGCTCCTCCAGCCAGCAACCTCTTATAGTAAGATAAATCCCCTTGGGCTTAAGAATCCCCTAAGCTAAAGAAATAGATCTTATAATGAGATGTACCTTAAATAGGGTGTATATCCTGGGCAGGCCCCAGCAGTTAACCAAAGTTAAGAAACGTCTCTTAATTAGAGGTTAGAAAAGCGTACTCCAAACTGAAGTTAACTAGTTATATAATAGTCTGATGAGACGTATCTTGTAATGAGTTTGTATCCTAAATAGCGGGCTCCCTCATCCAGTGACCAACCAAATTTAAAAAAAAACGTTTCTTAAATAGAGGTATTCTAATATTGGGGGCATCTTATATTCAAATCTAAGCTTAATTTTAAAAATAAAAAAAATACCAAATTAGTAATTTTATCTTCACTCAACACCTCATCTTCCAATTTACTCAATTCTTCTTCAATTTCATATTTTCTTTCATTTAATCCATTTAAACGAGCTTCAGTTTGAGTCTTCTTTTGTCTCAAATTATTAAGTTTAAATTCTAATGTTTGGAAAAAACGTTTTGATTTTTCAACTTTTTCGCTTTGTTGTCTCAACTGTTCTGTTGATTGTTCCAATTGTTGATTAAAATCATTCAAATTTGAAGCCATAAAATGATTGTCCAAAACTCGAGCTTGAAAATTTGAATGGTCACGGAAGAATTGATAAGGTCGAGATCCTCTTTGCGGATTAACTTCTGAACAGGCTAAGGTAATTGCTTTAGATGCATTTTTTGGAGGCTTAAAAAATATTTTTGATGAATTAAACTTTTAAAAAAATTCGGATAATTTTGAATTTTGTGAGAACTCCTGTTTATGTTTCTACAATATTCGTTTTGTTATACTTATGGTAAATAGCGTAAAGCATCGTAATGCCAAATACCGAAATAACATCCCCGAAATACTAACATAAACTGGAAATGACGGGACATGCCAACCCCCCCCCTCCCCAACTAAAGTTGTTGATACAGAGGGGGAATGTCGTCATTTACTTCATACTTACATGCAATCAATCTCAAAAAATGTTCATCGTTGTGAACTTCTGAATAAATTTAAACACTTATTGACTAATTTGGGTTCACAAAAAAATGAAAAAAAGGAAAATTAGGGAGAAAAGAAAAAGGGAAGTCATAAATTCAAAATTACCCAAAAATCATTTTAAAAAATTAAAAACCTTTGGATACATTGCATTTCTTGCAACATCATCTTTTTCAAATAAAAGAACACTTTCTGCTCTAACTTTATCCAAAATATAATTTAAGACTGTTGGATTCTCAACATCCAAAACACGCAAAATTGTTGTAAATTCATTTGGAGGTTCTCTTCCAAATAAATCATATTTTTGATCAGCA